AAATGCATTTCGGGCGTCACTCCACTATCGATATGGAAAACCCGCCCAAATCAGGTCCTTTAAGATTCTCTGAGTCGTTTCAAGTGCCGCTTTTTTCGGCGAGGAGGCGCAAGTGTTTACCATGCCACAATAATCTTTACTAATCAGCTATGAAAACTACCCCAATGGAATGTTATCTGCTGTAAAATGATATTTGTGTCTGGCACTGAATAAAATTCAACCATGACCAGACCAACCAAACAAATGTGTTCGAGTGCGGAAAATTTTAATTTAATTTTTTAGGGGGTTGGGCCTGGACCACTTGAGAGGCTCCTCCATAAAAGTAAACGATAACTAACGATCCCTAAACTGCCGATTGAGGCAAGCCGAATCGACGACAAGATAATGCACTTTCCTCTCTGGATTTGAATATATTTTTTGGTCCACTAATGAGTTTGGCCTTGTCTGCAAAGTAATTGAAACGGTGACGCCATTTAAAATTATCAAAAAAAATAAATGGTTTCTGTAGCGACAGTTCTGTCGATAAGGTTTTGGGGTACAGGTAACACTTTGGTTTTGGCTAAGATACAGGTAAGACTCCGCTAGGCGTCTCGAGTCGTTAGGAGGACAATGAACGACAGGACGCCGGCGCCAGGAAAATTATCCACTGTCTGGCGTTTTTGTCATTCGTCTTGACATTCTAGGAATTGGCAGAACCTTTCCAGAATTTATATGGATTTTTCTTTTGTCCCAAAGAGCGCGATTTTTCACACTTGACAGAACCCAGAACAACTAAGCCAAAGAACAGGTTGATGTCAACCATCTTATGCGTTGTGAAAGTTGCAAAAGGACAATCTGACATTTTCTCAGCAGGAATTTTTTTTAAAGTAAGGAAATGTCTTTGCTTCGGTTCCCAAAAATTGCAATGTATAACTCAACTGTACTTTTTTTAATCGGCAACAATATGTAGCTGAGTAAATCAATGACTTTTGGTCAGTGTAAGAGTAACACGAAAATAGGAATGTTTAAAATTATTCATTAAAGTATTTTCGCTGAGGTGTAAATATTTTTATGACCTAACCATGAAGAAATTTCAAATAAAAAAAAAACATTCTAAGCTGCAATTTATTTAGTAAAATAACTTTTAAAAGCAAAGCTGTCATTAAGCAACTCATTTCATCTTCTCCATATTAATTCTTACGAATTAATTCATAATCAGAAATCAGGTATTGTTAAATCTAACAGAATCGTATAGGAAACGAATGAAAATTCGCAACAACAAATTGAACAAAAAAGACTCAAGCACTGAACAAATCTTTGGGTAATTAAGAATTTTTTCGACAATTTAAATTTCAAGTACCTACTTATCTGGAAAATATTTAAATTGTTCGGCCTCGGTGCTCTCTTTTCTTTAAGCACAAGATAAATAAAACAATGACCCGGGGAGATATTCATTACCCCGCCAAAGAAATAAAACCCCACACCCCTTACATAAAAGCAGCGAAGGACAAATCAATTGCTCAACCCCAAAAACAATTTTTAGGGGATCGTCTCATTTGATTTTATAATTCGAACCCAACTCATCAATCAATCAACGGAGTTCACAAAAGCATCACCCTACGAATTTAAATTCTATTCAAAAGATTATTTTGGTTAAAACTCTTTCGGTTCAAAAGATTTTCTTACAATCTTAAAACATTTACATTTTGGGTACATTTTTTGTCGGATTGAAGTGAAACCGAAGACTCTTTGCATTTTGATAGGACCCTTTTATCATTATGTGGAAAGGAGCGTTTCTGATTTCAGGCCAAAAAATCGATGTTGGACAATGGCGGCGTTTAATCCCTTTTTCCGGAAGGTCACAATTACGCTGGATTGGAGTGGCATTCGACGGTCATATCCAGATACCCTTCCACCCCCACCTCCGTGGATTGTATATTGTTGCATTTCGGAAAAGGGTCCATCATTGCACACGTGCAAGGGTCAAAACGCACAGCATCGGCAGGTAGCAACACAAAAACACAATAAGAGACCCCAAGCACATCAGAAATGCAAGATAAAAGAGGATTAAACGAGACGAAAACGAAACGATCCGAACCCTAAAATGACCCAAAACTAATGCACCTCACGGAGGTTTAGTTAACGGTCTACTTGCCGGCCATCAGCAGCCATGAAAAAGCAATCATCGTCGCGAAGATCGCTGAGATCGGCCGATGATGTTTGCAGATAAGATTGTGGAAACCCTTACTCTAAAAAATTGTACTCTAAAACACTGAGCTCTTTGGCAAATAAGAGACCTAATTTCTTTGAGATGGTGGAGAATTTGTACCAAGTGATCGTGTCTCGACTTGTTCGTTATTTTCAGGACTGAAAACTGTTGCACGTGTGTAAACACTATGACTGTGGAATCGGCAGTTTTCTTTACTTCTTTGTTTTCCATTTTTTCTTTGCTTTTCTTACAATAAAACATTTTTGTAAATGCATCTATTTGATAATGACAAAAAAAGAGAACAGAGTAATGAAAAGGAAGTAACCAAAACAATTGATTCTTCAAAATCAAACAAAATTCTATAGTTCTTTAATTTTGTCAACAGTTTCTTTTTTGTTTAAGTCATAGAAGAGGACTAATTTTTTTACAAACATATTTTTAACTTTACTAATAATAAACGTAAAGTCATTATTCCTGAAGATCAGCCTCATACATAAGTAAATAACAAAATATGTGCAAAAAATTGAAATAATAGAAACAACAAATCGTTTTTTAAATTTAAAGCGGGTAAATTTACCTTAAACTAAATGTATTTTTTTATCTTACTTTCATAATACATACTTTCTTACGTGTTTATCTAAAAGATAAAAGGATAAGCTGGTAAATGACAAATGAAGCCTTGAATTATTATAAACTGACAGTTTTCACTTAGTAATGCTTTGTTTAACTCCACTACTTCAATATTATAATAAATTTAAATATGCATTTGCTAAAAAAATCTGGCTTTTTAATGTTGCCATACCTTTTCGAATGATCTCGAAAACTATAAAAACAAAATGTATCTGATTTCCATATCTGCTCCATTATTAATTAGAACGGACAACCAATATTATCATTTATGTAACCCATAACACAATTTACATAAAATCAACCTGATATGCATTTCATTATTGAGGAAAGATGTGGAGAAAAAGGGCTATCGAAATGTGCAACCTGTGGAGAGGGTCAAATCAGGTCGACAGCCATAAAAGTTTTAGGGTCCAGATTAACCCCTTTGGCTTTGTTTCACTGCAAGTGATATTTTGGTATAAAAAAAACTGGTTTCCCCCACGAAAAAGGGGAACATTAAACCAACAAAGCTCTGCGTAATAAGAAGCAGAAATATCAGACAAGGGGCCAATTAGGGATCCTTAATGATCGTCAGGATATTCAAGAAGCGAAACGGCCGTTACAAGGAACTCGAGTCCTCGGAGCCGTTACAAAATTATGAAAGTAACCTTCAGGGGCAAGGAAAAAGGGCAAATAACAATTAGGAAGGCGACTCATAAACGAAGTGCCGACGAAATTCCAGTAAAATGCGTAAACCGAGCCAAAAACCAAAACTCTAAAGATTGTATCTGTACGTGCTTCTCCCGCGTCGTAAATTTTTCACGCATCAACAGAGCAGGTCCCTCGGACCGGGAAAGAACAACAATGACAAACAAATGCGATCGGAAGGAGCTGAAAAGGACCTGCCAAGATTTCCCAAAATGCGGCATTAATGCATATTGACTAACCTTGAGAGTCCGATCCCATCCCGATCCCATCCCATCGCAATGCAAGTACCCGAAAAATACGTTACTTTGCTCAACTACCTACAGGTTGGGAAAATGGGAAAGGGACGATCGGACGGAAGGACATAAAGGCACTTTCTGGGCTGTCTCAATGAAATAACGGACAAGTCCCTTGTTCGCTCGGGTATTTCCAGCGGCGAGATTGTATCTCTCAGATACGCCAATCTATTGTTTGTCCATATCCTCCGTCATTTTTCGGGATAGTGTGTCGAATTTTAAAATCTCTCTTCCCTCACACTCGGGGTTGGAATTTTTCCAACAAGTTGAGACTTGTCTGTACGGTTCTCTCTAGGAATTTTACGTTTGGGATTTAGGGATTTCAGTTTTTTTTTGCGCCAGAGTCAAGCAGGTAGAAAGAGACAGTGCAGGATTGAGAATCTCGGATGGGGGAGGGGGAGGTCGGCTACGAAGAGAAATCTGGATATACCCGAAAAGACCGTTAAAAACCTGCAGAGACTTAGCAACTCGAGTGGGTAATACCCAGCATTTAAAACATGTGTGATAAACATGTATTTCTTTCCCATATGCATAAGTTTAAGTTAAGTAAAAAATATTTTAGGAAAAAGAACGAACTCAATGTTATTTTAAAACAAATTGCAAGCTTAATTTTGTATTAAACATCACAAGCAAATCGTTATAAATTGTCTTAGTATTAGCTTAGTCTTAATATTGAAACTGCCAATCCAAAAAAAAAAAAATTATTTTTTTAATTTTGCTTAGAATATCAGAAAAAGTTCATTTACTAATCATAACAATGGCAATTGGAACTAAACATTATTGTTCATTTTTTGACCAATTTAATTAGTACCTAACCATTAGTTATTTCTTTTTAATGCTGTTGGTGATAAGTTGAAGCTTGTGTGCCCTTATTTGAATGCTTTAAATAATTTTAATTATTCGAAATGTTTGTAAATATTTCTATAAAAAACAAATCGTTTTTTATTTACCCAAAATCAATGAAAACCGGGCATACCCTGCACCACCAAGGGTAAGGACATTCTCCTGTTCACTATGCGGCTTTCTCTTGCCTCTCTTATGCCTCACAATCTCTCGGTTTGTGCAACCACCTGCCTGAAGTCAGCATTCCCATTGGCTGAGCTCACCGATCGAGAGAACGACCGCTCTTCGGGAGAACTAACCACCACCAAAAGAAAGCGGAGAGCAGATCGTATAAAAGCAGCCGGCCAAGAGCAGAAAAACCAGAACACTACCAACTCTCAACCGAGTGCAACCAACTCTCGAGATCCCAAGTTTTATTACAATCCCGAAGTGCCAACAAAACAATGTCGTTCATCACACGGGAATACAAGTTTGAGAGCAGCAAGATGATGGAGCAGAAATCAGATCAGCACACGATGGCCATGCGGAGTCTGAAGAAACTGGTCAAACCCCTTCTGCGGCTGGTGAAGAAGAAGCAGCTACTCCGGAAGACTCTCGCCGAGATCCAGAACCAAAATGCAGTCAACGCCTCGCTGGAGGACATGCGCAAAGATCCGGCGGCCAGTTGTGATAACATGGCCAACGAGGAGCTGGAGCAGCGGCTGTACAGCGATCTCCGCCAGTGCCCCAACAACTCGGCGATGATCGTGCAACAGGGTCAGCAGCAGAGCATTGTGCCCGTGAATCCCGAGCAGACCTTCATCCCGGTGCACTTCGCCCGCACCAGCAGCGGCACCTTCTTCTGGACCTCGGCCGAGGGAGCTCGCCAGCACCAGGAGCAGCAATTGCGCCAGAAGTTCGATCGATGGGTCCAGGCCTAGAAATCTATCCCCAAAACAATGACGATCCACCAGGAAAATCTCCAATTGGCAGCTTTAAGTGCAAGTGTCTCCGTCCATTGGTCGTCGGATGGATGCGGGTTCAGCTTCGCATGTTCGTAATCTCAGGGTGATATTAGGCATAGATTGGATTCTTTGGGCATCCGACCCAAGGGAAACACAACTCTAATTGATATTCAATTATCACAATCAAGCGTTACTACCGTTAACTCATTGTGATTCCTCGTGTCTTATTAGCCTTAAGTTAGTCTTAGCCGAATCATTGTCTTCCATGTTTGTTTGTTAGGGTCTTCTAATAGGTACTAGGCTAAGAATCATTGTCTTCCATGTAAAATTTAGTTATACTACAACCTATATCTAATAAGAAATAAAAAAAATAAAAAAAAAAACTATTTTATGTTTCTTTATTTTAAATATTGGTAAAGTCTTTCCTTAGGTCTTCAAAATTATCTGCTGTATAATAAAAAGAATCGTTAAACTATCTAAATGGTTGCTCATAAGAAGTCCGTTCAAGTCTTCAAATTGGTAGTTATTCTTTAAATTTCTGGTTTGAAAATTGATACTAAATTGGACTTGCTATGCTGGTAACCGTATTCCAATCAGCGACTGCATTCATATAAGATACAATTCATGACTATTGATGCTGCGGGTTAGCAACTGTAAATGCATTGGCATTGAAGAAGTGAAACGATTTATTTACATTAAAATGTGTTTCAATATGGATATTTGTCTACCAGCAATACGGAAGTTCCCAAGCTGATCATGCATAACCGAATAAAATAGTGCAAGGCCAGCGACACCTGTGGACGTTGCACAACAACGTTGCCAAAATCTCAGGCTTCGGTCAGCGCAATCAGCGGGCAACGCACTCCGATGCAACGGCGGCTACCCAACACCATGCATGGGCAGCTGGGTCAGCACTTTTAGGGCATAGGGCTAGCTTTCGTTATAAGAATTTATGTACTTAGCAGTTAGTTGAATTTTGGAAATAAATCGTGACGGTCGTAACCTCAAGCTCCAAGTCTTCTCATTCGTGCAGTACCGCGTGTCTCACAGTAAATCCTAAAAAGGACATTTTGTTAATTTATATACAAATTTATAGATCTAAAACCTCAATTAGAAAGTACTATGAACTATAGTACACATTTATATTTAACAATTTTTTGGTTGACTGTAAGTAATATATATGAAACTTTAAAAATTGGTAATAGATTAAAGAAAATATGTTTGTTTTTAACAAAAAAAAAAAAGCTAAGAAAAATAATTTCTATATCAATGTGCGAAAGTATGCAAAGTTTGTCAGTTTTCATAAATTTTAAAAGAATATAGCACACGTTCTGTGCATTTTAATTACGAATTTTTCCAAGTAATAAATTTTATCACATATAAAATGCAACATAAATTGTAAAATTTGATACATCATATTTTGTTTCACTATGACCACAAACTAATTACATATGCAGGTTTCATTGAGGCGCTTGGATTTCAAGAAACCTGACACTAACAACTAAACTTGAAACGCCACGAAAATAAAATTTGTAAGTGTTTATAAGGAATTATGCCTGTGGAATAGTTAAGAGAGCCACAAACATTCTGGACCCCTCGCTGATCACCCCCCAAGTGGATAGAACAGGATCCCACCTCACTCCACACAAAACGAATCGATCCTAAAAGACTGGAATAAGAATGAATCCCAAAAATACAAGTGCCGAGTATTTCAATGGGAGACGAAATTTGAATTTCGACACGAAACGCAATTGTAATTTTCTTTTTCAAAAGAAGGGAACGATCCAAGGAACAAGTGTGGGGACAGTGAAGCCCGTCACACAAAACCATATTTCTGAAGTGGTTGCATCAACCAAGAAATCCAGAAAAATCTGTACAGTCCTACTCAGATTTGAGGGTAAGGAACCTTCCCTTGCAATAAAAACGGTGAAATCTGAATTTCAACACGAACTGAAATTTAAATTCTGCCACAAAAAGGACACCACAAGGGAGCAAGTGTGAAGACAGTGAAGCCTGCCTTCGCAACCATACCAACAATCTTTTGGAAATTAAAATCTAGAAAATTCGTCAGCTCCTCGAACTGATTGTTCACTGTATTTTAAAAAGGACCACAGTCTACCTGTACTGATCAAAAATGAAATGTTGACGTGTAAATATTTTTCGTTTGCCGACAACATGTGTTTAACGAGGGTCTGTCACTTTTATCCTCCACTGTCAGCCTATTAACAATTAATAGCCAAAAACTAATCAAGGCATAAATTCGAGCCGAATCCTCCGCAAACAAACCACTCAAATTACTAAACCGAACCCATGAAAAAGGGATGGTTTTTATTTTTTGGTATTTGTGCATGCTTGCCGCATCGTCCGATAAGTATTCGACTGAAATTATACTCTCCCACGACGAAACCGAGGGAGAGATTTATTTAGGGCCTTCAAAATTCTGGCCTTACTTCGCACACGTGCAAGGGTCGCTTCAAAAAGGGACTCGATCCGATCCGATCGCAAACTACCTGCAGAGAGTTGAGGAATGCGTGACTCTCGAGTCTGGAGAAACCGAAAAACACCTGCGCCAGGACTCGTCCTGATTGGCCGACATTCAGGGGTTGATTTCGCAAGGATCGGGTATAAAAACGAAGCTAAATTTCGAATAGGACATCAATTTCAATCTCAACGTTGAACAGTAAAGATCATTTTACCACAAAGCGAACCCAAGTAAACTGCAAAAATGGCCTACGAAACTCTGCTGAACACCACCTACAGTGCTGCCTGCCAGAAGAAGACCTACACCCCCGCCAAGGCCATGAAGAAGATCTTCAAAGTGGCCTGCAAAATCTTCAAGGCTTCTGGCCACCAGCAACTGAAGAATCAGAGCATCCCGAAGGAGCTCCCACTGCCACCGACCTCCGATGAAGAGTTCCAGAACTCCCAGAACGAAAAGCTGGAAGCCGAGCTCGTGCAACTGTGATCGAGGAAAATGGGAAATTCCGAAAAATCAACTTCCTAAACAGCTTTAAGACTTCATCGGAATCGGTCTCTAAACATCCGCACATCAGCTTTAACTCCACACTGAGCAAGTGGACATTTAAAAATGCATAAATATCCAGCTTTAATCATTGTCTTCCATCTATGTTTAAGTTAACGAATAAATACATAATATTAATATTGAAACTGGTTGGCATTTCTGATTTCGTATTCGAACTTTCCCTTTGTCATTGTAATTTCCTTGAAGGTTTTTCCAAGAATTTGTAAACCAAAAACCGTTCTTACCCCCTCCCCTTCCCCATTCACGGAACAAGAAGACCCTAAGAACCTTAACTCGAAAAAAAGGCAAACCTTTACCTGTTCCCTTTTGATCAAAACCTGTTGTGGATTCGAAAAACTCGAAAAATCCAGCGAAGTGAGCTGGGGAAACCTGTTAACTCGAGGCGATTTCTGATTTTCGTTTTCAGCGCTCCTTCTTAGGGTTGGGCCCTGGACAAAATAAATCTCGAATTGCATCGGAACAGGTAGTGAGGTAGTGAGGGACCCCATCCCGACTCGGGTCCCTAAGATGATAAACAAAAACAAGGGCCGCACGGGCACGGGCAGCAACAAAGCCAATCCTATCTCAATAATAAATGCGAAAAGGCCGCACGGATCACTTCGATCATTTCAGCGTTTTTCAAAAGGGGAATGCTCGTACATAAGGTTTTGTGTGCATTATGTAAATAGTTCTTACACATTCTTAGTTGGTGCGGATTCTTTATCAAGAGCATACATCTAGGTACAGTAGGTTCAAATAAAGGCTGAACATTAAAATCTTTTTTAAAGTAAATTTTACATTAATTTAAATATTTAAATATTTAAATAAAAATGTTTAGCCTTAATGTTAATTGTTATTTTTATTAGTTTGGATAAAATCCATCTTCTTAACTTCATTATACTCAACATTTTGTGCCAATCCTCTTTTTAAACATATCATAATTATAAGGGGGCACGTAACTCTTTAATTATTGTTAGCAAGAGAAAAATTGTTTCTAAATTTGAACAACTTCAATCTTTTAGGTGACCAATGTGTGTGACCATACCATATTTATTTTATTACTGTAGCAGAATTACAAATAAAAGAGATCTCCTACAATCATAAGTGTCCTAATGATCGAGTGCCATTAGAACACAAGTTACAGATTCCCACAAGCTGTAGTCACAAATGCGAGATGAATTCTCCCCTCACTCTTTTATAAATGAGTTATAATATGATACATTCATTCAATAAACCCACATTCAATTAATTGAAGGTATGTACCCAAAAAGTAACGGCTAGAGATGCTCAAAAAAAGGATCCCCTGTCGTGACACGAAAATTGTTTCGAAACCCAGAACTCAAACAGTCAAAAAACCTCGAGCTCCCCAACTGAACGTGAGAAATCTCAAGATCGTGCCTCAAAGGACTTTTTGCGCTACCATCACTAATCGGGCTAAGCAATAATCATAAGAATGAAAGTGCACGATTTGTATAAATTTGGCTCAGAATGTTACTGGTTTTCGGTTACAGGATCGACATATTTCTGACGAACTGGCAAAACAAACCCAGCCGAAATCCAAAACAATAAATGGGTCTCCGAGTGAAGGCCAGAAATGTGCTGTTCCCACGCCAAGGATTCCTCCGGGGGATAATTGTCTTGGAAGGAGGAATAGGAATAGGCCCGAGATTCCCACGCTTCGCACAAGATCTCGGATCTCAGGTCCTGCAGGACCTACCTGCAGCCACCGACTAACGTGTGAAATTTCGGATCCTTGCACCTGCCTGCCTTTCGAGCGTTGTGATTGGCTGAGATGCTGTAGGATCTGCCCGGCGACCCGAGAAGGTATAAATAGCGCCTCTGGTCTTAGAGACAGCATCACACAGCATCCGAACGTCGAAGCGAGAACATCTCAGCACGCACATTCAACGCACACACATTCTACGCACACAGAAAATTATCTACGAAAACCATCTCAAATGTCGGCCATCAGCAAGCAGAAGAACTTCAACACCATGTACAAGTCGAAAGTGTCACCATCTCGTCGCCTGAAGAATCTTCTGAAGCCGCTTCTTGGCCATGTCTTCAACCTGAAGAAGGAGCAGCCCAAGAGGAGCTCCTACATCGCTTCGGAGGAAAAGGAGGCCGAGTTCGAGTGGCTGAACAACGATATGGACAACATGGCCAACGAGCATCTCGAAAATCGCCTCATTGAGGAAATTCGCCAGTGCGCCAAGGAAGATGCAGTCATTGTTTACAATGAAAATGGCTCTGGAGAACTGCAGACCATCGATCAGGAGGACTACTACGTTCCGGTGCACTTTGCCCGGACAAATGCCGGCACTTTCTTCTGGACCTCGATTCAACCGCAATCCTGCGAACCCTACGCCATCGAGTGGAACTTCCTGGATCGCTGGGCTCAAGCTTGAACTAATCGCCAGGAGCTGGGACTTCGACCTTGATCAACCATGGGGTTTCTTCAACGTTCGATTGGGATAACTTCAACTGGACTGGAGCTTGGCTCTCCAGCGGGATGGGTACTCCAGAGTTTGGGCACTTCGACTTTGGGTTCATCGGACTTGGGCAGCGCTTTTGGGATTCCCTGACTCATCGGGAATCCCCAAAAAGCGGTTGGGTAACCACATATGTATCTACAATTGTGGCGGGAGGTATTCCAACAATTATCCTATTTTTGCTGTGCAAAAATGGGTTTCAATTGTTTGGGTTTTCAAAATGCATTTGTAAACAAAAACTAAAATAAACACTGAAAACATATTTGAATTTCTTATTATTTACGATGGAATGGTACAAATATGGTCCTGTCTTGGGTAAACATACAAAAAAATCCTGTCTACAGATCCTTTCAAGATGTGGGACATTCCCACGGCAGCAGACATGTGTTGGGTTTCTGTTTACTGTTACCCAAAAATCTTTCTGTGATTGCGGAAAATGTGTGGAAATTGGTGAGGAAAACTACCATCACCATAACATAATGGTGTTAAGATAAAAATTTCGATTTAAACAAAATATCACGTATCTTTACATGTGTTAAAATTAAAACGAAAAAAAAAATTCGTTCGACTGATTCGGAAAACAAAACAGACTCAAAATCTGTTAAAAGATAGGGTTTATAACAAAAACAAAATTAGATTGGTCTGTAACAACAATAAATTAGGTTTTTGTTTTTAAATATACAATTATAACTGTACTATAAAATGATTTTTTTTGGTTATATACAGATACTTGTTACCAGACGCACTATATGCAAAATAAAAGGTCAGGAATCACAAACTTTTTAATAAAGTATTTTCAATTTGATCATTATCCGGATAAATCCTGTTTGGTTGGAAATTAAGAAAAGAAAAAGTATCATCCACCTAGAATTGAGATTTTGATCCTTCAAATTGTTTTGCCAAATTAAAAACGAAAAAATCAAATTTTTTTTGTTAGCTTTCCCATGAAGAGCTGTTTTATTTCATCAAAGGAAAAACTAATTTTTCTTACAAACTACATTGCACTTAAACGGTAATGGAAGACGTAAGCGACATTGTTGCTATCTTAAATGTACAGCTGTTTATACAATAAACAAATAAAAAGTTGCAAACATAACAGAGGTATAACAATCGAATCTTAACTTTAGGGGATAACAATCACAGCTGACGTTCCAGGAACGTAACACCAACAACAAATCAGTTAATAACAAGACAGTTAATAACGAGTTAGCTATTATTGCACATGATATTGTGGGGGTGTTGACCTTGGGGGAAACGCAGTCGAAACGGAGTCTTCTGTTCCAGTTTGTTGCCCGCCAAGTCACCATTGCACTTTCCTCCAGCCCGGTCCTGTTTGGTCCTCCATCTCCTCGAACACCATCCTCCTTTTCCTCCTCTTTTCGGTGGGTGGTTGGGTGTGGTGGGAGTTGCGGGGAAGCCAAGCGGTCTTTAAAGCTTCTGTACCATCCAAGGTTACGTAGGATTACGTAGGGGTTTGCGCTTGGAGCGCGTTTAAAGCTGCGACAATCCTCTCACTCGCCGCCCCCTTGCTCTCTCCCATTTTGCTTACTTCTGGAAGAAAGTGGGTGTGGATCGAGGAGAGGCGATGTGATCGTTAACGGTTTTCCTTGAGCACTGACTCTCCGATCGGCGGATCGCCGGATTTTATACAACTCGCGGCACGACGACGTTGACGTTGACGCCGCTGCCGCGTAAATAGAGATAAACAAAGCGCACTCACACTCACACCACTGCAGAGTCCCTTACGCGCACACACACACAGACCCGATTGCCTGGCTCTCTTTTGTGTGTGTGTGTTTGCCTTTCGTTATCAACCATTTATGCTGGGCCCTTTTCGGTTATCTACAGTCGACGGGCTACTACCCATTTTTATGTTTATCACTTTTTACCCTCCCCTCGCACGATCTTCTGTTTACTTCAGGTCATTCGTTTGGTCTGCACATGAAGAAATCGTATTTACCTTTCTTTTCTTGGAAGTGATTTAAGGATTTTTCGAATAAACCTTGAATGTGTCTTAAAATTATGCTAGTCGTTGAAAATTGGAAATGTGTTGTCGACTTTAAGGCGTAGGCTACGATAGATTTAAATTAATATTCGTGAATTTGTATTTATTAAAAAAAATTAAAATGGTTTGTTAACCAAGTACTAAAAAAAGGTTGTTTTATATTCTTTCTTGGAATAAAAGATGATTCAAAATAAAGAGTAGATTTTTTAGGTTTTTTTAATGAACTTAGATACATTTTTTTAATTTTTGTTATCAACATTTTTATCCCAAAAAAGATTTAGTTTTCGGAGGGTTCACATTGTTCACACCCCAAAAAGTAGGCAATACTTTTTATAAAATGAATTTCTTTCTAATCTTGTTGATTTTTGATATTAAAAAAAATTATTTAATTAAGTCGTTATAGTTTACAAAACATATTAAATAGTTACCTATATACATTAGTGAATAACATTATCTTGTTATCGCCAAGCTATCTCTCCAGTCATTTTTACTTTTCCAGTTTTACTTTTACACTTTTCTAATATTCTTTGGTCTAATTAAATCAGTAAATGTACACTGGTTTGTTTCACTGTACTGCACGTTGGAACGTCTTTTGACTTTGCTGTTTCCTTTCTGTTGTTGGTGTGATTTGTTTTCGTTTAATCTTCTTCCACACGCACGTTACTCAGCATCTCTAGGGTCCGCCGCACCTCTCACTCCATCCAAGTCGCCCTTCCCCTTCCTTTGACTCGTTTTTAACGATCTCGCGGACCCCAAAACAAGAATCGTCCCTCGCCAGTGGAGCTTATGTGCATTCCACATATAAAACACATGCACTCACATGTGGATGCAGATACAAATACAAGCGTACGCATAAAAGATATACACAAACACTCTACGCCCCTCTGGAAATGCAGTTTAATGACCGTTCATGACCAAGTCAATCAGATGCGGGACTATTTACGCATAGCAAAATCAGGGAAAACGATTCGACGACGAATATCGTATCACCCTGGAATGGGGGACCCTTCAGAGCTAATTAGATAAGCAACAAAAAAATCAGAACTGGGGTACTTAAATAAATATTATAAAGAAACTATACAAATATAATATTTACCATCTTATGCTGGTTAATTTGATATGGCTCGAAAGATACATTTTCTTATCATTATAAAACTTTGTATAAAACAAAGATTTATTTTATTGAGCCCTAATTCTGATTTATAGATAATTGTGGTTGTTATTTAAAAAATAATACAAATATGGGACAATGTTAATATCTATATAAGAACAGTATACTGTATACATATATATAAAATTCAACGGCAGTATACAAAAAAGGGAAAGAGTATCATATCTACGCCATTTGGTACAAATCTTTTCTCTTGTTAATGTTTACTCTAGGCCTTATCAATAATGAAAACCTCTACAATTACCAGGGGCTTCAGGTAGGAGGATTTCCAGAATTGCTTCCCCTAATCATTTCCTTTTTGCTGGGTCTCCTTCGGGGAACCCTTCATATATGGCCAGACCATGGGAACGCACGTTATGCGTGCGCTCCTCACGCGCAGGACACGTACGGAAGAAACCGTGGGAATCGAAACCGAAATGCACCTAAACAACAATAAATGCACCAGACCCTAGAAGAGGGTAACAATAGACAGGTCCCTCCGCAGCCAGGCCATTTCGAATTGAATTAGAAAAGGTTGCCCAGGTGGAGTTGGGGGTGCACATTAACGGCTCCCAAAGAATGAAAGCAATCAGATGTAAATCAAGCAGCCAAGTTAGCAGTCAAGTCATGGTAAATATCCATCCCCTCAAAAAAAAAAAAGAAGAGTAGTGAAAAAGAACCAACCCCAAGCCATACATAAAATGTAACTGACAATATTTTTTACAATTATTGGTGTTTTCCATTCGAGTTGTACTTTTCTAAAGAACCATAGAAATCTTTTGAGTTGCCACAGAAATATCTTCATGAGGGTTTAAAATATTCTTGATCGCCATCACTAGACAAATCAAAATAGCCATGTACAAATTTAAATTTGTTTGTCACTTAAATATCAGTTTCTGTCAGTTCGGTGATTTCTTCAAGAACATTTCTTACTTATCGTCACACTTCACTCTCATATATTCGTTAAACAAATATGAAAAAAAGTACAAAAGTACAGTTTTTAAAATGTAATTAATTGCTTTTTATCATATTTGTGCAGAATCTCTTACAACTCCTGCTCATATCCTTGGTTGTGGTGACAGCCCGGAAAAAATCAGACATTAATGATAAGGTATCGAAAAAGGGGAGAAATCCATATCAAATTTTAACACGCGATGTCGAGAAGTATGAGCTGTGTGTAAAACTGCTAAGGGTTTGCCAACAACTCCGGGACAAGCCGCCTGATTACACTGATGTTGAAGAAGAATCGGCTAATGATTATGCTATCAATGAGGAAGATAAGGCTAAATACAGAAAAGGCAATTGCTTGCCGAAAGATCTAACGGCAGACGGAGAAAAGGAGTTTTGGAAAACTGCTGCCAAATGGCAGAGGGAAATTGACGATAGCTTATTAATCCAGAATCTGTTTGTAGTTATCAAGACAGACGGGCCGAATACCAAGTTGGCATTTGGAAAGTGGAAGGGTTGGTGCAATCGAACTGATATCTCTGAAGAATCAACAGAACCAACCGATGATCCAGATGAAGATAAAACCTTATCAGTTTCAACAACAACAGAACTTTCATTAATAGACAGAAGTACTCAACTGTTGAAAAACTGCAAACAAAATAGCAATCATGGCAAATGGATATTTAACGAAATCGATGGCAGCCAAGAATTAAATGAAGTTATCAGAAAAGTTTCTCATTTGATTTTAAGTCTTGAAAAGTACAAAAGCAAAAATTGCTGCCCCTATGAGTCCATAAGAGATCGTTTGGAAATAATAAACGATGGCATTGATTTTTTAAACAAGCTGCAGGGCATCAAATCATCTATTAAACCAACTTACACCGATTTAAACTCAGATCTGAATCATCTCTCACGCAGATTAGAGCATTTAAATAGGGAAACAACCAACAATGGTGATAAATGTTGTCCCAATATTTTAAATGATCTAAACTCTTTTAAATCTAATTTTGAAACTAATCTAACAGATTTAAGCCCACTAAATTCAAACTTTGACTACTTGCCATTTTTTAAAAAGGAGAAAAGCTTGCAAAAAATATTGATTAGTCAACTAAGTGTTATTCGTAACCTAGAAAATTCGGTTGAAAATAAGAATAGCAAACACAAATGTTGTATGGAGGAAAAATCTAAAATTATTGATTTAAAAAGGTTATTTGATGACCTAAGATTTATTAACTCCTTTGAAAAAATATCACAGCTAATAGACCCTTTAAAAGAAGATCAAGCTTATACCAATGAGACACTTTCAGCCACGAAAAGTCTACTTTCCCTGGAAGACAAAAATATCCAAAAACTGACCTTTATATGCGAAACAGAATGTCATCAGAAAGATACAAGCCACGAACTTTTTCAGAATCTTGTTTTAAAAGTGGACAAATTGGCCATTCGATTAAATGATATGAGTGGTCCATTAAAATCAGCAAATTTGTCCCATGTTAAACAATCTGAAGATGCTGTAAATAAAATGATCAAAGATGGTTCGTCAGTAATTGCTAATCTAAAAACTACAAATTTGAAATTAAACAATAATGAAGCAAGAACCGACTCCAACGAACCCTTTCCCATAACTGTTGACAATTCAAGCTTAACAAAAAATTGCTCCGAAGATTCTGCAAAACTAAGTGATCTGTTTGACAAAATCAACAAGGACAAAAATTATGCTATTGATTATTACCAACAACAGCAAAATAATACAATGCAGCAGCTTAAGGAAATTCAAGAAAGGCAAAAAGCCTTAGATTATTACATCCATAAAGCAAAAGTGTCTGAGGACGAGGAGTCACGACTTCAAAATCCGAATTCTGTACAATGGGAGATCAAACAACTTGAAAACGACTTGGAAAAGTTAGAAAATGGCATCAACAAATTGGATAAGGATCTGCAGTACAGTCAGCTTAAATTCGAAATGGAAAAAGAACAAATCGACAGGGAGGTTGAGGAACAACTGAATGATATAAATCTTTTCAGAGAAGCGATGAAAAGGGAACAAGATTTAATTGATCAACGCTTGGCAGAATTAGAAGAATTAGAAACACCTGACGACTATGATGATAAACTAAGTAAGCTTGAGGCAATGGCTCTTGAGTTTCCCAAACAGATAAAAAGTTATGAAAAGGAACTTTTGAACCGCATTGCCGATATGGAACAGCAATTAAAGGATCTGGACAAGGAGATCGAAAATACGGAACATAGGGCAGACACTTGCGACGGTGAATGTGACTTTGGAGATCTCAATTCCGTCGACGAACTAATTGGCAGGGTCCAGATTGTCAAGAAAATACTAAGTTAAACGCCAAAAACTATCCCAGCTATCTCAGAAGTGCAAAATTGGAAGCAGACAAGAATCACCCAAAAGACAAGCCAAAGATAAAAAGTTAAGAAAACCTAAACCTATGGATTCATGTAAACTAAAACCAAAAAACATTAAGGATATATCTAGAGTAATTAGTAGTAATATTAACAGTCTGCAAATTGTTAACTTCACTGTTTATATACGAAAATGTAAATTTAAATTTGTTAACTTAAATAAAATAAATCTTTTATGATAATAAAAGAAACATTAGTTATAATAACTTTTTAACAAATAACTTTTTAATGAGCTTGAAATCAATTTCAAAAAGTCCGCATACATTCGCAGACTATCCAACACTAAATTGTTGTTACGTTTCTTAACGTGAGGATTACGTTTTTGTAACGTAACAAATCACATTACGCGTAATGGGTGGATTTTGGTTTAAGTAGAGCGTGGTCACTCTTTTGTTGGCACGTGTGGCGCTTTTAAGTTTTGTTTTTATTTCACCAGATTTTTGAGATCTTTAAAATAAAGTATGCGGGACAACACGCCGCCGCACCGTCCGGACTTTGAGGATGGTGATGATGAACTGATAGAGATGATTGAGGACGACGAGGATGACGATTTAGAGGAGGTGACTCTGCAACAACTGGAGGAGCGACTTGCCATGGCTGGCGGCGATGACGACGTGGAGGAGGAGGAGGATGAAGAAGAGTTGCGCGACCTTGAGAGAATAGGCAGCATCAAGGACGAGGCGGCAATCACCTTCCGGCAGCACAAGGCTCCCGTTTTCGCCTGCAGCCTGCATCCCACCTACGATTGGGCGGTGACGGGCAGCGAAGACGACCGCGCCATCGTTTGGGACACCACCACGGGAGAGTCCCTGTACGAGATCACCGACCACAAGGACACCGTCACAGAAACGCACTTTAGTCACGATGGGCTTTATCTGGCCACCGGTGACATGTCCGGCGAACTATTCGCCTTTAAGGTCAGCGAACAGAAAGAGGACCGCCCGATCCTGAACAAAGTCTGGGAGTACTCCATGAGCGACATGTCCTGGCTCTTCTGGCATCGCGGAGCTCACGTCCTGCTGGCGGGCAGTGACAGCGGCGAGGTCTTCGTGTGGCGCATTCCCAGCGGAGACTGCAAAATCCTGCCGGGACAATCGTCGCGTTGCGAATCTGGAGAGCTCAGCAGTGATGGCAAAAAACTATTCACCGCCTACATGAACGGATCGGTGAGACTGTGGGATCTGAAGAGCTGTCAGGTCCTGATGGAGGTCAACGAACAGCATCCCATGGGATTCGGCGAGATCACGCATGCAGTTGTGGCCTGCGAGAAAGATTCACCTTTCTACGTTTGCGCGGAAGGATCAGGTGAGAAAAAAAATACTAAATTAAAACTTAAACTAATCAATAAAATTTTTTTAAGGCAAAATGCTGTTTTGCACCAACAACGGACCTGTGAATACGATTCAGTCAGAGCACGGCATTGAGTGCCTAGCCTTTGCGCCTGCTTCAGCGGATCTCAAGCTGCTTGCTTGTGGCTCTTTGGAGGGCCAGATATCCATATGGGACTACAGCAAGACAGCCCTGCGTACGACGTGCGAGAACCCAGTTCCCAACGATGGAGTCTTAAGGTGAGCCCTACTAGCCAATTAACAAAATCACATAAGTTCAAATAATGGTCAAAAGTCCATCAAATTGTTGTACTTTTTTTGTACTTTTACTAATTTTGCTTATTTATTTTAGAATTAAGTGGCTGAACGACAACACCATACTGGCGGCCACCTCACAAGGAAATCTAAACGCATTTGATGCCCGCACAGGATCGTTAAAGTTCACGCTGACAGGACACTTCTACCACATTTACGAATTTGTCTACAGGCCGCAGGAAAATCTGCTATTGACAGTGTCCGAGGACAACACGGCTAAAGTTTTCAAGGTGCCGCCGTTGGGAGATTAGTTAGGATATAGAAATGTTGTATCGTTCTGTATATGTAAATAGAAAATACATATAAAAATTAATTTTTTCTGTTTGTCATCGTTGTCACCTAGGAGCAATGACCCCCTGGGTCGGTCCTGTTTCACGTGTCCTATATAAAAAATAATGGGGGAGGAACAAGCTGACTAAAGATAGAACAAACAAAGCGGGTACAGTCTAGGCCAAGAAAATAGCACTGAAATGTTTTTCAAACCGAAATCCTAATTGCAAAACAATCAGCTAACTCATTTTTTGTAATTTGAATAAAATAGCTAATTTTATTAACACTACTTATTAAAAATGTGTTCTGTTTCATTTCTAATTGCATAATTTAAATTCTTTTATTTCGACCACAGCTGTAAGTGAGAACTAAGTGCATGTTTAATGCAACTGCAGCAAATTCTCTTTATTTCTGGCTCTTAGAAACATGGAACATGCGCATTTCCAAAGAGACAAACAATTGTTTATGTTTTTATTTCTCTGTTGTCGTTCACCTCCGCGACACACACACAATGGCAAACAATTGTCTCTAAAAACGAAAACAAATTTTCGGATTTACATATTTATCTTTTGGTGTATTATTTTATTAAAGCTTTTCGGAAGAGCAACCCGCTGTTGGAAATCTCAGTCTGTTTCGGGTTATCAGTGCGAATGGATTACGGATCTCCCACTGAAGGGTAAAAATGTTAAACGGGTTAAATCGTAGTATCCTAGAGATTTAAATTGCGTGCAAGTTTATTTAACTAATTTAATGTGTACTAATTTGTTCATCATCTAAAAACAAAGAAATTCATGATTTTCCGTGTCTAAAATAAAATATATAATGTACATTCCAAAATTTTTGTACATTTATATTACTGTAAGAGTAATGATCGTGAAAACTCATGACTCGTGGCATGATATGATGGAAGCGACAACGGAACATTAACGAAAATTGCATATGGAAGTGATCCATCATATTTTTCCTTCCAAACGAATCCATTATGTGTGGCGCGGCAAACTTAAAAAAATAAAAGAAAGGAATGGCAAACACTGAGTTCGATAATTGGAATACCCTATTAAAACCCTTCTGTTTGAGGAATCTGATAATAAAATAAAAAAGTTATGTCCCTATCAATGGATTTTAGAAACATTTAGGCACATAAACAAACGGATTTTAATAAAGTTTAAAAAATATATTTCCATTAAAAGTATTTAAATACATTTTTTAGTGAAGCTCAACCACTGTTTAAAAATATTATTAAATTATACTTTTATAAAATGGTAAAAAGACTTGGGCGTTCTGCAATATCTTTTGGATATAGCTTTTCATATCCTACACCACACCCCAAAATACACCCCAGATCCATTATACCCCCAAAAATAAGGTATAAAAGCTGATATCCCGCAGCTAAGGGGCGACAATAAAAGTCACACGGAATCACAGTTAATCAACCGCAAACGGGGGCCCGAACTGAACCACTGAACCACTGTAATTGCGGCTACGGACACCACCACTCCGGCAAGTCGTGTGTGCGTGTGTGTGTGTGTGTGTGTCTTTTACAATTAGATTACCAGAGGAGCTCCACGGACCCGAAATGAACTGATCCCGCGAGCTGAGCTACTAAAAATTTGTGGAGGCGCTACACTTGTTTTGTTTATTGTTTGTAGTATTTTTTATGACGGGAGCGAGCGAGACGGGTAGCTAATCCATATAGTCTGTCTGCTACTAAAGGTTCACGATTCACAATTGAATTATCACAGTTTGAAATGTCAAATGCACGCGCCCGTGCGATGAGCCCCTTCCCCATGAAACCAACTACATTTCGTGATAATCCGCTCAAGTGTTTAACAAAAGTCGCTCGGCTCAGATTAATGAGTATAAAAGCCCATAAAAGACCGCCGAATCTATTGGAGTAATCGCTGTCAAATGAGCAACAAAAGGTGGCGAGCCAGAGAAGCCTTATAGGGTGGCCCATAGATTACCCAAGAAATTCATAAATCCGTACCTTTCTTTGGCTGCGGTTAGCTCATAACTCATAATCCATAGGGCTGTAAAGTTAATTGACACTTGATCTACTGATAAGTGATAACAGTTGAACTAAACTTTGGCTTATTATCGCGCACTTCCTATGAGTGCCGAAATTTAAACTTGAACGGAAATCATTAACGCACAGTATTACTGAAATCTCTACTGAATAAACTATAAACTATTATATGTTATAACTTAAATATGTAATTTTATTTTTCAAAAATATTTTTTATAAATAAAATCGTGATTTACTGTTAGCTATACCCATTAATCATTATACTTTGTATTTTGTGACCTTTTTAATATCCCCTCGTTACATTAAAAGCTTCCGGCAAGTTTCACTTGCAATATTTGTCCTAGATCTGTCGTTGAATCAAGTACAATTATAGATTTCCACAAATCAGTGAGCTAATTTCTTTTGGCACATGACAATGTCAGTGCTTAAATAGGTTAAAGAAATTTTCTTAATAATGATAAATTACTGTATAACTTTTAATACATTTTTAAAAAGCAAAACCACAAAGTTGGTAACAAAGATAAACAAAAAGTTTTAAAAATAAAAAAAAATTACTTGTGCATTTATAAAAAATGTACTCTTTTGCTATCCATATATTTCTAAAGAGAGTAGTCAACAATATACATTTAAAGATTAAAAAGCATAAACTATTTAGCAGTCCGACTGAAGATTGCGGCCAAAAGCGTCACTCCGATTATGACGAACCTTAGGGTCAATGACTAAGACGGAAGAGAGTTTATTTTGAGAGATATGGTGGGGAAGTTTCTCTTACGCGGATACACGTGCTTTATTTTTGGCACTCAAACTTCTCGTCTAGCGAAATGTTTGGGGCGTCTTGCATCATGCGTTTGGCAAGCCGGCAAGCGGATGCCTCCGTGGAAAGTGTGTGCGCCTTTTACAGGTAACAGGTAAGATGTTGACGGCCCAAAAGAGCGCGAGAGAGCAGCTGCTGCTCATAAAAGTAAACCCCAATAAAAAAAAAAAAAAAAAAAGGCAAATGCAAAGCCCAAGTTGAGGCGACAGCGACGCCGGCAGAGCGACACAGCGCTCATAAAGGGGGGTAAAATTATATTCCAAACTTAGTTTGAACTCAGAGCGTGCGGCGAGCGGATCGGTCCAACCGGCATTTGCAGTTTTTTCCGTTTTTAAAAAATAAATCCAGACTAGTTTTTTCCGTTTCTCAAATGCCCATTCAGTTGACTAAGATGCAGGGAACATAATAAAACCACGTGTGTTAAATACCTAATCGGTTCGAATCTATATAGCCCAGCGACAAATGTGTGTGTGTGTTTGTGTACTCAAGAGCACTGAATAAGTGAAGCGCCGAACAAAACAGAACTGAAATCCGAAATCAACAGAAAAAACCATGTGGACTGAAACGAACTGAACTGTATTTGAGCTCCACGCTGGCATAAAGAGTGTGCTGATAAAAAAAAAACGGAGAAAAGTACAAGAAGACCCCGATAAAAGCAATGGTCTTACATAAATTCAAATTGCTTTAAATACAAACCAAATTTAAATAAATAAACCCTAGAGGGTTCCGAGAACAATAACCCAATTAAAACACTACACATACATCCTGCAAAATGGCGCGAGTTCAGGCCAGCGACTCCTTGATACCTCGCCAGGTATTCGAGGTTCCCCCGGCAGAACCCAATAACTCCACGGCGGACAGCGGGAGTCAGGGTTCCGGGGTGAAGATGAAGAAGCAGATCGGTCTGCTGGACGGAGTGGCCATCATTGTTGGCGTTATCGTGGGAGCCGGAATCTTCGTGAGTCCCAAGGGAGTGCTGCTGTACTCCGGCTCCATTGGGCAATCCCTCATCGTCTGGGTCCTCTGCGGCGTTCTCAGCATGGTGGGAGCCCTTTGCTACGCCGAATTGGGTGAGTAATGGCCCATGTAAAGGGGCTAGCTTTTTGTAATTTTTTTTGGTTTACCCCATTCGATAATAAGCCCACGCCCAGTCAACAATGTTTCTGCGGCGCTGGCAGTTATTGCCTCTGGCTGATGACAGCACTTCATGGGTCAGCATATGGCACAGCAGATAGGTGGGGGAGTTGTTTACATAGGTGTAAGACAAGCACCTGTGGCAAGCTCAGCAAAATCGACAAACTGGAGCAAGAGCTCTTCTTAATAAGAATTCAGAAAGAATGCACTAGTCAGGAAAATCTACAAAAGAGGTTAAGGCTAGCTGTTATCTGCAGATCAAGTACTGTACGACTACTGTATAGAAAAATTTATTAATTTAAATGCTTTTTTATATAATTTACAATTTAATTGCTTTAGTTTTATATAACTTTAGGAATGACACTCTAATGCATATATGACGTTACGATATAAGTAAAAATACTCCACAGGGTTTTTGTTTTTTCTTCCTGTATTATAAAATCATTTCCATATTCGTATTTTTTGAGTTTTAACTGTACTGTGAAAAGTTCAAGCCTCATCTTGTACTTGCAAATTCTAAAAATAAGCAGCACGCATTTTTTCCGCACCGTGGATTTAAACTTAGAGGAAAGAACTGAATTTGTCAGCTTCGATCCAACTTAAATCGGTTCAGATTTAAAAAAAAAAGGAAAACCCAATGACCTTAAAGTTATCTCTCCCGCTGAGGGAATCTGTTGAGATTAGCTAGTCCAACCAATTACCATTGCGACAAATTTAAAACTTGATCCCATCAAGATGCCCTTTTCAGGCACGCAAGTGAAATCAGTTTTTGTGCCTTAATAAACTAATAAACTAAATTCTGTAGAAAAAGGGGGCCTTTACAAAAAATTCAATTATCAACGAATTAACAACTCTGGTATCTCTTAGTAAAGATTATTTTGTTAGGTAATGTTATAAAAATCTGAACCACTTTTATATATAATATATTTTATTTTAAGTCACTTAAAAAAATTCTCGAATAATTTAGTCAATTATTTTTTGTGGTTTTTCGTCGTGGTTTGAGCAACGTTTGGGGTTGAATCAGAATATCCAACCCCTTCGATTTCAAATGAAGTACAGGAAACGTACCTTTGTAAGAAATAAATAAAAGCTTTGTTTGTTCTCTTTTAAATGTTATGGTACCCCTAAAAGATCGAAAAAAGCTAAGAGAACCAAAATCTGCACCTTTTTCTCTTTTTTTACGTCATCCTCAGTTAAATATTCTTTATCATTAAAAACGAGTTTTTTCCCTAACAGTAAACTTGGCAGACACTCATATCCATAAATTTTTGGGCAGACAAAAATTAACATAATTTTTGGAGTTTACTTCACACATTGTGAACTTTAAGAAAAGCGAGAGATGTTATCTCTCGAAAATAAACTAATGATTCAGAGAGGTATTCCACTTTTAAATCGGATAAAAATTCAAAAAGTTATGGCTAAGAAGGTGGAATACATTTTTAAAGTGGAAAATAAAATTAAATAAATGAACTAAAATTAAATTTATTTTATACTTTTTATCCAATTAGCTGAATGAACAAACTAATTTAATGGATATTAAGTTTAACAACCTAGGGTTAGCACCTTTTAATCAGCAGAATACTAAAATGATAAAAATTAAACAACTATTGACACAAGAAATTTTAAGTATTTTAAGTAGTATGCTAACTAACCTGCCCAAAATGATCACTAATTGTTTAAGCAGCCCTCGATGAACAGGTAATATTTCTCAGCATTAGCGGAACTATGTCACGCTTATCAGTAAGTCAATGTTTTCAGAACAAATTCTCTTAAAATATTCTCTTGTGAAGCTGCCTCTACACACAGAAAAAGTAGGATACAAAGTAAATTCACCAAGCATTATCAGCATATTGGAGGAGTATACATAGTTCGGAATAGTTTTTATCTTAAGCAAGATCTTAAATATTATCTTAGCAAGACAATATTTGATAAGAAGCAAACAAGGTTAAAATTTGCTAAAACCTATAAACAACTTAGTGGAAGTATTTTATTTATTATACATTTTTATATATTTCCCTCTCTAACTAATCTACTTTTTATTTGCAGGCACGTTGATACCCAAATCGGGAGGAGATTACGCTTACATAGGGACTGCATTTGGTCCCCTGCCTGCTTTCCTTTATCTGTGGGTGGCCCTGCTGATTCTGGTGCCCACGGGTAATGCCATCACGGCCTTGACCTTTGCCCAATATTTGCTGAAACCTTTCTGGGCCTCCTGCGAAGCGCCCATCGAAGCAGTTCAGCTGCTGGCGGCTGCCATGATTTGTAAGATCCGTTGATAGGCTGATAGGATTAATCAGTTTCGAAACCGAAGTATTGACTAATTGCCTGCCCTTTGACCCTAGGTGTTCTGACGTTTATCAACTGCTACAATGTGAAGTGGGTGACCCGTGTGACGGACATCTTTACGGGCACCAAGGTGGTTGCCCTGCTGGTGATCGTCGGCGCCGGAATCTGGTGGTTATTGGATGGCAATACGGAGCTCTGGGACAAACCGTTCTCCGGAGAATATCCGGATCCCGGCTTTATAGCGCTGGCCTTCTACAGCGGCCTCTTCTCATACTCAGGCTGGAACTACCTGAACTTCGTCACTGAGGAGCTAAAGGATCCATACCGAAACCTTCCCAAGGCCATTTGCATATCCATGCCAGTTGTCACGATCATCTATATGATCACAAACATTGCATACTTTTCGGTGCTCTCTCCGGACGAGATTCTATCCTCGAATGCGGTGGCCGTCACTTTCGGGGACAAGATGCTGGGCTACTTCTCCTGGATAATGCCTTTCGCAGTGGCCTGCTCCACTTTTGGCTCGTTGAACGGAGCGATATTCGCCTCCTCGCGACTTTTCTTCGTCGGTGCGAGGAATGGTCATCTACCGGCAGCCATTTCGCTGATCAACGTTAATTGCCTGACGCCAGTGCCTTCTCTGATCTTCCTGGTGAGCTATGAGTAAATCCTATAATCAGGAATAACATGATAAAGCTATACATTTTTACTCTATATATTTATTTAATAAACACCACTTTTCTTCTTTTGCAGGGCGCAATAACGCTGCTTTTGCTGTTCATCAAGGACATCTACGTCTTGATCAACTACGTGAGCTTTGTGGAGGCCCTATTCACGCTGATTTCGGTATCCGGACTGCTGTGGCTGCGTTATAAGCAGCCCAAGGCGGAACGACCCATTAAAGTCAGTTTGTTTCTTCCCATCATCTACCTGATTGTCTGCCTGTTCCTGGTGATCGCCTCGTGCAAAAAGTCACCATACGAAGTGGGCATCGGCACGGTTATCATTGTATCTGGAATTCCGATATACTATATGACAATCCACAATCCGGTGAAATGGTTGGCAGACACATCGCAGGTCATTAATTTGTGGTGCTCCAAATTCTTTATTTGTATGCCCAACCAGGAAAAATTCGACTAGAGTTACAAGACTCTGAGATTTAGAGGAGAGTGCCTTTTGCGGATATATTGATCAACGAAGGGATTAACTTGTAGTTAGCATAAGTCTCAATTAACAAATAAGATTGGCTAGCAGTGCAAAAATTGGAAATCTACGCACAACATTACGAAAGTGTTATTGTAAATAACTCAAATGCATTCTGGTGGGGAAATTCCCGCTCAATTTATTATTATGATTATTTTATAATATTATATTTTGTATATTTCTCCCAAAAAAGAGTTCCTCGTCAAAGCCGAAAATAAAGACACGCTGTGTCTGATATACAAAGTGCGAACCATTTTTACATATTATAGAAGTAAGATATACTTATTATTAAAGCATCTTTTGCGAAATGTAAAAATCGAATTTGTTTTGTATAAGACAGTTAATAAAAAACAATTTAAAAATACCAAATGAGTTGTAATTTTATGATTTAGTTTTGGAACTATTAAACACAGCTAAAGGGCCTTCAAATGGCTTGCCGCTTTTGAACAAAAAATATTTAATTGCAAACGAGGTTTAATTATTGTATATTCTCTTTATATCGGGCTCTTAAATTAATTTGGGTTTTTTAAATTGTTGTCTTTAATTTCTCATTGAGCTCATAATAGATTCTTTTTTATTTTGATGTCAAAACAGTTTATTAGTTTGCAAACTAATTGTAACAATTTATTTAAAATACTTTATTCCAGAGACATATAAACTAGGTCACATAGAATTTTGAAGACAATTATTTAAAACTCAAACGGCCTTCGGATATGCAATACATTTTTTAACGTTTAGTAAATAGATACTCGATACCGGTCTGCAAATGTAACGAATATATGCTTTATTTGTTATTTTAAATACATATATTAAAATTGGTTTTAATAATAAACAAGCATGTCTCTAATCTCAAATCGCGTACAATGGTTTTTCGTAACGGTATTTACAGCCATTTTATTTTAAATTTTCTAGACGTCAAAGATAACTGGCATAGCGAAAGCTTTTCTGAAGCTTAACCGGAATGGCAGTTAAGTTTACAGCGAGTGCGCAGAGTGATGAAAACTTCCCCCAGAGAGAGAGAGAGAGAAAAAAAGAGAGGGAGAAAGGAGAGCCCACCTCTCGTCGAAAGTCGTATAAAAACGTTGCGTGGGCGAAACTGTCATTTCAAAAGACCGTTGAACGGGATCGTTAGTTGGCCGCAGCGGTACGGATCGCACGCGTCTGCAAAAAATCGAGAAAATCCCGGGTAGTCCCCGTGAAATGACGAACGCCTAGAACAGTGCGAGTTCGACCATCAAAAAATAATTTACCACTTGAGTGTTCAGCCCATTAAGATGGCCAAAAAGCAGGTGCTAGTTTTAACCCTCCTGTGCCTGGGTTCGCTTCTTTACGAACCAGTACGGAGTTCCACGGAATATAATCGCTACCTGTCGCAGATATTCCAAAAGTACGGCAATGGCGGGACAATCAACTTTGAGGTAATAACCAATAAACCATCGAACTAGCCTTGTAAACACACACAAGAGTAATTTGAGCACAGGTAAACAAAGTCGAACACGGACAAAGCTTTTGCGGTTAATGTTATGGCAAAAAATTAGTGAGTCTGTGTTTTTTTTCGGTTTTTTTTTGGGGACACCAACAAAAACAATGAGAGTCGTCGGGCAAAATTGGGGCTTATAAAAATTAAAGTTAATCAAATATTTGGGTATTGTGAAAGTGAAACAATGCTGTTCTGACCAAGTCAACAAACAGGCAAACAAAAAACACTCTAAACAGTTTTAATCGCGTCACTCTTAAAAGACTGTAATCTTTATGCACGCGGAGCAATTTTATAACACAGGCGACGATGGAGGAGGCACTCGTCTCGTTTGGAACGTATGATACAAAACGTAGACTTTATTGCTGGCATTATCATAAATTTAATCAAAATCCAGACAAACGAACAGTACACATTGTGAGATATACAGTACGCGTCTTGAGCATCCACATGAGTGGCGTAGTACCGCCGCCACCGGTTCACAACATCCTCCTTATCCGAATCAAAGATTAGGGGATTAGCCCGATAAGACTGGTTGCTCCTAATGAGGATTATAGTTCGGCACAGCTGACGAAATATGTGTGTGCACCCCCTCATCTATAACTTTCGCAACGCGATCGTTATGCTTGTGGACTCCAAAGTTATGGACAGTCAGTCCGATTCCATACAATCCGAGCCAATTAACATTATTCATGCGTATAGGCTACGCAATACGCTCTGTCCATTTTAATGCCAGGTTACTAAAATGTTTCTACTTTTTACGCACTCGGCATACTAACATTAAAGACACCACCCCCTGGCCACCCACCTTAGATTCTATTATCATTCTAATATTCCAATTTCGATTACATAGTATACTTGGCACACAAACAAATTTTTGCTGAATGAAAGTAAAATTGTCGTTTGGTGGGCGCATGTGCTCCATAATAAATAGTTTATTCCTTTTGTTTTATGCCGGCGCGTGTTTGCTTAATGTTTGTTCATATGCTAATTCCGCAATCCTGATCTTGGCTAAGGAATTTTTTGAAGCCACTCATCATTAACCTGACACACGCCTCGATCCCCGGCGACAGGTAGCTGTCAAGGCAATTAGATGGATTTCCCCCTCCCCCAGAAACCTCCACCCAGTTTACCCAACAGCAAAAAAATGCGGCAGACAACAGGAATAACAATAAACAAATGAATTCAGATGTAAATATAATTGCCTGGCACGTTGACAAGTAAATCAAGTAATTATCTCTGATAGATCGAGCCAGAGCAAAAACTTTGACAAATTAGCTGAAAATTGCAAGTGCTAATTGAAGGCTACAAATTCCGTGAAGTATTATTATGATCAAATGGGTAAAAGGTAAAATTTTCTTTTAATGGGTATTTGGGACGCTCATTGAATCGAAACAGCTGGCAGTTGTTTCTGCTTATATCTCCAGCAATTTCGAGGTGAATAGTTGTTGTATAGGAGCTTAAAAGGTTCAAGGTTGAACATAGTGCTAAAATATTTAGAGTTGTTGTCCAACAACAGACAAATTGGCAACCAATCTGACTCATCTAGGTTTCCGACCAAAGAACAACATAATTATCTACTTTAAGCCGATCTAATGTTGTTATAATTCTTTTAAATACCTATTATAGTTATTTTCTTATCATAAAAAGAAAATAGTTTGCTTGTAGCAACTAAACATAATAATAGTTTATCTTATCTTCTACGCCAACTGTTTGCGAGTGATAACAAGAATTTAAAGCTGGGAAACAAATTTTTAAAGATTTAGCTTGCTTATTATAAACAAAACGTTTCTGCTGCATTAAATAAGTTTCCTTTTCTTATAAGTATAACACAATTTATAATCATATTTTACAGGGTCTCGAGCATTTAATGTTCAGCTTGAACTTGGGTCAAATTCAATTTGATCCCTCGCACACGATCGATCAGCACCGACCACAAGGATACTCTAAGGAGTCAACGAACAGCACGAATGTCACCAGTTACTTCGAACCAGCACGCGTTAATGTCACCGATGAGGAGGCGTTGGAGGTGGAAATTTCTACGCCTTCCAGCAATCTCTCAAAGCCAGTGGCAGGGCCAGAAGTGCCGGAATTCCTGGAAATGCATGACCCCAAGCACAGACACCCGAGGGAGAGCTCCGGTAAGTATTTACCCGTAATATTTACCAAAGAAATGCCCCATTGTTATCTTTATAGTCGGAGATTTCACACTCCACTTGTATACGTATTATTTACCGTCCATCAGCGGTGACAGATAATAACTAAGATAGGCTAGAGCAGACAGCAAACAAAGTCATAAACAGTAGGCTGGATTTTCGCACGGATACCAAGAGTCTAAGAATCGCAAAATCCGAGAAATTTTTAAGAACGCACGGATTAAAGCCTACTTGACTGGCAATTATAAACAAGAAAACATAATAAAGCCCCACCTGTGCCACAATACAAATTGAGAACGGCAAAATGTCGCCGCAGAATGGAAGTATAAATAGTTGAAGCCCGGCCTCGACTCTTTCCATCAATTGGCCGATTTCCAAGTGCAAGGCGACCGACGACCGACGACCGGCGACTGCGGTCTATCATCAATTCAATTATGCCATCCAGTCAGTCCAGTCGTCCCATCTCATTTGGTTGATAGGAAGTTCCGTCTGTGATCGTGGCCTTGCCGCATAAATTATCAGATATGTATGTAAATACATATGCATTATCAGATTCGTATATCTTTCTCCTTTTGGGCCGTAAATGTAGCCGTAAATCAGCAGGTAGGAAAGATCATTGTCAGCAGGCGGCGAAAACAGGGCGATAACACGTTAAACGGACGCATTATGGATGCGGAAATCCAAAACAAAATAAAACAACAATTGAAATCGCACAGATACAGATACAGAACGAGAAACAAACAGGCCTCAATCGGTTCGTTTGTTATTTTTGTTGGTTGGGCTTTACAGTTAATTGAAGTGCACACAATCATTACACCGCTGTCCCATATAAACTTCTCACTAAACAGCCGAGAGAATTAATGGCAAGTTCGCACATGCGAATTGGATAACAACAATCAACCGCTGAGAAAGCAACGTCTCGGGATCGGAGAAATGTAACTGGCACTTCTATTGAAAAATAGTAACAAAGCTCGAGCAGTAAACACGATTTATTAGGGAAAAAGGAAATTCCCTACACCTAAGCATATAAATTTTTTTTTTTACATTCTGTTACTCCACCCCGGGAGCTTAGAGCCTCTACAATTTCTTGTAGAGGATTCGTTATCAATGATTTTCGATCGTACCGGTGATAAGCCAGTAGCGACTTATCCTAGCGGTGGGGATGCCACCTGTCGCCATCTAGGAGTGACGAAAGTTTTATTGTTGGGTCCATAGTAACGTGGACGAGGGGGTGTGCGGGTCCGGGGAGCCGAAATTTGTTACTAATGTTAAGTGAGCGATAGAGCATAGAAGTGGTGGAGATTTGGAAAAAGAGACCGTTTCTTTTTCTCGGGGAGCCTGGGGCTCGACTTGAACCCGGGCCTTCCGAACCGGAGGCCAGCGCTCTACCTGCTGGGCCACCGTCCCCCCAAAAGCATATAAATAAAACATTAAAAATAGAAGCAACAGGTGTTGCCCAGAAAGCCGAAGAAGCTCTAAGCTAAATTTAAGTTAATTATTTGTGACTCAAATGACTTAATATTTAATGGGGGTTTTAATGCATCTTTTTGCAGGAATGTTTTTTTAAACCACTTTGAAATTTATTTTAAATTTTTCTCACATGTGTTTTTGACTTTTTACAAAAGCCATTAAGCTTAAAAAAGTATCTAAAGATCTTTTCAAATTTTAGAACCTGTTGCCGCTTGCTTATCGCCGAAGTCACTGCTGTCGCTGCTCGTGGACCACAACGATCTCCACAAAAACATAGCCTACCAGAAATTGTTAAAAAATGGAGTCAGTGCATCAGATAACATTCACAACTCCGAGGAGGAGTATAACGAATTCATTAACTCGGTGCGAATTACACCACGAGCTTTTATGAAACTCTGTCCGGCTTTATTGGCTCAAATCGACAATGGAGTGTGCAAGCAACCGGCTCAACGATCGGAAAACTTTCACGATAAAAACCAAAAAATTTGGGACGGTAAGAATCTTGAACAGTATTCAATTTGACAAGATATAAAAAAGAAATTATTGTAGCTTGGATCTTTGCAAGCATCTCCATGCTGATTCTCTCCGCTTGCGGATTGTTGGGAATTCTTCTGGTTCCTCTGATGAAGACAGCTGCCTACCAGGAAGTCCTTAAGTTCCTGATTGCCATTGCTGTGGGCACCCTAGCTGGCGATGCCCTGATGCACTTGCTTCCACATGCCCTTTTCAAGGAGGAGAAACATGAAGAAGAGGTGACTGGTGTAAATCCCTTGGAATCGAATCACAAACATAGCAATGAGGCTGCCTTGCTATGTGGTTGCTCCTTCTTGGCGGCTCTCTTCATGTACATGCTAGAGAACCTGATTCCTTTGCTTAAAGGAGGCAAGCCAGGACATGGACACAGCCACGGACATGGTCACAGTCACGGTCACAGCCATGGTCACACAGAGAAGCCGGCTCCTCACGATGCTCCCGAACTTCCTGCTCCTCGAGAACTAAACGTAATGCTGCAGGAGGCCAAGTTGGATGAAAAGACCCCTGATCGTCCACTCACTCCAGTGGCCTTCATGGTTATCATTGGTGATGGGTTGCATAATCTAACCGATGGCCTGGCAATCGGCGCAGCTTTTGCCAGTGATCCGGTCACTGGATTTGCCACAGCTTTTGCAGTCCTCTGCCACGAGTTGCCACACGAGCTGGGAGACTTTGCTCTGCTCCTCCAAACAGGCGTGTCCATGCGAAGAGCCGTCTACATGAACATTGTGAGCTCAGTTCTCAGTTTTGTGGGCATGTCCGTGGGTCTCTTCATCGCCGGAATCGGTGATGGAATGACCCAATGGATTTATGCAGCCACCGCAGGTTCTTTCCTCTACATTGCCTTTGCCGATCTGGTGCCAACGATGAGTGTGGCCCACAATCCGGAGATGGCCAAGGATCCAAAAGGAATTGTTATACAAATTATTGGTATCCTCCTGGGTGGACTGATAATGTTGCTTATTGCCCTGAATGAACACGATTTGGAGGGTCTTTTTAAGAGGTTTTAAAAATGTGTTGAGAATCTGAATCTCAAATGGTTTTTTCGTGTTCTTATTGTAGATAGTAGTCTAAGTCTTTTCGTTAGAATCTCCGTTACTTTGCCTTCTTCAAGCATGCCCAAAATGTTAAAGATGAAATCGTTACCAAATGTTATAGTCTGTGGTCAGCAAAATGTACGCTGGATTAAACCAGCTCTTTCCTTAGTGTAATAAAAATGTCTAGAACTTTAAAGTAAGTCTGTTTTGCCCAACTAAGTTGTGTGCTAGAAACTGCACAAAATGTAAAGTTTTCGAAGAATAGTTTAGAGTAACCGCAAGTGTTTCATAGAATAATTTAAGATTGCCCCTACACGCTGACCTTGTAGCTTTAAAAAACTCCGAGTTTTTTAAAAGTTCAACCAATAATAATTTAAGAATTATGTGAAATCGTTAAAAGACAAACATTGTATACACAATATTTTTCAATTCAGTTATGTTTTTGTAACAAATAAGTACGCTCTTTAATGATTTACCTGTTAACACTTAATGTGTATCTTGAAATATTAAAGAACGATTTAAGATAATTGCAGTTGTTGTTGTTCCTCAAATGGTTCATTGGGCAGGCGGGCGGGACTCTAAAATACAAAATACATTAATAAAAATCCACAGAGGTTTTCAAACCGATCAATGAAGACTTCTTACAGGTTTTTTGGACCGCTCCTCTAGTACGCCATACGCCACATGGTTCAGCTGGAAGCCGGAGGGCAAAGCTACGCCCTGAATTCGATAGAAAGCGCCATTAGGGCCTTCCTCTGCCACTTTGTGGGCCGCAGAGATCGTACATTTGCCCAGGAAACTGGTCGAACCAACCATTGGACCACGTGAGATGTCGATGTGGTCACCAAGGCGATATAAAGTAACTTTTCCATGCGTTTGCTGTGCAATGCTGGGCAACTGTTCGCTCTTGTACTTGGAATCTTTAAACATCTCCTGGGCGACATCCTGTTGGACATCCAGGCGCTCTATGCGCAGGTCCTGCGCGGCCAATTTTACCATCTCAGCCGAGATCGCACGCATTTCCTCCTTTGATGGCTGCCATGACTGGGTCTGCAGAACAATATCGTGCACAAAGCTTCCAGATTTGACTGTAAGCATAATAAATATTTATAGTGTAAGTTATACAAATCAAGACACTTTAGCTTACTGTTGGGTCCAGGGAAGCTATGGAGCTGAAGATTAGCCTCTGGCTTAAAGGCGCGATTCAGAGCAGCTCCCAGCATAAAGCTGCAAGTGCGCCAGAAGGCTCTGCAAGAAAGAAATTCAAATAAATATACTTTTAACTTCAATATTAATAATCACACCCACTTGTTGACCACGTGAGGCTCGGATACATGGAAGTTGAGCAGCTGCAGGGTGCAGGACTCCTGCAAAGGTCTGTGCATATCCCAGGGAACACTGCCATCAATCAGGGCCAGTGCCGATCTTTTGCAGTGCCCCTCACTCAGGTGCTGGGCACAATTGAAGGGTGTGGAGATGTTACTGTTCATCACTAGAGTCACATCCTCGGGAAGTCCTAGGTAACGCACCTCGATCTTATCGATGCGTCCCACTGCATCCCGTTGCCTCCGTTGCTCCTGGTTGAATAATTCGTTTCGCTTGTCTATCGAAGCTGAACTGGAGCTGAAGCTGGCTGTAACAAACAAGCTTATTTAAGTTTAATTTTACAAAATGTTATATTAAAAAAAAATTGATTTTTAAAGAGTAGCTATTTTCGCACTGAGACACCGCTGAACATGCCATCACTAGCACTGGAGCTCAGCTGAACATGGGCGCACACCGGCATTATGTAAACCACTTCCTCGATCTGTGGTCAATGAAAAGGATGTTAATTAGTGATATTTACCCTTAGTTCTGTATTGCTGTAGCTGCCGGAGGGCGCACCAGCTTGTTTTATGTAATTTTGTGGCCGCAGACATGGTAAATTACCAAAATACTTTCCAGGGATTCAAAATTCAGGAGCGATGGCACTTTACTTCGACTGTTCCAATTGTATCAACATATCGATAAGTTTTCAAAACATGAGGGGCAACCTTAAACAGCTGTTCCGCCAAATAATTTATTTTTTTTCATATTTTTTAATGATGCAGATATCTTACATTATTTTTTATAATAAAAATGACTTTAAAATATTTATTATCTATATTAAATAATAAGCTAGAATTTACTATCGGAAATGTCGTGAATCCGTATAAAATATCGCTTAGCCCTATGCAATCGATATAATCGTTGTTACTTCCAGCTCTATCACGCCTTCAACAATTTTGTTTGTCATCCCGCTCGGCAAAAAACAAGAAAACTTTAGTTCTTCGTGTTATATAGCTGAAATAAAAGGAACAAATAATGGATTTGGATTTGGCACGCGATATGCCACGCGCTGGCTTCAATTTTGACAACTGCAAGCGGTAAGAATCGTCCGGAACGCTACGAAATCTTTAAGCGGCTTTTGTCAATTACTCTTTTTCTTGCTTTTAGCAATGCGACTTTGATGAAAGGAGGCTTCAAGCCACCGACCACCACGAAAACAGGAACCACGATTGTTGGCATTATCTTCAAGGATGGCGTTATCCTGGGTGCCGATACGCGTGCTACAGAGGGACCCATCGTGTCAGACAAGAACTGCGCCAAGATCCACTACTTGGCTAAGAACATATAGTGAGTCTCTAGATTAGGTTCATTTCCTTACGGATTCAATTTATACCTTTCTGAAATATTTTACCAAAATAGTTCTTACGCCTTAACCAATACTCAAACTAATAAGTTTTCTTGCAGCTGCTGTGGAGCTGGAACCGCTGCAGACACCGAGATGACAACGGATCTAATCTCCTCCCAACTGGAATTGCATCGTCTTCAAACTGAGCGCGAGGTACGCGTAGTGGCCGCCAATGTGATGCTCAAGCAGATGCTTTTCCGCTACCAGGGACACATCAGTGCCGCCTTGGTGCTCGGCGGGGTGGATAAGACTGGTCCCCACATCTACTCCATCCACCCACATGGAAGCTCTGATAAACTGCCTTATGCCACCATGGGATCGGGTTCGTTGGCAGCCATGACCGTTTTTGAAAGTCGCTGGAAACCCGACATGTCCGAGGAGGAGGGCAAGAGACTGGTGCGCGATGCCATTGCTTCCGGAGTGTTTAACGATCTGGGTTCCGGTTCCAACATCGACTTGTGCGTGATTCGCAAGGGCAGCGTAGAATATCTGCGCAACTATGAGTTGGCCAACAAGAAGGGCGAGCGTCAGTTGGACTACCGCTTCAAGCATGGCACCACACCCGTTCTGCACACCACCGTCAAGGATCTACTTGTCACCGAACGCGTTCAGGTGGTGCCAATGGAGACTTCTTAGAGGGATTCATTTTTCTACCTTTTCGTACGTTTATTATAATAGAGCTTTGGCTCAGTGGATCTGCTTGGAGTGGTTAAATAAAGGAAGTAATGCTTCAACTCAGGTCAGTGTTTTATTTAAGGGATTTTATTAGACTAGCGATACTCTTAAACGGACGTTGCTTTGGTCATAAACGAACACTTGCCGGGGACCAGAAAATTATATTACAATTGAACAGTTAAGTATTTTTCAAATCTCTTTTTGTACTAGTTACTTCATTAAATATATTTAATCTCAGGAAACCAAAGTGTCTATTCATTTTAAAAACTTTAGGTTTACTACATTTCGAATAATTTATTTTAAGTTAGGAAATTATAGAAATTATGAAACCAATCTAATTTAGAAATAAGATGAAGATTTTAAGTATATAACATTGATTTTGAAAATCCGGTCCCTGGCATGTACGAAACAATAAGTATAAAAAGGACATTTCTCTTTTCGGATCTGCCACTTAAAGCTTAACGATTAATTTAGCTAATATCACATGGTATAGAGGGTCAATTCCTAACAGTTGAAGGCACTTACCGTCTTCTTAGACTAACAGATTAATTGGCACCAAGAATTCACTTGATTGAGTCAGATCATACACGCTCCTCCTTAGACTAACTTAGAATATGATTAATTTAAAAGCTAACAAAAGTAGGGAGAGCAACCACATGGTGTGAGAACCATAGGATGTTGCTCCATTTGGCGTGGGTTCTAGTAGATGCGAAACCGTCAAACAGGATAAGGCTAGATTGGTGGTGATCCTAGGTGATTGTGCGTTGATTAGGGACGATATCTTCTCTGCTTCTCTTGCGCAGGCCTCCAGTTGAAGACGCGTGGGTCGTTTAATGCTACTTGAGGGCACCAAAGCCACAAAGATGCCCACCTCCATGGTGAGGAATCCAGTCAGCTGGCATTCGCTGACCTGAACAAGTCCATCCAGTTGTTGGAGCACTCCATGCAGGGTCAACAGAGTGCTGCTCTGTGCCCTCAGCCCATACATGGCCCTATCGAATTGCTTTCTGGAGTAAATAATCCTAAAGGCGCCACCCGCACACAGAGGGCAACATGCTCCCGGTGGAACAATCAATCGACAATGCTTAGAGACAGGAGCGGGACACTGGACAGTTCGACACCGTCTTCCCATATCGCTGGCCAGCAAACCCACCTCCCGACAGCGACCCACATAATCCACCAACACGTATTCCGCTCTGGCCGCATAACTACTCTTGTAGGTGACTCCATTGATTCCACAGACTGGAGAAGGTGAGTAGCGACTCGATTGACAGGCAGACCAATAGGCCACTTGACCTTCGGGATTGGCTTTTAGCAGAGCACAGGCATTGGGGTGTGTGCGTCCTTGAGTATCGCAAACCTCCCCCTGATGGAAGGGCGAACAGTTCGAAGCGGTGGCGTTGACTGTAATGAATAAACAAAGGGAGCATTAGAGATACAAACTTCATTTATTAAGAAGAAAGAAACACAAATGAATTCTCTGCAACTTACCACACACATATTGTAGACAGGGTCGCTGCATGCTGGCCAGGCACACCTTCCTGTTGTCCAAGCATTGGGTTCCAGGGGGACAACTATTTGGAGGTGCTGCCTGGCAGGCATTCCTTGCATTGCAGGCTCCGTAGACGTAGTCCCCCTCCGGTAAATGGCACTTGGCAACGCAGGCCGAGGGATAAGTATTCCCATTGGAGCCGCAAACGGGAACGTAATGAGCTGGACAATTGCATGGCAGACTGGTGTATCCCGAGTCCACGAATCCCGGCAGACGACACTGCTGTTTGGTGCAAGTGATCTCCCCGGCAAAGCAACTGCAAAGATTACACTCCAGGTAGAATGAGGATCCATGGCGGTAGCTTCTGGCACCAGGAAGGATGCAGTGGGCATGCATATAGCTCGGTAAAGGTTGACATTGCTCCAGGTGTCCTTTTAAGCCACAAGAGCACACAATATGCTCGGCCAAAGGAAACTGACCCACTTCGCTTTTCTTGTGGATATTGCTCTTTCCAAGTCGCACATACGCGCCGAATGGCACAAATAGTTTGGAGTCCTGTCCCAAATTGCAACCAGGTATGCAGGAGTATCCCTGATTTCCACCCCGCTGCAGAATACACACCTCGCTGCCATTGCAGGGTTTTTTCGAGCATGGTGAGGTTATCTCTTGGGATTCCTCGGGATTTGCAGTACTTGGTTTAAGATAGCTCTCCAAAGAAATACAAGGCAGTGGAGCATCTTCATCTTTTTCTTTTAGCCTAGAACATATATCCTTTGGTCGCTGGTGCTGCAATGTCCAATCCAGACACTCATCCAGTAGCTCGTGGCAATCCTCACTGCAGATGCCATTGAAGAGTCCCATTCGAGTGCAGGGTTTTAGTTGGAGGGCACAAACCAACGCCTGCCATTTTTCAGGAGCACATCGACTGGTGTTCTTGATGAAGAGCTCCTGTCCCAGGACCCTAACCGTTCCTCGCTGTTGCAGGAGCTGTAAATCCTCTCGAGCAGCTGCATCATGTTCTGGTGTACAACTGCGAAAGAGTTCCGTGGGTCGATTGTTGAAATTGGTGCAAAAACTAAGACCCTGACATCCCAGTTCACAAGGTGCATCAACACTCTCTATACATCTTCGGAGTTCCCTTTCCGCTGGCTGATCCATACACTCGTTCTCGAAACTGGATCGTGCATCCCACCAATTGCTGGTGAAGATCTGGTTACACAATCTTCTACACTTGTGGCTACTGGCTTGCTCACAGCACTGCCTTTTAGCTGCATCCATTCCTAGGTGATTGGGTTCCCCTAGCGAATTTCCCTGCCCAGTTATGCGTCCTTGGGATAAAGATCCCGCACTTCTTCCCGATCCACCCGGAACATATAGCTTTCCAGTAACCGTAAGGAAACACTGCCAGAAGGGAAGTTGGGGTAACGGAGAGCCACATCCTGCTGCCTCTAATCGAGAGAAAATCACCTCACTCCTTTCCATTAAGGTGGCATTTTGGTGAAGAAGGTTCCGACACGTATGCCGGCAATGCTCCTTGGTGCTGTACTCACAACAGGGTAAATCTATGGTAAATCGCTTTATAAATATAATCTCTTTTATTTAATTTAGTGTACATACACTGCTCTGCATTCGCCAGTGGAGACATGTCTGTGTGGTTGTTTATGCACTGAATCACATCCGCGTTGCGATCCCCACAGGCCCCATTAATATCCACATGGTCGTGATTGTCATTCGCGGGTTCAAAAACGGCTCGACAAGCCTGTAAATAAAAATTATTTTCAAAGTGTTTAATAAATCAATGATTTACATATACAGGATTTAATAATATTCTGTGTATATTTCAATCCTAAAATATACAGAATAAACTTAATCAAGCTTTAAAGTATAAATAGTCAATGCTCGCGGTTTGTTAATTTGTAGAAGTGTTTTATTTAGTTGGCTATTCTTACCTCCAGACACTCAGAGGTTCTGGCTTGGCCACAGCACTGATCTGCTGCCTCCTGGCGCTCCAGGCAGTCGTATAGCATCTGCTCATCGCTTCGCCGGCAATTTTGCACAGGTGAGCGATTCGAAGTGGCACAGACATTGCGGCAATGGGGCAGAACGCCAAATTGGCAACATCGTCTTCCGGACCAGTCCGCTCCACGGGTGACCGCTGCGAATAAGAATTAATTTATTTAAACGACCTAACGAGTTTCGCTCCCCGCCGCTCTCACCATCGAAAGTCTGATTGACGCAAGTCCAAAATTCCACTTGGTGCAGTTGACAATACTTGCGCAGCTCCTCGCGATTATCGCCTCCAGCGCCGGTGGCAAACTCAACCAGAGATAACTGGAAAAATATGCATAAATTGCAATAGACAACAAGTTATTAATCGCAATAAAACTTAATCATCGGCCAAGCGCTTAACCCGCTCCTGACCCGCAACCTGTTGGGTTTCAAAGCAATTTTTCACATTTACCACTCAAAAAAATGCTAAAAAATTTTAAAGATAAAATTCAAAATTATAGTTACCGAAAAATTTGAATAAAAATTAAAAATTCTTTTATTTATTTGATAACTTTGTTGTCTTAGCCTTTAAAAACTTCACTGATGTTTTTTTTAAGTGCATGGGGTTATAATCAGGGTCGGAATTTAGTTTTGAGACAGGGTTCAAAACATGCAGGTTGCAGTTTTTATCTGCTCTCTTTGTTGCTGTATTTTTGGCGTATTATGTTACATTTTTGAATGCTGTTCTCCTCCTGACACCATCATAAATTACATTTGCTGCTCTTGCTCTTTCTATCGATAAAAAAAACAGGCTCAGGGAACTTCAATAACAAATTTCCAGGCTCATTTCAGTGCGAGACTCGCGTATCTGCCACAGTAATCTGAGTAAAGCGATGTCTATTCAAGATACTTCGTGTGCTTGTCCTCGAAACTTGTCTGGATCTTGAGCCTGGTGGCATTCCCATAAATACAAATTAACAAAAACTGAGGTGTAGATAGTGCGAGATTCAGAGGGGTTTGATTTTCGTAGAGGTTCATTTGGAGGAGTCTTATATTTAATATATAGATAATTGTTTATTCATTCAAAACTTCTTTCTTAAAAAATTAAATAGAAAATACGTAAAACGTGAAATTAACTAGTGCATAAAATAACCATTTTCTATTTTCCAACAGCTCCAAAAAATTTGTAGAAAATTGTATGTCTATAATTTGAACTGTAAAATTTTAATGGAATATTTGTTTGAACGTCACGCAGAAAATCATTTAAAGCCCACCACTTGGAAATGCGCTGGTAAAACAGGCAATTGAAAATAATTATACTCCTCAAAGGATTTAATCACATGTTTGTTTTAAATTGTATGGAACCTTTCATCAACTACGCCCCTGTTTGGTACGCACTTTTCCATGTGAGTTCCTGGGTTCCTTCCCCTCATTTGAGCCGCAGTCCTCTGCGTGTCTGTTGCAGTTTTGTTAATGAAGTGTCCGTGACCATGTCGCGCACTCCCACACACTCCGATAGCTACATACATACATGGCATCCCACCGGAACCTCCTCGTCGAGGACAACCTGCCCACCTTGGCACAAAATTCCATCGGATAGAGGCCCACAGAATTGCCTGTTGCAATTATCAGACTGCGGGGCCACAAAAGAGCATTTTGTCAATAATAAAGTGCGCGTAAATTTTCACTTATCTCGGGAAGATCTCTCGTCTCGGGTTCGACTTTTCACACATTCATGGACCGAAAACAGAACAATTTGTGAGTGGGGAGTCGGATATCAAGGAGTCTCTTATTTCCCGACACCCACTTGCAAGATCTAGCTCTCAAATCTTTCGCACGAGAGTGGAAAGCAATTCAAAAGTGGATTTGGGTTACGCCCCTGGGAACGGAACCGGTCGGTTGGCATTATCCTGTTTGTCAGTTTCAATTTGGCCGAAAGATTTAATGCCTTCATTTGCATTTCTAAATGAAAAGATTGGCAAAGCCACAGCCCACTTTCAGTTGGAAAACTAATTGGTTTTGGGTGGAAAATGGTTATGATTACAAAGTTAAATGATGTCAGTGATTTGATTGCTGGCATTGCCTCTAACTAAATCGGGGCTAGGAGCAGACTACCGACAACTGCACACACGACACTCAGTCTCATAGACAACAAATTGATTTTCAGCCGGCTCGGGTTTTATGAATGACTTTGAGTGGCAAACTGGTTGGGCTGGCTCTCCAGTCTGCAGATAGGAAAAATAACACTTGAGATTAGTGTAAGAGTCTTGCAAAAGTAATATACTCGCTATTTAATTAGTAACATATTTAAAGATCTAAAAGTTACAATTTGATACTTGATTATTTTGTAAATGCTTTGTTGAAAATAATTAGTGATTCTGAGAATTAAAAGAACATATTAAAACTGATTAAACTAAAAGTAAATATAGTTTTTATCACTCTATTGCTTTTTTTTCTCTCTGTAAAAGTCTGTGCCTTTGGTCTGAGTTCGGTCTTTGAGTTGCAATTACCTGTTTGCCAGTTTATGCTAATTAACAATGCAATTTGTACGGATTTTTCTATCCTTTTTGGCACAAGGCTCCACAATCAGCAGCCAGCGGATGTGGATACGGCATTCAAAGTTCTACCGAAATTGAACGACCATTAAAGCCTGTCATAATCGTTTTCAATGGACTTTCTGCGTGTGACAGTCTGACGGATCAACGTTTATTGAATTCTAAATTCATTTTGCTTAGTATGCACCTCTCGCACACCATTCATAAGCAGGGAAAGAGGATTCATGGGCCCATCAAAATACCAGGAAATGCAACGTGGCTTGATCAGTAGTTTTTCCACCTTATCGGCTTGTTCAATCTGTATCTGATCTGCTGTCCGAGGTGTTCATACTTATGGCTGGCTGGCTGGCTGGCTGCCCGTGGCTGGCGTTTAATATTTATGACAGACACATCATTTCCCTTCGAGTTGGTTTTGGTCGTGGTTAAGGCGCCTCACACACCGCATTTGGGTAAAAAAGTTATGAGTGAAAATGTTCGAATAGGAAATTTATGCAGAGGTCGTCGGAAACGTATATAAATATTGTTTGTTCAGCTATTGTTCGGTCACTAAAAAACAATAGCGGAAACATACAAAATTTCTATATTTAAAAATACATTTATTTCTTGTATTTCTTAAAACAATTTCTGTTTGTTAAATATTGGATTTTGAGATCAATATTGATTCCAAAAATACATTTATATATGAAATTCTTAATCTTTGATGTTATTTATGATCATAATCAATTGGCTCATTAATCTACTTACAAAATTCAAAGCAAACTTGGAAATATCCCAAGGTGCAACAAAATGTCTGTCCCTGGCTGTACCACCCGTTGCATCCCGTACCCATACGCACTTTTGATATATGATCAATCCTACCCACAAAGGCAACCCCTTTCCCCTTTCCACCGATCTTGATACTTACATTTTCGCATGCTGTGCGACATGAGCCGAAGACCTGATTGCAACATGTGAAGATATCTGCAAGAGAGGCAAAAACAAACAAAAAGTGAGCATGTTGCGAGTGGAAAACAAGAAGTTAAGTAAGCAAAGTGCAGCGTATCAGGGTTTAATGGCTTGGCTCACGCATTTTGACACCACTCAGTAAATTAAAATTTAAATAAATGCCACAGAAAACAGCGAGCGATCTGCCAGAGGATCGTTAAAGGAGCGGATTGCAGGCGGATTCACTTGATTCACCCGATTCCCAATCGTGGTCATGATCATGATCGCCACATGTTGGTAGGAATCTGTTGCGAGATACACTTCCTCTCTGGCACAAATCACACTTCAACTATCAAAAGGCGGGGTTTCACTTTTCGCACTAATTAGGTGGCATGGTATCCTGCTTATCTACGAATACCCTGGGTGACTGATTACTTATTAAGCACTTACTGCTTGTTTTCTTTTCTTTTTTTCTTTTTTTCTCTCTTTTTCCCCTTCTGTTTTTCTGGCTGCGGTTCATTTGGAGGATTGCTCATTGGGTGTTGAACTTTTCTCGCGAAAAGAAATGGGGAAGCATCTGGGGATTTGGGATCGGAGATGGCAGCGTGATAAGTGAATTTTTTCTTTCAATATTGAAGGGACCCAATGAATTTACAAGATTAAATCGAATAATTTTAGAATTATTTTTTTAAACCATAAATTGAGTTAAAAATATTTAAGATTCATATAAGGATCGCTTTAAAAGGTCTATTTATATTTTTACTATTTCTTGCAAGAAAAATACTATTTTTAAATATAATATACATTAGATATAAGATCTTCAAGATGTATTACCTGCCAATTGTAACGACTTGACTCACCTATAATTGACATTATTCTGATTTCCTTGCAGATCGAACAACAAGATAGACTGCTTATCCCAATCAGATGAATATGAATGAGTAGGTTTACTCGAACAGATCTTAAAATCGTGACACGAATTCTTGAATTTAATTCCCAGTGATCCCCAAAGATCCCTTAAACTCGCCCACTTTCCTGTGATCACGTCACACCTCGCATCACTGGTCGAAAGCGATTCCCATGTCAGACATCTGCGACACATGTCCCCGATCTCCGGAATGGAAACTCCGGATCCGGGGACTTGGACGTGTGACAGTTGGCTGGGCGTAAAGGGCGGGTTCAAAGAGTTTCGCTGAGTGCGTGAAAAATTTCAGTTTTTGTCACTTGAGGCAGGAATTGGGGGGCTACTGAACTTCACAGAAGATCAAAAGCAGTGCCCATTAATTAAGTGTGCAATTGCCAAAGGAGGGCAAGAACTATGGACCGGAGGGGAGTGAAAACTGCTAAGATTTTTCCCCATTTCTTGTTCGGAAACTTACGTATTTTTGGCTCAGCCATTTCATTTCGGCCAACCGAGTCCGGACAGTTGCCTTTTTTTCTGTTGTTGTTGTCGCATTGGATGACTAATTTTAGCGGAAATTTACTTTGAAGTCCACCGAAATAAATTTGGCCACGGCCTATGAACATTGATTTGGAGAGTCAAATGTGCAAATGCGAATCTGTGACAAATCGCTTGGAAAATGCCTTTTTGATTCGACTGGCGTTGTCATTTACCCCATTTGATTTTCCGCCCATTCTAATTCAGTTTTTATTTGGCATTTATTTTTAAAACTGTTAATGTTTTCATTTGTGCCTGCTACTCTGCGTTTAGTGTGTTGTTGAGTGCTATTTTTATGATGTATCTTAGTTTCAGTTTTAGTTGCAAAGTTGCGCAGTCTTTTGCCTGCTGATGATATTTTTTACTGTGGCCAATGATCTAAGTTGACTGTCAACGCACCACACTGAAGAAAACTAGGTAATCTTGAATTGGGGAGCTAATAAAACTACAAATAAATTAAAAATTTTAATAACCTGGTACAACATAAACCCGTAAATGTTTATAAAAATGTTTTATAATTTGCACAAAATGTGGCTTGAGAAATTTCTCTGTGTGTTTTATTCTTCCCATGCACATTGGAGCTGTGGGATGGGGAGGCTTCTATAAATAAAGAAACCCACTGAATGGCAGTCCCCGATTCGCTGCCGCATGTCAAGTGTCACAGCTGATTTGTCGCCAAGCTCTCCGTCGCTGGCGGAGATAACTCCCATCACAAAGAGGTGGACACATCCGACCACCCATTTGATTAACGTGAGTGCAACAAAACTGATTGTTTAATAGCTTTTTTACGGCCCCAACGCATCCAAAGGAAATCCAACGATGGCTATTTGTATGCAAATCACTTCAAATGCCGCACAATTCAAATCATTTCGGATGCACAACACCACGCCGGCAGCCCGAAGAATTTCCTTTTGCGAAAAGAGCGACAATCAGTTAAGCTCCAAGGCGGCGACATATACGAGCAGGCCATAAAATTTCATTGGAAATCTAACACATTTATCATGCACTGACACCCCCATCCCCAAACCATAATTCACTCGAGCTGCGAGCTAATAAAACGATGAAGAAGGGGCTGAATCTGAAGTGTATCTTGGATTCTTATATGCTGGCGCCATCAGGCAGCCCAGCTTTGCAGCAATTTAAACTAATTTTTAACACAGTTTCAATTTGGTTTCGAGTACGAGCACGCATTCGCTCGGATACAGATACAAATACGGATAGGCTGTTTCTGAAAACAGTGGCATCATCATCGTCATCATCATCATCATCATCATCATCAACAGCAGCACTTTCAATTAAAACATTTCGTTCGCGATCAAAAGAAAATTATTGCTTTTGATTAAGTGAGTGGATGCGAGTGTGGACCGGAGTGTGGTTCCATTTACATGCAAATCAAAGTGGGAGGGGCCGTAAAAAAACAGTTTATATTTGTTGATTCCTCTAGCCGAGCTGAACTGACCAGCCCTAAAAAATGCGGGTCGGCGAGCCAGGAGTGAATGAAAGTGACAACATTAAAATTAACGAGTGAACCAGTTTTTGAACGCATCAATAAATGCGAAATATATGGAATACTGGATTAGATATGCACAACAGGGAATCACAAATTGGAGGTACTTAATTTAAAAGTCATACGTGAAATTAGTTTATCCATCATAATTGATTTGTTTTGCCTCTATTTTTTAAATCAAAATATGTTGGCATCAATTGCACTTACAATTATAATCCTTATGAATTGCACTGAAATATGTGTTCATTTACTTTAAATATAAATGTTCATATCTGAAATTCGTTGTACTACTATTTTTTATAAATAATCCCACTTGCTCCCTAGTAGTTTGTCACTCATAATTTTATTGTATGCAACTGATAAGCGGCTGCTTTTGAAGTGTCAGCTAAAGGTCACTGGGTTAAACTTTCTTATCAACTTACCATGTGAATCTCCGGACGGTTTGACAGATTCTACAGCCGTGGCTTCCATGCTATCGATGGCCTCACTGGTATCCGCATCCAGCCAGTCGTAGTCATCCGAATCGAGGCTTATGGACTGACTTCGACTGTTCTTCTTCGGATGACGATGGTGATCGGCGGAGGCATTGCTCTTCGGGTTACGGCGACGCACCTGTCGCTCTCCGGATTGCAGGTGATCGTTCTTGGTGCTCTGATTCTCATCCAACTGGCGGACCGCACTCACCACACAAAAAGGCAGCAGTAGCAGCAGAGTTCCCCAGCCACTCGGGCGCATTTTTATCGTTGTTTTGTCTGGATTTTTGCTCACTTATTTATGCACTGGCTTGCTTTTACTTTATGTTGATTATGTCGAGTGCATTTTGTGCGCACTGATAAGTTGTTGCGGCCAAAGGAAATGAGTGTGTCACAAGTCAAAAGTTTCACTGGGTTCACTACATGGCCAATGAACATCCGTATGATAAGCAGACGCTTACGGACTACTTTCCACAATATCCAAACTGATTTTCCTGCACCGAAAAAATTAAATTAAGTTCTGGTTTATGTTTTTAAGGTAAAAATAAAATTTAAAATTTTTTTAAAATGTTTCCTACTTAATTACAACAATTCTACATCAAATTAAGTTTCAGCATCTTAGTTAAAAGCATTTTTCAAGCTCCATGTAAAACGGAAAAACTTAAAAGTTTTTAAGTAACATTAAATTGGGTTTTTCTTTGTGTAAATGTTTATGCATAGTGGGCCTGCGATGCTCGTTACTAGATAGTGATTGAAAAAACACAGACAAAAAATGAAAAACGATTAAATTTAATGGTCTGCCGCACAAGGGACTCTATTGATAGGGAGTTGAGCTATCTGCTGCTGAAATATACATAAATAAATGTAAGACTGTTCACTCGGAGGCGAGTGTGGAAGCGTTTCGAAGACGCATCCGCCTTTGCCACTTGTCCACACGATGTCACACAGTAATTAAGCCAATTGACCTCGCTTGGCCGCCAGTTTGGCAAAGCGTTCCTCTTTTCCACAAAGGCAAAGTAGCGAGGGCAATGGCAAACGACGCCGGCAACGGCGACAACATTTTATTAAAAGTGAAAAAATATAAATAAATAATATCATAAAGCGCCAGTGGTAAAGGCCGACAAAGTGAAAGGAACTGCGAGGGGAGCAGTAATGATGAGACTCTTTTCGGCTTGGGGTCTTCAAGAGCCTTCTTTTCCACCCTTTCTATATATTTTTTTTTATTTTTTGGCCTGGTGTCCTTGCACTTTGCACTTCAAATGAAAGTTTTCATTTTCCATATTACTTGATTTTTCATTAGAGAAAATAAATCTTGATATTAAAAAAAAAATACATTGAAAATTTGTTAAATAAGTGTGATAAGTATAGGTTTCATTTTTAAGTTGCCTGGCTTTAATTTTGCTATTTATTTAAGAAGAAATAATTTCTCAGTAGGTAGAACCTATTACTTTTGAGCTCCAAATCTAGACAATTATTTTGAGTGTGTCCCTGTGCTTGTGTCAAAGCGCATAGCAAAGCAAGCAGGCGACACAGAAAATGGGGGAGTGGCTCTGGGCGGGGGCGGTAAAGTAAGTGGTGGGCGGTGGGCGGCAGGCAGTGGGGGTGGTGGGTGGTGGGTGGTGGGTGCTACCGGGCTATCAGTGTTGGGTTGAGCGGTGACTGTGCTTTGATGTCTTTCTAATTGCATATTTTACAGCGCCAGGGAGTCGTCCTCGCACACCCGCGCATCCGCAGCCAGTGCAGCTATCCTGCAAAAGGATAGCACTTTCAGCGAGAGTGGAAAGTAGAGCTATTTGCTGTGATGTGGATGCCCCTATGCCCCGAGCCTCCCCTCCGCCACCCCCTCGGCCTACTCCTCAAAGATGCCGTCACCCAAAGTGGACCCAGGACCTGGTTGGTTTTTCAACTTCAGCGTCAGACGAACAAGAGTAGCGAACACAAAGGCTGAGACAAAAGCGGCACGTTCAAAAACTAGACAAATATTAACTCATATGCAGCTTGAGGTTGGGCGTAAAAGAAGAAGCCTTTGTCTTTGACACTACAGTCTTACGTCCATAAGTATGTTTTTCCAACTTTTCTGATTGGTATTTAATTAGTTTTTGAATAAGTTCGAGGTTAAATAACAGTATATATAAACCAAACTTCAAAATTTATAATACTTAGAAAAAGTTTCAATTTAGAAAAACATTTTAAACTTCGTAAGAAGGCTAATTATCAAAACAATAATTGAAAAAAAATTCACAACACAATTTTAAAATGTTCATAACATTCTACAATATATTAATTTAAAAAAAGAAGTATCTAGGAATTTCAAAATATAAATTCCGATAGCCGGCAGAGAAAAGCCCACTGTAAACTTGTGATTGCAGCTTCAACTGCATTTTGATTGCAATGGTAGAACAATATGCATCAAACAGAAAATAGCGCCAATTTGCGAAAGGGATGCAAAGGAGCCGCAAAAGGACTTGCACAATACACAAATACATCCATCCATCAAATGCACACACATTGCTCCCAAATGCATCCCATAATCACTTGTCGTTTGATTTGTTTACCGGGTTCACTGAGCTTTGTTGTTGGACTCGTCACTTTGGTTTAGATTTGCTTAATATAATAGCTAATATTAACTCGACTGATTGTCATTTATTTTTTTTTTGTACCGGGGAAACACTTTCGCTTATATTTAATTTGTTTATTTTGGTTCGCGATCAAAAGACTCGACGCGCGACAGCGACATCTTTTAACGTGCTCACGATCCGACGGCTGAAAACTGTGTGAGCGCAGATGAGAATGTGCGTTGTGTTATATTCGACTCTGAAAAGTACACTGAGAACATTTTTATTTAACACGGGAAATTAATTAAAAAGTAAGTAAATAAAAAGCAAGAATATCAATTTTATAAATTTTCATTTTATATGTAAATATAAAACAAATATTTTGACAACAATTTTTTTACGGTCGAAAATTAGAAATTAAAAATTAGAATTTTTTCTACCAAAAATTGTATTTTTATATAGCTCTTAAAAAATAAATATTTTAATAATTATTTATTTTAATTCAAAAAATATTATAATCTGTTCAATTCTAATAATATTTTAACAACATTTTTTTGACCGAAATTTAAAAAAAATCTTTTTGATTTTAATAATTAAAACAAGTTTATAAAAAATTAGTGCAATTTTTTAAAAGTAATTAAAATTTAAAGTTTAAAACAAGTCTAGGCTACATTAAGACACAAACCAATTTTGTTCTTGTTTGGTTAATTCGCCGTGTTTCGCTTGAATACGCTGTAACTGAATACCAGGGAATTCGCTTTATCAGTTACGATTTAGCCGAGACACAACCATGTTCGCGTTGCATGATGGCATCCCTTTTTCTTAAGCAGTGTAAACAGTCTACCAACTGCTTACAGAACTTGGCGCGAAATCCAAAATTTTAAAAATCAAAACACTAAAGCTGTGAAGTATATTCATAATCCTTCAGAACACCTTCAGCCCTTGATTTATATTTCCTTTGTTTTAAGTTATTTATTTACCGAATAATTTAAGTTCACATACATTTAAGTTACATATACATTTTCATTCATATGAATATAGGTTGTTTTGTAGTTTGTAGGTGTATATAATTATAATTTAGGTGGAGTTATTCCTCTATGCGGTTTAGTTTTTGACAGCATCGCCTTCAATAACCACTATTTTAGGAAATATAATTATTTGTATATGCAGTTTTGTACATTTCGTTTTGCTTTGCTGGTTTAATTATACTTTTGATTTGCATTCCGAGTGTGTTTTTCATCTTCTACGCATAGTTGTAAAGTAATAATGTTTTGCTTAAATCGGAGGTATTCAGCATTTATTTTGTTGTTCTGTTGTTTCGGTTTAAATTATTTTCTTCATGTCAGCAATGTTGTTCTTGTGTTTCGTTTGGCAGAGGACAAGTTGAAACAATTGTGTAGAAGGACTCGTGTAGAAAAAACTTGTACAAGTATGGTGTATATATAGTATGTATATATATCATATATTTATATTTATAGGCTGCTCCTTAGAGTATGTATTTTTTGTCTAGTTAACACGTGCAGTGCTATGTACTTTTCAAGTCTTTGTTTAAGTTTAAATTACACACATTCAGTTGTTGTATTCTGCAATATTTACTTGGATTAAATAGCATATTTTACACACATTATAAGGTCTGACTTCCCGTAGTGATGCGACAACACCGAAATGACATTCATAGTTTTATGTGAAAGAAATCGGAAAACCCTCTTAGCCCCGTTTCCCCCGTCAATAAATATCTTATTATTCAGATGCCATTGGAATACTCGTTGTAAGTCCATATAAAATAGGTTCAAGTGCCCGAGAAATGCTCTTTGGTGTGTTCCTTGATAGACGTACTCGTCTGGAAGGAATATATATATATATATGTTTAACTTAACAATTAGCATAAGTTCTCTCCACATCTCGCTCTTTTTCTGCGGGCAAAACTGTCAAACAGTTGACGACAAGCGCACACAGGATCGAATGGCAAAAGGACAACAGGACACGATGGCAATTTGTCAACTGTCGCCGGCACAAAGGGGCGACTTCTTCCAAGCGAATTCGAGGGAGGTTCGCTCTTGGATTCGTACTCCCTTCCTGCATGATTGACGACCACTCACCTATTCGAGTTATTATTATTATTCCCGGTGCGGTGTATTCATAATTATTTAAGAAATGCACACTTGAATGCCTTCCTTAAGGCTCCTCAAGTGTCTGCCGAAGTCGATGGAAATGTCAACAAGTCTGGCTGACAGTTTGGATGTGCGATTACCGATTTCCTATTGTACCCCTACCCGGTTTCTACCAATTGTGTGTGTGTTATTCTTCTTCTCAAGAGGTTGCACAAAATGCACAACGAAAAAAAAGAATTAATCCGTTAAACCAAATTACCCACAGAAATAAAAACAATTTTTGTGGGCATTTTTCGAAGTTTCTGTCGTTGCGTAGGAACTTTAGATTGAGCTTCTTGGAGGGCTAGTTAGCTGCAGCGCGTATATATTGTACATTCATATATATAATATGCATATAGAGAGATGAGATTTTGATTTCGTAGAACATTATAAGCTTCGGACGGCGGGCCGCCAAAAATGCAATTGGAAAATTCACACAGACACGGTTACGTTAGTAGTACACCTATATAGACGCAATGTGGGAACAATTGAATGTTTGTTTTTGTTTTTGTTTTTCGATTTTTTTGTGGCTGCAAATCATAACTAATTTATACGGCCTAGCGAATGTAATGCCACATGGCCGTGGGCTTTCGGGCATTGTTAATCATATCGTGCCAGTGCTGGCAGCCAGTTCCACTTTCCTGGGGACCCAGACCACAGCATCCAATTTCCGTGGCCTCGCTGCCGGCACCCACCACATAGATCTGCGGAGATGGAATATAAAATGATATAAAGAGTGTGGCGAGGGGGTGGGGTTTTCAATTAAAACACGGCCCGGCATTAAACCGGGGCTATTGCCCGGAATTAGCAGCCGTGCTGTTAAAAACGGCGGAGGCCACCGGTTTATGGCCGCCAGTCCGGCAAAGAGCCAAGAGCCAAAAGGCTAAAAGCTAAAAGCTAAAGGTTACCTCGATGGCTGCATTGTGGAGATAATTTGATTGCAAATTAAACGTGAACGCCTCGTTCCAAATGGGGTTGGTGGGATCGTCCGACTTCGTGATGCTCGTCTTCTTTTTCTTAATGCGTTTGCCATTTTGAATCAGATAAATCTAAAAAAAAGAGAATTATTGAGTTTAGTATAGTCAGGATACCTAAATAAATTTAAGTGAATTTGTTAAAAATTTAATAAGAAATATTGTTTGTAAAAGGAATTTCAAATTCAATAAATAACCTTTTTATACCCTTTCAGTTTTAATATTTTTAATTAAAAGTTATATTATTTACCTTTACATATGGTTCCTGAAGAGTGTCCAAATTTCTGGCCTTCATTATGACCACGGTCAATCGCTCAGCCTGCGGTAAATAGTTTAAAGAGCAAAGGAGCTCCGGTCGATCCTCCTTGGGTTTCTTGGTACGCAGCAAGTCTCCCCAGATCTAAAATCATATTTTATTGTACTTCAATACCACATTTGAAAAATCATCTACTCACCTCCACAGACTTGGACAGATCCAGACCATCTACAGAGATGCGAACCTCTCCGATTATATCGTTGTGCGAATAGCGATCGTAGTCGAGCACCTGGAGGATCAGCTCCTTTCCTTGGAGCTGATCGCGGGAAACCGGAAACTTGAAGTGCTGGTCGAAATAGGGATTCGATTCACCCCGATGGATGTGCGTCTGCCGCTTCCGACTGTCGACTTCCGGTTGCAACATTAACCGAACGTAAGGATCCCGAAAGCCACCTTCCTCAATGGGACTGAGATTGTGAGCTGTAAATCAGGGGTTAAAAATCCATTAATATAAAAGTATCAAAAATAGGTAACAACAATACAATAATTTTTCAAAGATAAACCAAAGTAGTACTTGGCATAGCTTTACAAGTCATTAGTCCTAAATTGGATATATTTTCTCAACCGACAAATACAGAATATTAAATACGAGTATGGATCGCATTCACCTAAAAGTGCGCAGCGAGGAACGAAATATTTTGCACTTCGATGTATTCAGCAGAATGCCGATGGAGAAGCTTATGGCGGCCTATGCCCTCTTTTATAAACTGGACCAAAGAAATTTATGTTTCAAGGCACACGGCCTTCAATTAACCAACTCAGACACGGCGGAGTTTCTGGGTCTGAAAACCGGCGACGTAATAGAGGTCACAACTAACCACAACCTACGTCCATCACCGATAAAACGAGTCACTGGAGTTTAATATTATTAGTTAATAATAATGGTTAAATATGAATCTGCCAGTTCGAATAGTTTCAAGATCAGATATTTTATAGAAAAATTAATTTGCATGTCTGAGTGTCTCCAATTATTAATATTTATTATGTTTTCATATCTAAGCCCCAAAAAATAAACAAAATTATAAAAATGATACCCTTGAGTTTATAACCAAATTGTTTATATTCAAGTATTCACCTTCAATCAGATGCACCGTCAGATCGAATAGGTGATAGTCGTACTTCACGCGCAGGTGCAATCTTCCCACGGCGTGACTGGATTCCGGAGCTGTCAAGTAGACGGGTCCGTCCGGCATTCGATAAAGATCCGGCTGAAGAGCTCCCAACGGGGAGGCGGGACCCATGGCTGGATCCACTCCGGGCTGTGAGCGCGGCGGTATCAGCAGCGGCGAAAGGCAACGACCTCCGGCCACGCCCACTCCTTTTCCCGAGCTACCTCCCCCATTCCCGACCCGCCGGCCAAGGAGGCCAAGCTGCTCTGCGAAGGACTGGGTGTCCTCAGGTCTCCCGGATCCGTCGAATGAGCCGGACTGCCGCAACGGGCGTCTAAGGATATAGTTCTCATCGGACTGGGCGATCTGGCCAAATGGTGCGGAAAGGCCGGCTCGCTCGGCAGAGAACTGCGTCCGTCCGGTCCGAAGGTCCTTATCTGTGGTGACGAGCCGCGATGACCCTGTGACATTAAAAAAGCATTAAATTATTATTATATCCAAGCTAACAAAAATGTAACTATAAAATGAACAAAGCTGAATTTCTGTGCAGTTTGGTTAAACAGCAAAAAATTGTTTAAATATATTTTTCTTTAAAAAAATCTATGATTTTTGTGGACTAATAAATTTGGAAATAGTTGACTATTTTAAATTTATTTTTTACTAATTAAACTTTTTTGAACTAAACAGTTTTTAAAACCACTTAATGTTCCATAATTTCGAGTTAACAATGGGACTTATATTTATTAGAACAATACATTTTATACATTTAAATGAGGTCACCTACCGAATGCCTGGATGGAGCGCTGTCCACGCTGCTCTGACTGGAGATGGACGGCGTGCGCTGGAGACGCGGCGGGAAGGAGCGGCTCTGGTGGTGCAAGTGCAGCGGACTGTGGAACACCTCGGCGGGTCCGCGCAAGATGTCCGTTCCGGTGGCCGAAACTGTGCCCATGTGATGGTGGTTGAGGCCCATGCCGCCGTGCATTCCATGCATTTGGCTGGCCGGCTGGATGGGCTGGCATTCCTTGGCAATGGCCACCTCCTGGAGGAAGTCAATTTAAATATTTAGTTAAATTTAATTAATTGAATAATTGATATTGTAGGTAATAGATATAAGAACCTCCGAGTCCGTGGGCAAATCACAGCTATCGCTGACACTACCAGCCGAAACGCTGCCAATTCCGCTGGTGGTCGATGTGACCGACGAGGCCGATGGCGGCGGGGTCATTGGCTGTGGCGGCGGTGTGGTGGAGCCCCCTCCCCCATCGGCAGGATGTGCACCGCCGCTGCCCCGTTGCCACCACTTGCGGCGGTGGTGGTGGTGCCAGCACTCCCACTCGGGGATCCCTCGTCCGCTGAATTCCGATCGAGGGTGACTCGACGCACCGCTCCCACCCGCTCCTTGGCCATCCGAGACCAGGACTCGATGCGCTTGTGGGCCAGCCAACAGGCTGCAGGACCCAGACCGCTCATCTCTCCCAATTACCAAGCAACTGTGGCCGGGCGAGTTGCGCTTTGCTTTTCTGCGGAAAATGGAGGGTTTTGTTGCTTGGCTATATTGAATATTTGCGGACAAAGGAAACCGATGCTTCACTGCTCTCCAACAAGCTACACTTCAACAAATAAATACGAAATGTATGCCAGTTCTTTCCGAAGAATTATTTTTTCTTACTACCCTTAGTAGGTAATATTCAATAAATATCTTTAAGCCATTTGTAAATAATCCTAACCTTTTTACAGATACTTAAAATGGAATTAAAGTAGCACTCAAAATGATTTTAAGAAAATCTCAGAAAATTGTACATTTATGTAATAAGCCCACAATAAATATTTACTATGAAAACATCTAATATCATTAAACTAATTAATTTAAAATGCATCTAAGCGAAAGGTAAGATAAAAACAAAAACTGCTTTCATGTTTAAGTTGTCTTGATTTTTAGCTAGTTTTTATTAACTATATAACTTTATTCCCAACTATATAACTTCCTTCAAAATCCATAGCTTAAACATTTATTATTTAGTAAACCCTCATTCTTTCAAGTGTACCTACACACTCTGCCAGCTAATCCGCTTAGGCAAATACACTCACACGCCATTAGATTCGACCAACCACCGAATGGGAAGTGGAACCGGATGAGATGCCCGGCATGAGTGCGGTTTCAGGTTGGAAGCCCTGAACCGGCATTAATTATGGCCATGTAGGTCATAGTGCAGCACTTTGGCATTCCCTAGCGATTTATACCATGCACATCATAAAATTCTTGGCAAAAGTGCAATTTTTAAACAACATACTGTAATTCATTTTAAAGTTCCTGCGAAACGAGCAAATTGCGTGCAGGACTTTCGTATTTTTGACAGCCAACCCCCTTTGCGAATCCCGCAAAAGTTCAGCAATCTCAGCTCAACCATCGCTTTTATTCGAGATCTGAATGGCAGGTGGCAAATGAAGATTCCGAGTGGCACAACCATGGAAACTGGAATAACGACCAATGTGCGTCATTGTGGTGGCAGCTCCACTAATCAGTCAGTTAACTAGTTCTCCCCGGCAACAGAATGCGTATGAAGAGGATAATGTCTTATTATTTGGAGAAAAAAAATGATGAAGGGAAGCAAGTGAATAGCATTGCAAACAAATCAGATTAAAATGGTTTAAAAATATTTTATCAATTATTTCTATTTTTGTAAAATAAGTAGTAAGAAGTAGTTGCAAAGTTTTTTAAATAAATTAGATCAAGAAATCTTACAATTTGTTTAACTAGTTTAGAGTTTTTAACAAGTACACAAGTATTTATTTACCAAGCCATATTTTTGGCTAACCCAATCTCTCAACTATGAATATATCTTACGATGCAAAAATAGTTAAATCGCTATTTAATTGAGGCAGCTGCTGATGCTAATAGAAGTTTTATTTTAACTGCTTCCTTCCTGCTGGGCTTGCGAACTTCTGGTTAATAACAGCCGTCTGCCAGCAGATAAATATGCAGAGCAGGCCTTTCCATCGGCGGTTCCATGGTGTAATATCATGAATATGCAGACGAGGCATTCTCCGGCAAACCTCACAATTCCCCAGCGGGCGATTTGTCTTGCAGTCCGCATTTCGAATTCGTCTTTTGCATTCCGATCCCATTCCACACACACACACACAACACCCAACATTTTCACGTTTTTCACGTTACGCAGCGTGGCGAATGGCGAAATGCGAATTCATTGGCATTTGTACACGCCCAAGTGCCGTTAAATAGATGAAGAAGAAGAAGAAACCGAGGGATAGAGTACAGAAAATCGGGGAAGTCGAACTCATATCGAAAGGAGCGAAGGGAACGAGGGGTTGCCCAATACAAAAGTAAACAAAAAACTTATTTTTCAAGTATTAAATAAATTAAATGAAATTAAGCACGTGTAGCGAATGACATCAAAACATGGCAACGACCCTCGTGGAAGCGAGAGGACATGAGAGTGAGAGGGAGACAGGGATGGAGGAGAAATCAAGGACCAACCCTCAAATTAGTTTGGGATAATAAAAATGTGCTCGGTCAAAGAAAAATGTTGTCCAAGTCTTTTTGTCGCACACACACACACTGACAGCCTGACAACCCGAAAGTCCTTAATGTGCATGTGTGTGCGGTGTGTCCTAGATCTTGTAAAAGGATTTTTATTGATTTCGTAACATTACTCTTAGTTATTCATCACATTCATTGCTCTGTCTGTCGCCGATTTGGCTGCTGATTTTCGAGGGGAAGTAAACACAGCTGTTTATTTATAATTTCTAGAAGACTTCCGTTTGAAATAAAGGTAAATAAAATGAGAAAATAAAATATATATTTAACAAAACTTTTTTTAATTAACTAACATGGAAGTTTCAAATTTGTCATGCCGAAGTTCTCTCTTCTGATTTAAGAGGATTTCGAAGTATAATGTAAACAATTATTTCAACCCAAAACGACAACATAAACTAGTAATTTTGGTGTCAATTTCCGAGCTCTAAAGTGTGCTCTCTAATCCTTACTTGATCCCATCGAGTATTGCACAACCTCCGGATTTTAAGGGGAGAACTGCGAAAACATCAACTATAATACCATTGAAATGCAGCCAACCGCACCGTTGCTAATTGACACCTATGTAAACTGCAATCAAAGCGACAAACAGCCAAGCCCACAATTTTCACATTTCTCACCCCGTGCAAATAGGAAATGAGCGAAAATTTCGTGTAAAAGTACCCCAAAAAAAAAAAGAGGAAAACTAACAACAAACGGGGGAGGATAGAATTTGCCTCAAAGGCAGCCGCACCCAAGAGAAAAATAAAAAAAAAAAGGTGCTGCATGTGGCAACTGCAACACATCATCATCGTATCAACGAACCCTGTTCCAACCCTCAGGACACTCGAGTAGATAAATATAAAATTGAAATTTTCCAGCTTGTTTGATTTTGCTGAAGGATTGATTAATGGGATTTTCATGGATTTTTCCTCATGGTAGAGTATCTCCACTTCGTTTTGCTAAGCTGCGCTGAACTTTCAACTTTTCTCCTTCACATTTCCTCCTCTGGTTGCTATTATTCCTGAGACCTCTTGTTGGGTTTTTCTGCTCTTGACGGAACGTTATGAGCTGGCACACTAAGTGCTAAAACATTGACTTTGAACGCTAGAGGAACGTATACTTGTTGGCACGGGTATACATATAAAAACACGATAATGCTCTCAGCCAGCTCGGCTCAGACAATTTAGACACACTTCAAAGATGTGTGCTTAAACTATGGGTTTATATCGATAGAAATGTGAGCAGGAGTTACAAATTAAATTAAAATATTTACTGCATTTGGATAAGGGCCCTTAAAGAGTCAAAGGGTTATACTTATTATACTATGTTATTTCCGAAACTCACTTAATTTCTTCAAAAATATTTTACGTTTAACTTGTGGCTCAGGTAATTACCTTGTAATATTTTTATACTTAATTTCTAGTCAACTCTTTTTTTCTCATTGTAATGTATTCTTTTGTGATTTATGTATGCAAACATGTACAAAAAAATTAATCTGTAACTGGCCGAACTTTTTCGATTAAAGTGCTTGCATTTTGGTAGGCGAGTGCATCGCAGTTCCGCTGCATTCTAATTAGTTGCTCAAAGTCATTACAAACTTGTTGCCGCCAGAAGCAAAAAGCGTGGGTTTGTGGCATTCGGGGCTTTTAAAAAGTTTCAAGGCAATCTTTCGATTGGCAGGCTGCGATAGTTTTGTTCAATCTTTTATTCACCATTCATTCATTAGGCAACCATGCGATATCAATTCAAAATTTATCAGTTTCCAATTGTTCGGTTAAATTCTTCTAAAATGGCCGCTAGTCTTTTCAAATTACTGCAATTGGGCGAGCTCCTTCTGCCCAAAGGATGGAGCACCCATCAATCAAAGGTTTTTGCAAGGGGACTGGCTAAGATGAAGGACCAAAGTCAAGGCAACGAAAAGGGCAAAAAACCCAGTACCAAAGATCAGTTCTTTGGCGGCTGTTTTAAGAGTATGTGTGTAGTTTCATTTAATTTCCTTTTTCTCATTTCCCAATCGATTTTTTCTTAGAGTCGGAGCAATATAGAAGGGAAAACAAGAAGGAGAAGAGCAAACGTTGTCGGGATCCCTGCAAAGATGGACCTTGCCGCCCTGAAAAATAGATGACTTTCCCCTTCTTTTTTTCCATAGCTTTGCTAAAGTAACTACTTCTTAAAAAATGTTAAAATGATATAAGCCAATTAGAAAATATCCTAATCTACTTAAACGTAATTTTTTCTGGAAAGGTTTGGCTAACATTTTCGCTCTATAGAAATAAACTTCAATTAAGTATGTAAGTAATTATACTTTACTCCATTGGTATCTAACTCTAATACAGAGCATATTCCCGGCTTATGCATATATGACTACGAATAAACTTTTTCCGCACTTTGAGCACACAAATTATCCTTTGCAATTATGGGGTGTCCTATCTGCGTTGGAAACCTCCTGCGAGCTGTAAGATATACGTTACACATATTATATGTAACAAGATGTGTGGGCGTCATAATCTCAAACAAAGGATACGTGAGGCTGTCCGGTGAAAAACGCTCAGCATCTGTTGACACCTGTGTGGGTGTGTGGGTGGGGGATAGGAAGATACCTCTGCTCACCTTTCCTCATTCGTCGACCCCCCTTTTCGGCTGTCAACGGCAGACAGCTCCCGTGGCCGTGCCCCCCAAAGCTGCCATTGTATGTTGCATACATTTTAATCCTATTAGCACAATAGTTACTGTTATTCCATATTGCAGTAATTTTTCTAGATTGCTCTCCCTGCCACAGACACGCCAAAAACAACAACAACGGCAATGGTGTCCTGTCACTCCACTCGTCCGACGTCCTTGAGCTTGACCACCCCCTCAAACACCCTCTCTAAACCAAGGTTAAGCCAAACCCACCCACACCCACACACACACCTTTTGGATGGAAAATGGAAAACGGCCAAATGGAAATTGTCATCGCCGTTGTTGTTTCAGTTTCTGTTTAAGCTGCTGCCACTGCTGCTTTTTTATTGTATGCACAAATATCCTGCGGTGTTGGCTGCTTTGGATGGCTGGCCAGGACACTTAGGTGTGGTCCTGCAGTCTTCGAATTGTCGAGCGCTGAAAGCTATTCTGCGTGGTTCGTCCAGGTGCAAAAGGCTTCAGCCGCTTAAATGTGAACAGAATCGGGGAAAACCGGTGGCAGGTGATGGTTGCTTGGTCTCTGAAAGGCGGTGACGAGATGGCCAAGGCTTTGGATCGCAATGGAAAAGGTTTTCGCATTCCTGAGTAGAGATTTACTGGGGCTCATTTGAATTCCAAAGTGAGTGAAGAAGGAGATGGTTAAGTGCTTCCATAAAGTTTCCAGAAAAAAAACAAAGAAGGGTCATGAGTTTTATGGTAGTTAAATTTTGTAAGGAAGCAGATAAAGATTTCCTTTTGAAAGAGCGTTTTAACCAAAAACCTTCAAGAAACAAAATTGTTTAAGTCAATATATCATTTTAAGTAATTAGAACCAACTTGGGTTTTTATCCCGGAAAAAGCGAGTATTTGAAATTTACTTCCTTTTGATTGATTGATTTTCTGAGAACGAATTTGCAATTAGAGTAATTAGACCAAAAGAGAAGGTTCAAATGTAGCTAACGCTAAATTTCAAATTGAACTAAGTTTTAAATTAAAGCCTTAAAAAAATTGTAACCATTAAGTATTCAATTTTACCTAGTTAGTATTCACTTGCTTGCTAGCCAACTCTTTTAGTTTAATACACAGCCCACAACATGCCAACACTCCATTTAAATGCTAATTTATTTAGTTTCAACTTTGTAACTGGGCCATGCCTTTGGAGAAAACTTTGCCAACCGACATGTGTCCGTTAGTGCAAAACTGCTGACAAACTCATTAGATCCTCGGACCCAGCCCAACGCCAGGATAATCTTGTTGGCCAAAAAAAAAAAAGGACAATTAACAAACAAATTAGGTATGCACGTCGACTTTATTGTAGTTTGAACAAAAGCCAAACAATTGGCCGGGATAACTTTTGACACACGTCGTCTAAGCCGTAATCTGAGCCGGGCCAAAAGCAGGAGCAGGAGTCGGGAATCCGGTATCCAGTATCCAGTATCCGGAATCAGGGATCAGGAACAGGCAAGTGAGCGAGTCAGACAAATGAATGGCAAACATACACACAATAAGATTTCCGCTGCATAAGTCCTTTGTAATCTCATTTAAATAATTGCGGCCAACAACAGTGGAAAAGCGAGCGAGATGGGCTAAGAGCCAAATCCGCAAATCTCTACTGCTTTTAGCCGGACGGACAGACAGTCAGACGGACGGACAGCCAGCCATTTGAACGTGGCCGGAAATTAAAATGTAAAACAGCAGCTCATTATACGCTCACCTACACACACACAATGGACGGAGAGTGGGCGGATGGGAAGGAAATGCGGAATGAGATGGCACGTTTCGAAGGACTCTCTCTCGGCCAGGACTCAGGACTCAGCCATTGCAAAACGGTAATTCATCTTGCACTTTTTTTGTGGCTCAAGGGAAATTGGGTTGCTCGGTTATACGTATACTCCTTCCGTGCGTGCACTTTATGATCCTGCCACACAATTTGAGCTGCCTCTTATTGCCCGACATTTATGGGGGTTATTTTGCGGAAGGGAACTAACATGCCAACTTTGTACCTCGGCCTTGGATGCACTTTATTGGCCTGGCCCCCATTACCACACGAAACTACTACACTTTATTGCAACAGCTAAAAAGCGGGCAGAACGACATTAATACGGGCTTGAATTTCAATCGGTTTCGAAGGGCACATTTTAACAATTGTTTTTATGCAGTGAGCAGCAATACGACTTAAATAGGCAAGCCTTTATAACTTAATCAGGAAAAAAACTTAATTTATATAACTCTTTCAACGAGGAAATTAAATAACTTATGGTACAAAAAATACTATCGATAATTTAATTATTTTTTATAAGCAGCTTAAAGAGTTGCATGTGTTTTTATACAGCAAATGTTATTCAATTATAATTATTTATATTATATATACGTATTTATTTATACGTAAAAATTTATTTTTTCTTTTTTAATTTGCATAGTTTCCATAATTGACTCATTCAAATTAATTTGTATTAATGTACTTAACAGAGAATTAATTTTTGCTTTTGTTTTCCTGTAACTATTATATAAAAATCATCTCTACTTTTTATGTTTTAATATCTATGTAATTGTTATATAAAAAATCATTTATATCTGTTGTGTTTTAATATTTGAAGTGCCATTTAGATTGCTCGCTTCCCTGCCAACCGAAAACTTTTATTGCAGCTCAAACAATTCGCCATTAAAATGTCAAAGTTATGCAATACCAGCAGGATATTGCATAAACCGATATTGTAACCCATAAAAGCTTAACGGAGAATGAAATAGCATAGGAATTGCCGACGGGCTGCAACAAGTGCTGCAAGCATTAAAGAACAATCGGGGAATGGATTTTCAACAGTTTTGTGCACATATTGTTGAGGGAAATCGGTGGGAAATGGCGCAGTTATTGTGTGGCGAGGAAAACCCCGATCCAACACTTGTCCTCCTCGCAAGGGGGAAACTGCCGATGATAATCCGCTCATCAAACGTCAATACAGCTCTCATCGCTTCTGAAGGAAGCGAGTTCTCGGTGGCCGGATGCCTGTCTGTCAACTTGTTTACAAAGGCGAGATGTGAGCGAATCCTGTCGACCCAGGAGTCCTTGTGGGGAAACCCGGGTGCAGAGACAGCACCTCATCGTCATCATCATCGTGATCATTGGTAGCCACCCGGAGGCAAGAAATTAATCACCAATACAATGGATATTGTGCGGCTGCAGTGCATCGATTGCATTAAGCGGTGGCAGCTTTTCCTGCTTTTCCAGCTATCCCCTCTCACCTTTTAGCCATTCTGCTCGAATCCCTGGCAAATAGCCCTGCGGCCACACGCAGTGGCTTACGAATGGGTTCGCCGGAATGTGTTTAATGCTATTTGCCCCATTCTCGGCTAGGTTTTTTGTGAAGGAATTTTTCGGTTGAAGGGAGTCGCCTTTCGATGATAATTTCCACAAACATTTCTTTTAGTTTGTTAATTTCATTGAGAAGTGGATTACGATTTCAAGCGGTGTAATATACAGAGATTTTCAAAGACAGGTTATAATAGTCATTGCCTAAATTTAATTCAAAATTCATAAAAATTGATTTATGATGAAATCTATTTATTTTCGAATGCTAAAAATGTGTTTCTATTTATTGAATTAATTGATGCATAATTGATACGCATAAAATTATGGCTACTTTTATTTAAGCCAAGTTTGCATATTTCAGAATTAATTAAATTTTGTCTAGACTCGTTTTTAATAATGTGAAACATATTTTCATCAATATACAAATTGCTTTACATTTATCCTCTTCGAATAAATTTTGTTTTGAATAAATTATCAGATCGCAACTCTTTAAACCAATTAAAATAGATTCAATAAATGTTTCACCCCTCTTACAACTGTGTTGCCAATTTTATCAGTCGAGTTAGTTGTCAAAATCTGTTAGCAAACATCCTCCACTGACAACTCCCATGTGCTACCTTAACTATTCCGACAATAACAACCTTTTCTGCGGTTACAATCAAAACAAAATCAGACTCAATATTGCCATAAACAAATACAATGCCAGAATGCCGGGAAATGGGGAAATGTATTTGGCAAATGTTTTTGCAAATCGCTGTGCGAAAGGAGCCACGAAGGGATCAAAGCGAATGAGCCGCCTTTCGACAATTTGGCCATTTAACCCTTCGCAAATCAAAGGACTATTGTTTGGGGGCCCGGCAGCAGAAATTGCACTGCGATGCATTGACATGATCCGATTTGGCTTTCCTTTCAGCAAAATGGATGCTGATGGCAACGGAAAATGCATATAGCGCGCTATTTGCCATCAATCTTGTTAGGGACTAAGAAAAGATTTGCCCAAGGAGCGTTCGTCTGTGGCCCAAATCAAGGACATTCAACGTCTTGAATCCAATCTCCATCTCTGAGGACTGCCACTCAGTCCCCAGGAAAATTCCCCCGTGGCACAAACTTTTCCAAGCCCCTTAAATGCTGTGACGTCAATGGCCTCGGTGTCTCGCTTCAGCTGTTTATTTGTTGACTTTGCCCAAAAGAGTTTCAATTAGGCGCAACATTTTCTGTTCCAAAGTTTTAAATATAAACAAAGCCCATCTAAATTTCGGATGTATTTTTTTTTTTTCATTCTCGGTGATCTCCCATCGCAGCGATAATTTCATTAGGCTGAGCCAACTTAAATTTTGTTGGACAGTTGATTTTTGACAAGGGAGTGACATTGGGCAAGCATTTTTGGGTGATATTAGGTGGGCTATTAATAAAGCTAAAGGTGAGTTAATTTAAGATAATTAAATGTATAAATAGTAGTAACCAAAGAGCGAAAATAGAACTTAAGAAAGTTCGGAACGTTGAACATTTAAATATTTTAAAAATTAATATGTCGTGAAATAAAATTCTCCCAACAAACTTTAATTATATCATTATTCAAATTCAATTTAAATGACAATAACCACATCTATCAGGTGTTAAAACCATAGGTGGTTTTTTTTTAAACTATTTAGAGCACACAATCTAATTTGAAAATAGCTAAAATGCAAACTGCTAAAGAATAATAATGTGGCCTACATTATTTATTTTCCAATTTGCATAGTTTTGCAGTGCCAGCAAAACTACAAAATGCATTTAATTAAATGTGTAAGAGAACGCCATCGAAATTGCGAGTTTGGCAATTAGTTTTTGGTATTTCGCCGCACCTGATGGGCATTCCAATTGTCAGTTTCTGATGGACAAATTAATTATTGGCTGAAATTTGATTGCCATTTGCCAGGGCAACAAGGCCCCGAACTTTTAGCATCATCCCCGCACACACAAACAGAAAACCACCTCCAATTCAAATACTCACCGGCTCCCCATTTATTTTCCCCTGTGCAAAAAAGGTCCTGACAAATCGATGAGTTGGGTTGTGTGTGTGAGTGAGCATGTTCGTGTGAGCCCAGAATCGTTATCAGGGCATAATTTTTGGCTTTCATCTCTCTGTCCCTGGATTTTCCCCACCTTTCTCCCCCCATCCAACGCTCTTTCCCCGGCTTTTCCTCGCTGTCAACTGGATATAAAAAAATATTTTGGAAACTTTATGCTTGCGTAAGCCGGAGTGCTCGATGTGTGCGGTTATATGGATTTCGCCCAGCGGCTGTGTCTCAAACCTGGAATCAGGTTTCAATATCTCGAACGCCGCTGCAAATTGCCTGCGAAAATCTATTGCAAATTTTACGTGATTTCCCATTTCCCAAATACAAGCACGGTTTTATGGAAATCCGTTTTGTGGAAATATGAAAAAAATGCCTGCTCTTTTATTGCATTCGAACTTTTGTGTTATTCTTTAATTTGATTCCGTTTCTTCTTTTTTAATGAAAGCGGCGGTGGTTTCCCTTTTATTGCTTCCACGAAAATGGAAATATTTTCGCTTTGCTTTTTGTGCCAAAGTTGTTTGGCGGAAATTTGAAAATTCTTTTAGTTTGGACTTTCTCGAAAAGCATGGGAAAAGTTTAATTCCTCTGCTGAAGTACACACTATGAATATATACATCATTTTTTTTCTTGGATTGGCAACTGTTATTGATTTTGGTCGACTGCAAATCCGTCCCTACGTGATTCCATTTCCAATTCAGTGGGCGGTGGGCGGCGGGCGGTGGACGGTGGACGGATTTCACTCCGCGCCTTCATGCATCTTAATTGCATTTGCATATTGCACTGACCATAAGTGCATTAAGCCTGGCCAGAACTCCCAGCTGATGCTGCCACATATCCGCACCCACACACATCCGCATCCGCATCCGCATCTGCGTCACGGCCATTGTTTATTGTTTATTTATTGCGCTTTTAATTAACTGCAGACTGTATCTGTGTCAGTTTTTTTTTGCCACATCCGAAGGCCACCCACCTTCCCACCCAACCACTTCACCTTTCCCCTTTGTTTGCCCTTTTTTATGCATGACTTGGGGCCTGGTAAACAACACATGCAAATTAACACAGAGAGCGGAGAAAGCCTTCGCTTTTAAAAGTCGAAACTTAAACTTTCTCAATCATTCAAAATTGAATATACGGATTTTTAAGATTTTAATTAATTGAACAACCTTATAAAAAAAACGGGATAATAACTATCTCACAATAATATCAATTTTCAGAAAGCTTCCATCAAAAGTGATATATACAAACAAAAGAAAAAAACTGCACGTTAAGAATGGACGTAAACTGATATTCAAAAGAATAAACAGTATAACGACCTTTTCGATATTCATTGCATCCTGTGCAAACTTTTTTTTAACTTACTGTAAGCCTGGCATAAGCGGATTATGACACAAAAACCAAGGTATCACTTTAAAGTTTTTGCTGGAAATTTTGTTTACTGATTTTTTGTTTTCAGCTATTGTTGATATTTTCCTCTCCATTTATTTCATATTTTTCAGACTTTGATTTTGCAAAGCTAACAGCAATCAAATCAAAACCAACGAACCAAATGTCCAACGGAAATCAAGTAAACTAATTTAACTGCGCATGCAAATACACACATCACACACTCGAGAGCCAATGCATGTGTGTATGTGTGCGTGCAATCATTTGAACAAATCATATCACAAGTTCACTTCTTCACCTAAATTCTGCTGATGCACTCTGAAAATCTAAGATACAAATCCTATATAGTTTGTCTAAAACTAAACAAAATTATGAATTTAAGTAAGCAAAAAGGGTTAGTAATATATTCCTCAATTTAGTTTAGTAAAATATATTAAAAACTTTTCCAAATGATTTTTCACTTCCTCTCTTTTACTTTATTTAAATTTTAGCGTAAAGACCTATCTTTCTGTCAAGTTCTGGATTTTTTCTCGGTGTAGTTATGACCAGTTTCAGCTTGTTGAGCTTTTGGACGGAAATGCATTGGCTAACCAAGGGGGAAATGGGGACGAATAAGCTGGGATGGATATGCTGGGGGGCGAGGGTAACGCAATCAACTCATACATATGCAATTCGCATGCATGAGAGCTCCCATCTATGAAAGTGCGTTGGTGTTTGTGTGTTGGTGTTTCAGTGCGCGAGGATATTTGTATCTCAGTAATTGCCAGACTTGAAGGATATTTGGCTTAGATGCAGCCAGAGTGCAGCTCGCATGCCAAATTAAGATTTACGACTTGCATGCGGGGCACTCAGCTGGAAAGACAGAAAGCAAGAAGAAAAGTCGGAAAAATAGGGAAAATAGGAAGAGCCAAATGCAACTGTCTCCTACGCGCGCAGCTGAAGAACCCACTCGAAATTCCCCATTCCCATCTCTGATCTCCAGTTTTTTGTTTGGCCAAATCCTCTTCTGTTTTCTTGGCCCGTGACTGGTTGCAGCCATTTTCGTCCTTCTAATTGTGACAAATTGTGTGGCACATGCAACATGTCCTACGACTGTGTGTGTGTGCCAACGCGTGTCATAGGGATTCTCACTCGCACACACTCCCTATCTCTTTCCCCCGGGCTGCCATTTATTGTTATCCACAAAATGCTGACATATTTTTCTATTATACGCCGCTTCATTGATATAATTTATGGACTCCCTTCAAGGCAGCCTTATATGTACATATGTATAGCAACTGAGGAGGAGCACTGCTCCCAGAAGCCTTTCGTGTGCGTTTCTAATGGATGATGAGGGATGAGGAGGGGGAATGAGGATGCTGCTGGAGCACGTGAGCAACAGCAGGGGCAACAATAACATTTAATAGGCGCATGGGAGCAGCGATGACTGCCTAAACATGCCCTGATTTGACTCCTTATTGTACACGAAAAATAAAATCATTAGGTTTACAATAGCTATAAAATTTAAAAATGCATATTACATTTATCAAGCAGAAGAAAAGTATCTAAGGGATAAACAAATTAATTGATAGGAGCATATAATCATCTTGGAACGTATGTTCATTTCATTTAAGAACCCCAAATTATTGTTGATATTTCTTGTAGTGTAGTAGGCTTGCCATCATCTCTGGTTAATAGGGAAATTCCCCTGCCACAAAACCGAGCAGCTGCCCCATTAACGCTCCCTGCCAGAGAAGAGACAACATTCAGCCAACGAATTTGTGCACTCGCCTGATTCGTTATCTATAAATAATTATATTAACTTTGCTTTTTGCTCTTGACTAGGCCTAAACACACGAGGGAGCAGGGAAGGACTCCCTCAAACCAAGAAGGACTCATCAGTCAGCGAGCTGCAGTTTGGGTGTCGGGACTTGTTTTTGGAACTGAGTTTTTGGGACCGCGCCTAAAACTCAGCGTGGAGCACAGGGCGCATACGAAATTTTTGTGGCAGTCCCTCGAAGAACAGAAAAACATTGAAGGAGAAAGACACACACACAAGAATAGCGAGGGGAATGGGCCAAAAAGCATTTGCTAATATTCAACAAGAAAGCACCGACGAAAAAAAGGTTATGTTTAAATTTAATTAAATTTGATCAATACGAATATGTTATTGGCAAATAAGGCTGCGCTATGATAAATAATAATGAAATTGAAAAAAATAGCGTAAAAAGCAGTTTATTGATTGGCGAATAACAATTAAATAATGAAAGACTTAAAGACACATATTAATAAAGCAGTCTACATATATTTTGAATAAAACACTCTATATTTGAAATAAGACACCCTATATATAAATGTTTTGTTTTTTTCTGTGCACTGCCTGCCATCTGCTTTTTTCCTTAGAACAAAATTTTCAAGATAAAATTTTTTCTTCGCTTTGACGTGGGGAATTTAATCGAAATTCCAAAGATTTTCCAATTGCAATTTGGCCATCAGATAGGACCCCTACCTCAGGACAAGTTAAGGGGTTTCCCCACGGAAAACCAAACTAATTAATGCAAAATTAGGCGCCCATCGCCCGTGCGTTCAATTAACTTTCCAATTAGCCGAAAGCAAACAATATGCGTGCACCTCATCAATATGTAGATATATATCTATGATATAGAGCTCCGCACAGCTGCTGACACATTTGATTTGCTATGAAAATGAACTGGTAAATAATAAATGAAACTGGCTAAGTTGTCGCTAAGCAAAAGTTTGAGAAATTCTCGACCGGAGAGCGAAGGCAGCGAAGCAACAGTTCCAAAGGTTCCTTTACATACTTGATTTTCTCTTCTTTATTCTTTCGTTTTTTTTTTTTTTGGCTACAAGCACAACAGAAGGGATTAGAGAGCGCTCGGCCTAAACTTGGTTAACATTTTTCAGCACAAAACACTTGGCCATATTGCAGAGTCACACAGACACAAACACCGCCGCAAAAATATCCGGAACAAAAACAAGAACAACTGTGACTGTGACACGAAACTCAATTGAAAGTTGGCTCTTGGCGTCCATTAATTGGTGTTCAGCGATTTCAGTTGTTGCCTCTGACTTTGGCCCACTCTCAATTCCGGTCCGCGGGATGTTCCTCACTTGAGAGCTGTACGCGTGCTACTGATTTTCCATTTTCACGCAGAGCCAACAAGTTGCAAAAAAAACGGGAACTTCATTCGAAAGCGCTTCGTCTTCGGCCTTGCCACTGCCGACACCAAAAGCATCGGCGAGTGTTCTAGTGCCCCGAAATTGATGACAGGACACTCAAAAAAATAATGAACTTCACTATTATATTATGAAAAAACAAATAAAATTAATTTTTAAGATGAAAAAAGGCTGGTTATAATAATAATAGTTCAGAAAATAACCGAAGTACGAAACAATACTTTATATTTTAGTATTTTTTGATAGCCTATATTTATATTCCGTAGAGTTGTAATCAATTAAAAATAATTTTTTTATAAGAATTTTTTTTATTTTATTTCCAGAACCATTTCTTATAGTGCGTAAGCAACAACAAAATACTCACAAGGAGACAAATAGAGAGAGAAAGTATCAATCGGGTAAAGCTCCTTTGGCATTGAATTCGTTCAATGCGAACTTCGAAAGCTTTTTCGCAACTTGTTGCCTTGTGCGTTCCCCAATCAGCTGTTGCTCTCTTAGTCCCCCCACTCCTTTGATTCCAAGGATAAGCCTTTCTAGGGAGCGGTTACTATACCCGAAAAAGGAGGCTATAGTTTTGGGTGGAGTACTTAGGAGTTGTTGGGATAATGGCCCTGTAATTTTCTAGACCATTGAACTTGGTAAAAGGGATAACTCCGGGACCCAAGTGATTAGTTCGAAAAAGCTCGGGTCAGCTTTTAATGGTGTACGTGTGTATGCGACTTCACCTTGAAAGCTTGGGGAGCAGTGAATTTAGAGAGCCAGAGATAAGAAATGTATATATCTGCACATCGGTGTGGGTGTTAGTGCTTTTGTGTGAGTGCGTGTTTCAGTGATTCAATTTGTTGAATACTTTTCGGCGTTTTTTCGTCTTAATGACCGCCCATAACTGCGGCTCGAGTTACCCATAAGCGACCTTAATTGACGCACACAAATGCGCCAGCAACTGTTTTTTGCTCTCTGTCATTGCCTGGTATCCATCCCCCCCCCCCACCTCCTCGCCTTCCCTCTCTCTCCTTCTCCCGCTCACCCACCTTATTTACCTGTTGTCATTTTTGCCCCTGAAAAAAGAAAGCAGAAAACACGAAGCTACGGGGAGAGCCAGTCCAACGACGACCAACAGCGGCTGACATTGAGCAAGCTGCAAAGTAAGTTTACCCATGGCAATGGCATCGAGCTGCTTCGTCCTCCCAGGACTTCCATACCCTTACTAATGGAAAACCCTTATAACGCTAAAATCATTGCCTACCTTTTGGCGCGCAGCACGGACTGCAGCTTTATTTCGTGTATTGAACTAATATTAAGCTGATTAATTTAAGCCTGTATAAAGTTGAGACAGGATATTTTATTTTCTCAGAATTGGTAAAACTCGCATTAAAACAGTGGGTTTTACACTGTTTTTCGGGGTATCATTAGCTTGAGATATTTCGTTTCTAAATCAGATAACTAAAAGAGCTATAAGTTGTGTGCAAAAAAATCTAGATTTAATTAAAAATTGCTATTTTTGTAACCTAAAACGTGGTTTAATTGAACAGATAATTATAGTACTTCCACATTAACAAATTCTTCTTTAATTTCAATTCCTTTTCTCATCCTTAAATGAAACTTGTAGGGTATAACTATCTTCGGTGAGAGTACTTCTAACCTCCCTCTAGTTTTGCATTGTGTTTGCAGCAGACAAACAGACCTCACTGGATAGTGTAGGGACACCCTCGCCTCGAATGGCGTAGCTCTGTGTCTGTCCATAACCTAAATGCGTGCATATATTTATGTTTGTGAGTCGGTGTGGCTGTGGATACTTTATGTGGACAGGAAACTTTTCAGGCAGACTACTTCACGTTAAGCAGGGCGGGACGAGAAGGACAGAGGGAAAGGACATCGGACTCAGACGTGTACAGACGACTCATCGTAGGCTTTTATTGAGCGCAGGATATTCACATAGACAGACATTCAGGGGCGTGGCAAAAAGAGGCTTGTTATGAAGAGAGGCGAGGCAAAAATATGGAAGCAATTGCCAAACTTTTAAAGACGTTTATAAGTCGCTCCTATTACTCGCAGCTGGAATGTACAAGATTATTTTTATTAAGTTTATTTTAGGCAACCGTTTTGACGGAAAATTTATCAAAGGAAAAGCTTTACGAGATGTAGTTTTATTTAATTTATTTATTATAATAATAAATGTAATGATGTTTTATCAACTTAAAAATCAAATATAGAATTTCATTTTTGTTTATGGTCTACTTTGTCTTTCTACCTAAAATATATGATACTGTTTTTAGCGGGAATTTTTGTAAGCAGTAAAATATTGAAAGATAATTAATTAGTTTTGCTTTTATAACATATTGCCCAATTATTTTAGCTAACATCAATTTAACAACTGTAATAAAGTGTAACCATATTATTGGCTTAAAATGGTTTTCAAATATTTATCTTGCTTCTATAGCTGCTACTATATTTTTTCAGGAGTGTAAGTGTAAGTTTACCTTTTTTAAATTATTCAGACCCGATTTGCCAGTTCCCGTGCACAAAAAGTTTTGGCCCAAGCCATCAAAAGGAAGCTTAGCTTGTTGCTCGCTGCACATTGCCCTCTATCTGTGTTTTTCCTCCCTTTTTCCACTTTCTCCGCGCTCCACACTTTCCCCCACTTTCCCGAGGCTTTCGTTTCGTCGGCGCTTGGCATTGGCGAGAATTGTCAACGTATTCGTTGCCTTTGCCCTGCAGATATGCTGGCATATTTATTTATGTGCTCTGCCAGTTGGCTGTTCTCGACTTGATTTCATTTCATCTCTGGCTGCCTTTGTTTTTTTTTTTTTTGTTTTTGTTCTTTTAATAACAAAGCCATGGCTGTTGTTTTCTCGTCTTCGTTATTTTTGTCGTATATTTTGACTGAATTTGGGCTTTTTGTTGGATTTCGGCAGATGTTTTTCTCCAAGGGTTTCGCATTCATTTCTCATAAACGCCAGTCCCCCTGCAGCAAGTGCCTACTTTTACGTTTACTGACTTTAATCTTTAAGATTAGCCGGCAAAGAAAGCGCCTTTGCTTTGTCACCTTGTTTTTAGGGCGCTAGGCTTAGACAGCCCATTTACCAATTTTCCTGCAGCAGTTCATTCACTTTTAGGCCACTTTTATCGGGGTTGTGTGAACTTTGTTTTGTTTTTGTTGGGTCAAAAGTTTTGTCTAGCTGGCTTTGCAATTTAAATGTCGAACGCTTTAACATTGGCTCCCTTTTATTCAGTTCACACATATAGTATGTAAGTATAGGTAATTCTGGGAATGCCATAAGCTTTTTATATAATTGAAATCCGGACACGTGCCAGTCAGTCAGTGCGTATGCTGGCAATAAATTCAGTTTCACTTGTAATCTATACGCACATAAACAGATCCACATACTTATTTCGGTTCGTTCCTCGCCATATGTAAATTCACTTGGCCATCGGACTCCTTTGGGGCCGAGAAAGAGGACATTGTCCTCGCAGTGTGTAGGCGCCTCCTGGCATATGCTACAATCATAATTACATCGTCCTGAGCAGAAAGTCCTGCGCGTATGTTTATCTTATTCAGCTTTCTTCGGTGACTTTTTCACTCAAAGAAATGGTTTGCTTATTTTGCAGATTATTTTTAAACCAGAAACCCAATTTAATTAAAAACTAATTGTTTTTTAATTAAAAAAAAAGTTGTTTAATCTAATAAAATAATTTTGCAAGCATGCTTAAAATAATTTTTACTCTTCAGCAACCTAAATTATTCACTTATAAATTGGTTGACTCCATAGTTTTTCTATCTTTCAAATAGGTTTACGAATAAGTAAACACCTTTATTTTCTTTCAATGCGTAGTATGTCGTCAGTTGCATAACGAAGCGACAAAACTCATTTTAAACAGGCGCCACTAGACGACTGTGGGGCGCCACAGAAATTGCTCCACCGTTCCGCTCCAGACCCCCGGATCCCAGGTCGTGTTCCCGGCCAAGTCAACGTGTTGGTGATGAGCCCAGTACGGTTACCAACAAGTTCATTAAATACAATGCACAGTGTGGCCAAGGACGATGACGTGTTGCCATCTAGATGTCCTTCATGGACAACCGATTACGGGGAGGTGAAAAACTCTCCTAATACGAAACTTGTGGGTGATAGAAGCTGCGGGATGCTCGGCAAATTGAAATCTTTTATGGAGCTATAATTATTGGAAACTGACAGTCAGGTTGAAGTAATTGAAAACGTAAACACAGGGCTCCCAAACAATTTGGCAACCTAAATGAAATTCGAGCAAGAAAGTTGAAACAATGTTTTCTTTTTCTCTTTAATTGTTTTGTTTTCAATTACACACACGTGTGATTGGCTCGTTTATTTTTAAGGTAATGAATTAAATTATAATTAAGACATTAAAAAGATGTATTTTGTTAGTTTAAAATATATCTTACTTTTTTCGGTTAAAAAAACCCAAAAATCATGCTCAAAAAACCACGAAAATTATCGCTTTAACTGCGGACAACTTTATGGCTTCACACATCCTGTGGCTCAAAAAGCACTCCATGGAGCAACAATGTTCGGAGGCCGCTTTAATGGGTCAATTAACCGGTTCCACATATCGCGGATAAGGGAGAAATTCCCGTTTGCGTGACCCAGGAACATAGAAAGTTTCCTTTATAGGTCTAAGGGTAAATTTGACATAAATATGTGCTTAATCTAGGTCAAAACAAGGATACCGGAAGCCTTTTCGCCCAAAAGTAATTATTAAAACCGAGGAAATAAAAAACTCAATTTTGTGGAAAAAGTGAAAACTCATTTCGACCGTGTTTACCTTGCTTGACCAGCACAAAAAACCCCCAGACTGCCTACAAACACATATAAGCATATACACTTAATTTATTTATTTTGTGTGCACGCTTTTATTTGCATAAGCTTAAAGGATTTCGGAATGCGAGCTTAGATTTACCTCGGTCTGCAGTTGTTTTATGGCTCACCTCACAACAAACCAATGGCCCCCAAAGTTTAACCCTGAAATCAAGCAGAAAGGAGTCCCCCAAAAGCAAGAAAAACTTTTAGGGGGAGTTGGAAAATATCCTAAACTTTATCGCTTAAAGCTTTGTGGTGAAAGTACTAAAAGTTTTGAAGGGAAAGTTTGCAAAGCTTTTTCGAATTTCCCCTGGCTGGGATTACTAACTTTCTAAGTCAGAATTCCCTCATGGCCGAATTTGAAAAATATTTAAATTAAACACTTGAGACCACAACCGTTGCACCACAGGGAATTTAAGGACCTTCTATGGATTGGCGACAGACTGTCTAGACAAGAATCCAGAAGTGAACACCTGACAAATTTCTCCGCCTTTCAGGTAGGCGTTCAATTTTCAACGGAATTTCATTTGTTCTAGCCAGAAGCGTTGGCCTAATGATCTTTTAACAGGACCAAAAGGCCGGAGGGAATTTCCCAGCCTTGACGAAGGCAGTGCAACGCATTCATTGATGAGGACGATTCAGAAAAGAAAGATTCCACTTTAAACTGAAGAGGTTCTGCACTTGAGGCTGTATTCATTCATGAAGTGTCCGCCAGGCGGGAGATCAAAACAGCAAGGAATCTGCGAATCAGCGGGGCATTCGAAAGTTGGCAAGACATCTGGCAAAGGAAACTCAAGAATGAGAACCTGCAGGGAAGAGGTGTATGCAAATTTATTTACGGAAATAATTTTGGGAAAGCAAAGTGTACCTTTGCATATGGTATTTCAACAAAATTAAAATAACATTTTGTAGTAAATATGAACTTAAAATAAATATAATATATTTCATTCCAAAGTGGGTCGCATTATGTTGTTTATAACTAATTTTTAACAGCGAATATATCCAAATTGATTTGCTATTATTTTATAGGTAGCTAGAAGTTGTTGAAAAATATATTAATTTTCTTTGCTTTTTCCAAAATTCCTAACATCCACTTATCTTTTTTTAAAGGCATCCTTTATTGCTCCATAATATTTAATTTAGTTAAGTTCCCTTTCAATTTCACCAAATACAATCCTAGCATCCTCGACTAGTTTCAAATGATATCTGTGATTTTCCCAAAATCAATGCAATTCCATCCGATAAGGATCGAAGAGCCCACGCAACACTTTTTGGCAAAACATTTTTTGCTACGCTCCTTGAATGAATTGACGAAAAATAGGAGATCCTGAAAGGAGTCAAGGAGTCCTACCTGCTGGCGTAGCACTCGAAACTCAAGAGCAGAGCTCTTCACCTCAAGTGGAAGAGGCGCACACTTGAGCAAAAACGCCGAGGACTCGAGTAGATAACGATCGAGGACCTCGGATTCGATCAGGTAAAGGCGAGTCGAAATTTTTGGGAATAGCTAGAGGAGAATGGAATGCCGAAATTCCGTTTAAAACCGCCGACTGGGCTATTTTGCCCATCGGCATTCCGATTTCCATTTTCGGACCCCGAAGGCCCAGAGGGGCGTAGGTGCAATTGCGTTTATTAGCACCGCACCCCTTGGGATCGGACAAAAGGACGAGTTAGTCCTTGTTTCGGTTCCAAGTTCGAGGACCCATTGAGGAATTGTCCGCCGTTCAATGAATGCTGAATGAGTCGGCTTCGGCAGGTTTTGTTGCGCTTGATTCGTTTTGGGTTTGTCACTTATATCGATTTTGGACAAATCGCTGCAATATCTGGAATGATAAGCATCAGTCGATTTGGCATCATCAATTTGTGCAATTTGAAGTGTCGTGGGAAATGCTTAAAAACTGTCCCCATTCCACGGTGAATTGTATCCTTGATTAATTAGAATTTTCAATGATTCGGCAAAAATGACTCGGTGTCATCATTTGAGGTTAATTTTAGGTGGCAGACCGCACATTTCGCCAAGGGATTTGTTACATGGTCTTGTGGAACCAATTTACAAACGGCAACTCTGGAGGTACTTAAAAAATAATGGAAAAGTTTATGAAACAAAAATGTTTTGTTAAATGATTTCAGCATTTACAAAGAATTTTATGAAAAAATTAATGTTTTTTAAAATTGTTCTTCTCAATTAAGAAACATATTTAACAATGATGTAAGCAGCAAAGCAAAATGCAATTTCAAATGCCAAAGAAATACCCCGACATTAAATAATTTAAGGATTAAGGACCTTCCTATGATACACATCTCCATATCCTAACAACCATCCAATATCCATCCAATCGCCACTCACTAAGCTCCTCTAACAATCATCCTATGACAGATTTGCAAACGAGATTTCGGCCGAAAACATTTCCTATCCCATAATTTGTCAAGCCTGTCGACTTATCGGCCCTTCGAGCAACTCAATTTTTGCACATTTTATGCCAAAAAAAAAAAAAACGAGAAGCCGTTGAGATGTGTGAAAAATTAAATCTGACAAATTTCCGGTTCGGTATTTACTGATTTTTAAATGAATGTATAAACTCCGAACATTATTTTCCAGTTGAAGGGATTAAAGACAGAAATCGAAATAATGAAAAAAAATCAAACAATTTTCTCCAGCTCCTGGGCGTATGTGAGATTATGGGTGGCAATGTCCCTGGCAGGAACCTTCTCCGTTGGTCTGGAGTGGAGTCCAGCATAATCGTAGTTCCCTTCCTCATCCAGACACCATTGACGTCTTTTGGCCAGATCCAAAAGCTCCTTCGAACCAAAACGAAGTCCCAAACGCTGGGCGGCTTGTTTCGGAGCCATTTTGAGGTAGGATTTCTCCATACAGGATGCAATCTCCTCGCGAGCCGTGTCCACCAGCATGTCCATGAAATTCGAGTAGATCTCCGAAGGCATGGATTTCTTTGCCTGCAGTATCTTGTTGTATCTTCCCTCCATATAGTAGTTCTCCAATGCCAAAACGGGATTGATAAAGTTGTTATGGAGCAGCAAAGCCGACGGCAAACGCTCGAGTTCGATGTGGAAATCAGCAATGCGATTGGTGGCCAGCATATAGAGTAGATTTAATCCCATAAACTTGTGCATATGCTTCGATGATTCCAAGTACTTATCGTAATCGTAGTAATAAGTATTCAACTGAGCCATATATCTCTCAAAAGCAGCATAATCTCGGATAGTAATGCTGTGCTCCACGGCGATTTCCAGCATCTCTCGGGATTTGATCAACTGGTCCTTCTGCTTCGAACTCGATGAAGCTTGGATTGTTCCAAAGTTGGACCTCACCAGCTCCAGTTTAAAGCCATCCAGCAAAGAGGCGCAAAGGCTCAGATTCGGGGCATGTTTGCTCCACTCGTTCTTCAACTCGGTGTACAGATTCGACATGATCACGTCAAAGGTTCAGCAACGACTAAATTTGTTGGGAAGTAAAATTTTGTTCGTTTTAATGACAGAACAATTTGTAAAATGAAAATCAAGGCCTGCTTTGGCTTAAGTTTAATTTGCAGTGTTAATAACCTCAAGGGTTACTATGTTTTTCAATGTTTGGTTCGTAGTTATGATTTTTCAATAAACAACTTGAGTTTTCATTTCATTAAAAATTTATTTACTTTAACTTACTTAAAGCTAATAACAGACTAAGGTCTACTGTACAATTGGTTAATTCTTTTTGTAGGTTTTTCTACGCTTCCACTTTTAATTCATGGATCTTAACTTGGGAAGAAACTGGAGAAGCCTGGGGACTGCCATTGGAGTTGGTGGACAGATTGAAGGTGGGACTCTCGGAACCGCCCTTCTTCTGCTTAACCCGGCGATTCTGGAACCAGATCTTCACCTGCTTCTCGGAGAGCCTCAATCGATTGGCGATCTCGATGCGACGAAGGCGGGATAAGTACGCATTATGCGAGAATTCCCGCTCGAGTTCCAACAACTGAGTGCTGGTGAAGGCAGTGCGAATCCTTTTGCTGGAATCGGCATAGTCGCTGATCAAAGGAGTGATTTCCGAAGTCGATCCAGAAGATTGAACTTTGAGAGGTGAGCTATTGGGCGAGCAGGAGGACTCGCGCTTGAACCGCTTTCCTTGGGGTTCATCAAAGTTGTTGGTGTAATCCAGTGAAGCAGACGAAGAAGCCGATGGAGAAGTGCAGAAGCTACCAGGTTCTGGCAGAGGCAGACCACCCACAACTGGAGTTCCATAGAGATTGTGGAGTGGCAATTGCTGCTGGTTGCTATTCGGATTGGCAGACAGCGGTGGCGAAGGATAGCATCCTTCGTAGTTGCTGAAACCACTGGATTTCCTTTTGCTGGCGAAGAGTTGGGCATATGGATGATACAAAGATCCAGGACTCGAGGTGACATGTGGATGTTGCTGCAATGCAGCTGCTGCTGCTGCTGCTGCGGCTGCTGCTGCAGCTGCCTGTTGTTGTTGCTGCTGCTGCTGTTGTTGTTGGATGCCCAAGGAGAAAAGATAGCTGCCCACATAGCTTGCTGGATATGGCAACATCGGTATGGAAGGCAACATCGCAGCTGCGGCAACTGCAGCAGCGGTCGAAGGACTTGCTCCTGGCGATCCCAGCTTCTCCTTCTTCTGGGCCAAAGTGGGCCTATCGCTGAGCAGGGAGTCCATCAAAAAAGAACGTGACATTTTCGAGTATTTCGGGTGCTTCGTTTTCTAACTGATTTCAAGATGTACTACTGAACACGATCGCTGACTGTGCGAGACTGTCTGGCTGCTGGGCCCTCACATGGGTCTTATATACCTCAAGACCTTCTTCTGGGGGTTGGTTTTCCGTTTTTACCCACCCCCGAGGGCCAATTCGAGGGTTGTTTGGAACACGAGTCTGTTCGGCCATTTAGTCACCATTTAGCGGCAACTGTTGCCATTTACGCTCCGCCCTTGTTCGATCACTCACAGTGCCGCAAATGGCAGGTAAGCGATGCTTCACTGTATCTGTGTGCCACGGAACAATGGCGAACCCCTGAAATGTTGCAAGTGTGTGTGTGGGTTTGGCTGTGTGCGAGCTTGTGTCCTTGCGGAACGAATCTTCCATTTCCATTTCGTATTATCACTCGAGTTTAATTGAAAGTTGAAGAGAGTGCGTAAGAGCTTTTTAAACGACTCTGAATTAGTTCTGCCTAAGCTAGATCAAATTACTTGCTTCGAATTGCGTTTAATTTAATCAAAGTATTTTGATTTAATATATAAATACAAATTCAAACTATATAATATTTATTTTCTGTTTTTTAATTGTATATATATTTGAACTTTTATTTTTAAAATAAAAATTGAACAAACAAAATGTGTGCAATAAAATATATTTAATTTCCTATTACATAGTTCCATAATATTGATCTTCAGTTTGTGTATTGGTTTATATTGTTATCATTTATTATTTATCTTTAACAACAACATCAACAGTTTAAAATATGTAATTTGTTGGTTTGTTGAATTTTAATTTTTTCGAATTTTATTTTATTCTGATTATTCTATTTGGACAAGAATAAACTTAAAATTGAAAACATTCATTTTATAAATAAAAGTATAAAAACATTGCTTCAACTACATTTCATTCTAGATAAGCTATTTTTGAATTTTGTTATACAGAATAATAAGAGCCACAAACCATTTAAAGTGATCCCTATTTTGTGGAAGGCATTTGAAAGATCATCTTCAGACTACCAAAAGACATTTGTACTATTTCTTGTTTGTAATTTATGGCATTTACAAAAAAACCTCTTCAATGATGCTCGACAATCCAATCGATTAATTTTACAACCATTGAAAGATGCAAGCCCTCGAAGCGTTTAATGCCAATTTCATGGCAACTTATGGCCCAAGTGGTCGCTGCCGAAACACAGAATCCTACCTCTAGTCCTTCAACTCCCGAATCCCTATTCCCGATTCACGAATCCCGATCCTTGCAACACATTGAGAAATGTTTCTCCTTTGATTCCTCGCCTTAGCGTAATTTTATTGATGCATTCTTCTGCTTGTGCAACTACTGCGAACAATGCGGCCAGGATCATCCATTCAGAATGCAGCCCATTCATGGATGCAGTCCTTTTGGTCCTTTGACAAATCCTAGACACGACGCACGTTGCGCCTTTGTTTGTGTGTGTTTTTGGGCCAGGTCAGGCCATCTAAGCCAGACAGACCGTCGCCGAATGTTGTTTTTGGGCAGCATTACACAGAATTATGGCGGCAGTTTTATCATTTGTTAACTGACTTTAAGGATTTACCTATAATTGTCCTTTTCATGGCTTTGTGCCGAGGTGCGGCATTGTCAATGTCCTGCCAGTTGATCGTATGTTAAGTGGCTATAAAACGGATCACAATTGATGACGTTAATTGTTGTTAATTGTGGACCGACTTCTTCGTAGGCGATCCAAATGTTCGCCTACTTTTTAAGGTTTTTGGCTTCTGCTTAATTGGCGGGCCATGCAAAAAAAATATAGAAAGGTCTCCGGTCAATATCGAAATCTGGAGCAGCTGCTGTTGTGTTAATATTTTTACTGGAATTTCGTATCTTTGGGCGTTGCGTTGGTCTCGTGCGAGAGGTCCTTTTGACCGCCTTTTACCAATTGTCTGGGCCACTTGAGATTTTCTCCATTGACCACTTCCGTTTTTTGTCTGCGATTATTTCACGCTCGATTGAGTCGGCTTCCCTTTTTTTCAGAATTGGATCGTGCTATTGACTTAGATCTTGTCTTTGGCTTATAAAGAAAACAATTGCTACCGATTTGGAAATATGGAAATTTGTTCTGAACATAGATAGCATCGGTTCCATTCAAGCGAACAATTTCAATTTAATTGTGAACAAAACTCGCCTAAACGCTGAACAAATGAAAGCATATCGAAATGTATACTTCCCCTCAACTTTTTGATATGGATACAACGCAAAACTAACTCAGCACGGAAAAAACTTCAAACCGGATTTGTCCATTATTAAAGGGGTGTTTTAAAAAATATACGAATACTGAACCACCACCATCGAAGTGAATTTGGAACCCTTGTGAGAGGGGATTGGGTTAATCATTTATTGACATTAATTGGTTGTGACATTTGCATTTTGACTGATTGTTGTAGTTGCCATTGTTGCTACTTAGCCAGGGGTTTGTTTATCCACTCTCTCGTTTTGTATATTTGTTTATTTAACAAATATGACTTCATTATATTCCAAGCGGTTTCATATGGGCCTGCATGTACTGGGATAAATTATTATTTACCCCTGAATAATTTACGAATGAGCTTTGAGGTTGCGTCTGGCTTCTCTGCGTGTTACTGAGTCAATGGGCCTCGGGGATTGCTTGGGGATACTGGATATAGGATGGGATTTTAGGTTGTTCAATGGCGGTCTGTTGTATATTTCCATGGGTAAAATTCCTGATTTGTCAAAAAAGAAATTTCACCAAATAACAAAATTAAAATGTTTTTAGAAAAATTTTCATCCGGATTTTATTGCACTTAAAATCGAGATTTATAACAAGAAAATATCTGTACAGACATTATCTTATTCAAATTTCGAAATTGCATTTTCCGCGTTAATAAATTGTATGAATCATTAAAAAAGATCTGGCCTAGCCTGACGAAAAACTTGATTGAAATATTTGCTTTATAAAAAAATACTAAATTATTAAATTGTTTGGCTAAGTTTAATGTTCTCTAATAAATAATTTTTCGAAATACTTGCGACAACTGTCAAAAAAAGAATGCTTTCTTATACTTAGCTATTTTTACCATTTTTTCAACTATAGAAAACAAAAATCAAAGAATCGCACCGCCAAATATAAAAAATAGAAACCAAAACAAAAGAAACTTTTTCATTCTTTCTTCGAGTATTACTTTCATGAATGAAAAGTCAGTGGCTGGACAAAGGACAAAGGACACTGGACAAAGGACCCACACACGATCCGCACTTGCAGTGATCTGCAGTTTAGTTTGGTCCTTTGTCCCAGAGAAGCGATCCTTGTGAGGTGAAAACGCAGGTAAGGCGAAATACCTTTTGCTCATTATAAAAAAGAAAAACAGAAAAACAAGGCCCGCCATTTAGATGGAGGTTTATAGGTTTCTTTTTTAGCCGTGGTCAAGGTCCCTGGACAATGCTATTAATCAGGACACTCGACGGTTGTGTTTATTGTGGTCAATGTTGTGGGTAGTTTGAAGGGCCTGTTTTGAGTGTGCATTGTACAATGAGAAGGGGGAGATTTCTTATGGAGAATGGTGGCATAGCCACCCCAACAAACCAACAAGAAATAAACACTTAAACACTTAACGACTAATCAAATTATATAACAAATAGCAAACAAAACGAAACCAGAAACGCTTAGCACCCTTAAGTCCACCACTTACCCCCGCTGTCAACGAGCAAAGCCAGTTAGTTAATAAAAACAGCATTTGCAATCATAAAACGCTTCAATGATCCTCCCCATCCACCAGCACGCGTTGGGTTAGGTCACCTATGTATATCCATGGAAACCCGGTGAGATTCCGTATCGGAACAACCCTCGAGATCCGGCGGATGGCCATTCGAGGGTATATCAAATGCATAATGAAACAGATTTTGATACGGCCTCCGAGACATCGTTGGGTATTCATTCGATTGCAGCCGCTCGCCAGATACATTTGTATCCTTGTGGTTGTCTGCGATCCTTTTGATTTCCCACCAATTCAAAATGGCTGCCCAGCGCAGTTGTTTGGATTGTGATTAATGAATGTGCTCGACTTACTTTCCATGTAAGAAAGCAAAGCACTGCAATCAAGATAATAATTTTATCTTGAATAAAATTTAAATATTCTTTTAATATGAATATTCAAATATTTATAAACACATACCCAAAAAATTTTTATTCAATAATAAAAATTTATAAAAAGTTCCGATGGACTTAGATACGTATTCTTTGGATGATTGTTAATGGCAAAATAGGGAATAGTTCCAAGAATGAGGTAATATAATTTTGAAGTCAGCCAACCTTTGCTGCTTTTCCAATTTTTCTTGTAGCGAAACATTTTTATTTAGGGACTCTGGTAACCACGTTCATAAACAAAAAGAGCACAGACTTGGCACGCATGCGCAGAAAAATGTAAAAAAAAACTAGTATCTCTGCCCACACGACCCTTATATTTTACTTATACTCTGCATAATCCATTTTCAGTACAAAACCAGTATTGGCACTAATGTAAAATTCTTGTAGAATAATGGAGTTTGAACCTTAGACGCTGTATATACTTGAAATACTGGCGCCACTGTAACGTAAATGTAGAATGTATTTTACATAATGTCGCTGCGAGATTTTGCGTTCTTATAATTATTATAATTTAATTCTTATTGTTTTATATGTTATTAAAAACGTTAAATAAAAAACAATACTCTTCATTTAAGGTTTTAAGATTTCAATAATAAATATAGATATTTCAATATATTTTAAAGATATCTATTTAACCAACAAGGAGATGTTACGCAATTGTTGAATGCCACCCCAGATAAATTGTGTTAAATTTACATTTGACCTATGTGATTATTTCGCATTGGCCTCCCTCACCAAGTTAACCAACTTCTTGCTCCATTGCATTCGCTTTAGGCCTGGTTGTGTCAGCTTTGAGTCTGTATGCCCACGGGGAGTCCTTCGTAGTCTAAGCCACAATCACATCAGCCTTAAAGGACTGCGTCAGCCACCTACCTTCATCTGCAGTTTCCGCATTATGCGGGTCTCCTCCCAGCGGTCCAGCTCGTCCCACTCCTTGCCGCGTTTGCGTAGAAGGTAGTAGCGGTACATCACGATTGTCACGGCCAGGATCAGGGCCAATCCGGTTCCGGCGGCGGCCCCCAGGACCGCTGAACTAACCATAACCATGTCGGCGGTGAGCTGTCTGCACTGCAAGTAAATATTTACAATTATATAAGAAAATATTATTAAATAATTTGAAAATAAACTAATTTCTTAAGAAAAAACATATATATATACAAATTTATTATATAAATAAGTGGTCTTTCAATTTTTGAAAAAGAAGGGGCTTATTACACAAGTAAAAAAGTAACATTTAAATATATATATAAATAAAATTGGCAAATGCGATAGCCATTAATTTATAATATAAGACTTACCTACCCCTTAAAATTTGTTAGTAATATTTAAACCAATAAACGCAAAAAGTATTAATAAATTAAAAAACGGTTTATTAGTGAATTTATGTTAAATACAATAATATTCAATTTAATTCTATAAAATGAAATCTTTTTCTCAAATAGCGAATCGAAAAGTCTTTCGCTTGTGGTACTTATTTTTCCTCTGCCTGCAGCTCGAGCTTTCCACACTCTCCGCACTTTCACACGAAGAAATGAGGTCGTCAGCCTCCGTACTTCCAACGCCCTCGTTCTTCAGATCAAAACGATCTTCTCGATTCCGGGATTTTCCAGATGAGTCAGCACTTTCAACTGACGTAAGCATTAAAGTAAAGCCCATGAGCAGCAAAAATCCAAGGGTGTAACGCATTTTGAAAACTCAAAATAAACTACTCAAATGCGAAGCTCAAAGCCAACTGCTAAAAGGTGAAACTACAGAAAAGCAAGCTCCAATTGAAGTACCCCACTTCAAACGTATTTTTGCTTTTGTCTAAAGTCACAGCTGTGCAAATCTAACTGGTGACGGAATTTCCCCATCTAGTAAAAAAAAAAAATTTTGATTAAGAACACGTTATTATAATTTATTTTGTACTTAATACAATCGCTAAAAGTCGTGCACTAAACTATTGTGAAGAACAAAGCCATTTCTCAGGATGGCAAATCGTGGATATGGCTTAAAGTCGGGCTCATGCTTGGGATATTTGAGAAAATTCACAGGGATAACTTCAGTGGGTTTATCCACAGTGGCTTCATCTTCGTCTTCATCATCCTCTACTATAAAAAACTCCCCGTTTTCTTCAACTATATGTTGCCCAGGTTTAAGTTCTACGTTTACTTTATTTCCATGTTCATGAACTCCATGATTATGATCTTCATGTTCATGATCTCCATGTTCATGATGTACATGTTCATGACCTTCATGATTATGATTCTCAAGTTCATTTCCTGTTTCCTCCCCAGTAGGATCTTCAGTTTCCTCCGCCGTTGGATCTTTTGTTAAATCTGTTTCTTTGGTGGTTGGATCTGTTGAATAATATGTTTCATTGGCTAATTTTTGCAGCAATTTTAACTCCTTGAACATTCTAGCTCTTTCCGTTTTATTAAGAGCTTTAACTTCATCTGTAGTTTCGTTTTCATCTAGTGACTTCGTAGAGATCGGGGTTATGCCCAAGCAAGCGATCAAACTTAAAACACACACTGCACGCATTTCTTCAACGTTTTGAACAATACTGTTGCGTGCGACATTGGAAACAGCTGTTTTAAACAAGTTTCAGTTTTGAAATAGAGTTTTATTTATTTAGAGAGGTAGAGAGGAAAAGAAGTTTTATAGGAAAGTTATAGAGTTTAGTATCTGTGAAGACGATGGATCACAACTGGTCCGTGGCCTCCGAACCTTGGCCAAAAGGGACGAATCTTGATGGGTTTAGCGGTGGTTGTCTCCTCATCATCACTGGTTGCCTCCTCATCATCACTGGATTCTTCAGCAGCAGATTTTTCAGATGCAGATTCTTTAGCAGCAGATTCTCCAACAGTAGACTCTTGAGCAACAGATTCTCCAGCAGCAGATTCTTCAGCAGCAGATGCTCCAGCTTCCTCAGCAGCAGCAGTTTCATTAGCACTCTCCTCAGCGTTGGATGCGGTGTTCTCGGCATCATTGCTGGTCGAATCCTCGGCGGCATTATCAACCACAGCGGAGGACTCCTCATCCTCGGCAGGACGAGCTGCCACGAAACCAACAGCCAGGAAGGCCAAAAGGGCGACGAGCAACAGGGAACGCATTTTGAACTTGAGTCTAAGAAGTTATTACGAAAACTACTTTCGTACTTCAAATAGTTCCCAGCTTTTTATAGGAAAAGTCTGGCCAAATTTGGCAGATTCGTTGATTTTACCAAATAACTTTATTTACTCATTTTGATATTTGAACAATTGTCTAAGTGGAAAGTTTTACAAGCGCGTATTTGTGTGGCTATTTTTGTGTAGGCTTCGGTTATGTCACATTTTTGGTAGGAGGTGTGTTCAAGACAACCGGGCCAATACCACCCCATCTTGGCCAGCGGGGAACAGGATTAATTACCGATTGATTTTCAGCGCTTCCTTGATTAATATCACTGTCGTTTGATGGAAACGAAGTCACCAAGGAAATGGCCAGAAAAGCCACTATGGCTAAAACTGCTAAAACACGCATCTTAATCCTCTTGAAATTATCTATACACTAGATCTGTCTGGTAGAAAATTCTAGTTTTATATAAGAAAGTGAACAATTATTTGTTTTGAGAAGTTGTTTTTGCACAAGCTGTGCAATCTTTAAAATGCCTTATTCAAAAATATGTACTGCAGTTTAAACTGCAAACACTTCCGTTGACGTTCTAACTAAAAGGTTACTTAAAAGTTATATTAATAGATACAGATGAAATATATTTAGCAGCTTACTTTGTTGATAGTTATTTCAGAAAACAAGAAAAATTAATGAACGAACGAAATGAATAAGGCAAGCCCCTGACAAAGTTCTTGAAAAAAATTGAACATACTTTATGGCGTTTTTTGTAATAAGTTCAAAAACAATGATAAAAAAGTTAATTTTTTTGCTTTGCTTTTACCAGCACTACAAAGGCCATAACATTTATAGTTCTTATCCGATTTACAAGTGTCATACCTCTATAAATTTTTCATTAAAATATATAACAAGTTGCATCATTAGTTTGTTTTCCATTTTTGGTCGAAGTTTTGTCATTTTTTATGACCCCCGACCTGTCAATATTTGCAAGAAATGGGCTTGCAGAAAAGTGACCAGATCCCAGTACTTCTTAGCCCATAACTATTTTAATTTGTATCTGGTTTAAAAGCGGGATCTTAACAGTGGACATTTATAAACATTTTATTTTTAGGAAACATGTTTTTGAAACAATGAATGCATATCAACCTTGAAGTTATTAACGGAAAAGAGGCCTGGCTTGAATGAGAAGTGGTCCAAATGCAATAACCTCGCCTTCAGATTCGTTGTCGCCTTGAGGCTCGTTGTTATCTTCCGACTCATTGTTATCTTCTTGGTTGTTTCCTTCTTGGTTGTTATCTTCTTGGTTGTTGTCGCTGGCGCTGGATTCTGCATCAGAGTTTTCTCCGTCGCTCTGCTGGTTGATATCACCATTGACATCCTCCTGATTTTCCTCATTAGCAGAATCCTGATTTTGTTCATTGGCAGATTCGTTGTCGTTCGATCCCTGATTGGAATTTTCCTGGGCAGGAGATTCATCGTTCTCAGCTGGACCTGCAGATCCTTCCTCACCAGCATTACTATTTTCTTGTTCATCGTTGTTGTTTGATTCCTGATTTGAACTTTCCTGGGAAGAGGACTCGTTGTTTTCAGATGGACCTGCAGATCCTTCACTGTCCTGGTTGGAATTTTCCTGCGCGGGGGATTCCGCATTCTCAGCTGGACCTTCAGATTCTTGGTTGGCTGAGGAATCCTGGCTTGAATCACCGCTTCCAGCTTGATCTACAGATCCTTCTTCACCAGCACCAGAACCAGATTCAGCTTCGTTGTTACTCGAATCCTGATTGGAACTCTCCTGGACAGAGGAGTCACTATCCTCAGCTGGACGAGCAGCCACAAGCCCAACTGCCAAAAAGACTAAGAGAGCGACGACAATGATGAAACGCATTTTAGATGTTTAGCCTGTGAAATGTTCAAGACAACTTTTCACATTCTCACGACCATTAGCTTTTTATACGAAAACTCTGCAGAATTTCGGCAGAATTGTTTATTATTATTCCAATCGTTATTTACGTATTTCATATTTAAACAATTGCGTATCATAATAATATTTGATGACGCATTTTTGTTTATTAATAATATTCTCAGAAGTTGCGTATTTTATTATTACGACGCTTAGGGGCTCATGTTTTTTTCAGGTATCTACCTTCTGTTTCTAAAGAAGTACCTAATACCGCTTATTTCTTTGCAATTCTTGTTGCACGCTGTGCAATTATTTAATTTTACTCTTAGTAAGTTCATTGTGTTCTTTGATAAATAAGAAGTGCAGCGTTTGGACAGCTTGCAAGTAAAAAATTGTAAGGTAAAGAAGTTTTTCATATAAAAAGGTATGTGGTAAGGGAAAAATTAATTCAACTGAATAAAGATGCAGTTCTTAAAAACAATCTTCCTGACTGCTCTTTTGGGCTTGGCTTTCTGGTCAACGAACACGATTGCAGCTCCAAATGGAGAAGTAGTCATCATCATCAACCCTCAAAACAATTCAGGTTGTGGATCTTGCGACAATAACGATAACAATTATTATTGAAACATGAAAAATATTTGAAATATTAAATGCAGAGTAAAAACGTTACAAAATGCAAGCGGGTTTTGCCCAAATAAACAGATTTTTAGAAGGGAGATCAAAAGTTTAACACAAAAGATTAGAGGTTTGTTATACGGGAAATTCCATGTTTATTTTGCTTGGAAAAAAAGAAAATGCTAAATGCTAAAAATTAAAAATATTTTGCAAATTATATTGAATGCAATATGAATGAATCTTAAAATATAATAAAAAGTTTATGCAATAAATTTGTGTTCCATCTGATGATAAGTCACTAAAAATAATCCTTCTTTTTGTTGAAAAAGATAATTTCCTTTTTAATCATTTACTTTATTTACTTATTTATTTGCATTTTATACATACATTCACCAAAAGTCGTTTACCTCACAAGTAGCAAAAAAAAGTACCTATGAATTAGAAAAATAAAAACCCCATCAACAGCTGAAAAATAATAACAACTTATTTTTGGGAAAAATCAAACAACTGCTGCTGTGAATATTGGATAAATAAGTTAACGGACGCCTATGTATTTGTTTTTCGATGAACATTTTTCTAGAACTGACTATAAAGTTAAGTTAGAACAAATTTGTTTTGGGAGGGAAAACCGCAAGTACCCTTTTATTTGGAACTACCATACTTTTTGGTGTTATTAAAGTACATTTTATGTCACATATTTGCTTTAAACTACAATTTTCAGGGAAACACATGAACCACTTCATTTGCCAGAATTGTCGAAAGAATTGATCACCACGCACTTGTTGTAGTGGTCCAATCATTTGGGTTTAGTTGATTGACGACAACGACCACTTCACCGTCAGGATTCGGAACTGGGCTTGATGTCACAAAGGCCATAGCCAAAAGTGCAACCAGGACAAATACCATCAAAAAATGCATCCTTACAGAGTTTAGTTGTATCTGATAATAACAAATATTCCAAGTGGCTGGCTTTTTATATGGTAAACGTGTTTGCTTTGCAATTTACTATTTGCAAACTGTGCAATGACTGCACTTTATTTATCGAGTCAATATTGAAATTATAAAAAGTTAATATTTAATTATTGATTATTGATGAGTTCAAATACCAAACGATCTGCAATACCTTGCGTTGGCCATAATTTATAAAGTCTGTTAATTTTATGCGGAAATAATTTCCATCAGGTATCTTTTAAAAAGAAACAACTGCAAAAAGTATTTTAACCAAAAAGTACTAAAAAAAACAACAATTGACAATGTTCTTTACGGACGTTTCCAGAATTTTATGTATTTGTTAGAACAATATAAAAGCGTGGGTTTCTTTGGTTATTTCGGTGATGAAAAGTGTTTCTTTGTGTAAACAGTTGTATAAACTTTCAATGAACTTTAAGGGCGTGTAAATAAAATCAACAAATGTGTAGACATCTTATTCTTCCTGGTTGTTGGGTTCGCTCTCCTCTTCATCGTCCTGCTGGGGTTCTTCCTTAGAGGCATCATCCTCAGATTGGGAATCGCCTTGCTCATTCTGGGACTCCGAAGGATTAGTATCCAAGTCATCTTCCGCATCATCCTCAACGTTCTCCTGTCCAGCAGCGATTTTTTGATCTTCCTCGGAGTCCTTCAAATCGTCAACATCGACGGGACTGGCCGAAACGGTGGCCAAAAGCACACATCCAAAAAGGGCAAGCAGCAAGTAGACACGCATTTTGTAATTTAGTTTTTAACTAACTTAAAGTCCACTACCAAAATTGGCTTTTATAGCAATTCGCTGATTGGCAGAAAAATAAAAGCTGGCGTGGTTAACAAATTATGTGGCGTACTTTATGTTTACCCGGCAAACAGCTGTTGCCTTGGTTAAGGCCCGAAAATTAGGCGAGTCGTGCGTAAACATTTGACTGAAAGAACTTAGTGGCCTTATAAGAATACAGCGAAGCACAAGATAATATATCTAAATTGTAACCCAATCGAAAAGATTATTCTAATTTTAATACAATTAAATTTAAGCTATATATCAATTTACAACAGTAGTTGTATTCTATTACTTCTGTTATTTTAACTTTTGAATAAGACTTTTCTTAAATGATTTTCTTCTTTTAATAAGTCACAAAAAAAATAATTCATTATTATATAATATTCTGCAGTGATGGTAATATCAAATTGTTGAACATTATTATTTTTATTTCGGATACCTTACTATAAACATGGTTTATGAATCATAACGTATTTATTAAAAGCTTTGTTCCGATTCCTCGAATCATCTTAATATTTGCACATATGTTCAGTCACATTTTCGGGGTAAACCGAAAACGAAATTAGAAAACTTGAGAAACACCAAAGACCATAGAACCTTGATGGTTGTTAGCATAGTGTAATCATGTCCCAATAAATCGATCGATTTGAACCAGTTATCAAAGATATAAAAACAAAGGAGATCGATTGGGAAGTCATAGTCTCAGTTGCACTCAGCCAATCTAGATTTTGGTAATCATGCGCTCCATAGCTTTTGCCGTTTTGATCTTCGCCGGAATCCTGGCTTATGGCAATGCAGCTCCTCAGTTGAATTTGGCCTGGCTGACGGGACTTTTGGCCGAGGCTGGTGATAGGAATACGACGGTTCGATTTGGAAACAATACGGTGATCATTACGGGTGTGGCGAATGCAAATGCCAACACCAACGAGGAACACCATCGTCGTCGTCCACCACCTCCTCCACCGCCACCAAACCAATTTTACCAAGGTTATGAAGTAGGCTATGACCAAGGATACTACCAGGGATACAACCCATGGAACTACTACAACGGATTTTACCGTATGGATCCTGCTGTAAATGGAACCGTTTTAGAAGAATCCCATGAAATTTCCGATGAAGTTTCGCATGACCTAGATGACGAAGAATCCCTTGAGGATCAGACGCAGGAGGATCCAACTGAAGAAGACGCTGATGAGACCGAGGCTGATTACTCAGAGGATCAACTCGATGAGGAGGAAGAAGATCAGCTGGACAAGGAAGAGGACGATCAGGATCCTTCACAGGAGGAAGCCGATGAGGAAACTGAAAATGAGGAAGAACAACTCGATCCCGAGGAAGTAGCAGCTGACAAGGAATTGGACGACTTCGAGAAAGAAATTATCGCTGAAGAAGCCAAAACAATGATTTACTAATCTCACACTCACTTAGAAACATTTCATTACCAACAGAAACCTGTATCATGAACATTATTTCATATTTTTGGGATCATTCATAAATAAAAAAAGTTTATACAAAAAAAAAGTTGTGTATTGCATATTTTTAATCGTCAAAAAAAAAAAAAAAAAATGTTCGGTTAAGGAAATTTACAAGAAATGTTTAAGATGTGCTTATAAATTTTTTCAATTATTTATACCTTTTTTAACATTTAGTTATATATTTTCTATTTTCAAACCTTCTTGCCCGCTTAGAGACTTGGATTTCCTTTAAAGACCTACAAACATTTAATAGCAATTGAAATTCCCCATTTGCGTGCGGTTACTAAGAAAATGTAATGATGTTTATTGAATGCACAATCTAAGGAAAATCTAGGAAAAGTGAAAGCAGTTTCTGTTTGGGTTCCCCCAGATTCCATTTGCGGGAGCCCAAGGACAAGGACAGCCGTTGACAACTTGTGCGCAATTGTAAACAGTTCTCGGAGGTGGCTAAAAGGGAAAGAAATGTGGCCGACGAAGGAGTCAACAGGATGGTGGTTAGGTGGTAAGGTGGTGCGGTGGTAAGGTTGGCAGTCAGGTGCTTGTCGAACAAAAGCGAATTGCATTATAATGCGGCGCGTGTTTGTAATTTTTAATGTCGACAATGAGATTAGTTGGTCGGCGGCGGTTGGACATGGCGTTTGGCTTAAAAGGCATCCACATGCGCTTAACTCGATTGCCGCCGATGGCCGAGAGTGTTTCGGCCATGTTCTGTTCGCCCATTTGAATATGCCATCCGCAGCTCAATGCCAATCAATGTCACGCGCAAGGATACTCACTTACACCACCACCACCCCCCCATTCACACCCACAACACCCACACCAATACACACACCGATTCGTGGGGACATTCACGCACGCATTCCCCTGACAGGCGTCCGTAAGGACTTAATCATAATTTGATTCAAGTTCGACTTGGCCTCGTGCCACTGAAGCAAATTGTAGCATACATTTCAGCGCTCTAAAAATAGGTCCACAAGCGAATTTTGCTCCCTGCGGTAGCTAAGGAATTTGAGGGAAAACCTGCCATAATTGCCATTCTTTTTCAATTATGCGGCATCAAGTTTGCCTAATTGAAGAATTTTTATTGGCCCTAATGAGATTAATGACACGCCTTTGAATTTCAAATGGCTAATTACAGTTCACATGAACGGCAATTTACATTTTGGAAAAACGATTTAGAATTGAGGAATACTTTTGGGCAAGATTGGTCAAGAAACCAAAATCAATTTAATAAAATTAAATGAGGTTTTTAAACTCTGTCAGTTAATTCAGTTTATTTTATTTTTATTTATGTTCAGTTCACAACAGCTTGTATCTTTAAATGTTTACTTAACATGTGAGTCGTTTTTTATAAGGATATAAAAAAGCTACACATTTTGCATTTATATTCATAGTATCATATAGATGAAGATTAATCTCATTCAGTTCAATAGACACATCTAATGAAATGTTTTCCCCCCAACTGCATTTCAATTGAATAAAGCAAACCACAAGCGAACTGTATTCAATATAATGGCATTAATCTCGCCCGGACGCTATTTAATTAAAATGGAAACCTTTCAGTGATCAGAGGCAAAGCTTAAACCACAATATGAATCGGAGACAAAGGGAAATAAGCCACGGGAAGCAGCAATTTCCTTTGCTGACTCAGTGAACCAACCTAGGAGACAATTGCTCCATTTCTGTGTAGCCTGGTCAACAGTCCGTGCCGCAGGACGGCATCACATGTTCACGTCCATTACACTTGACCCCATGGCAACCCCATGACAACCCCATGACAACCCCTTTGACCCATCGGATAATCCCATTTGCCACCACGTGAACCGATGCCATTCCTGCATCCCGTTCGTTTCGGGTTCAAAGTAATTCGCTTTATGACTGTGATTGCCATCGATTCCTTAGCCCAGTTAATGTTCGCCATATCCACTGACCCCGTTCGATTGTCGGCGACCTTGCCCCAACCGATGCCAATTAAAGTAATTCTCTTGGCGGACCCACAATTTTAGTCAATCATCCGAAATTGAACGACCGAACATTGATTATTTTTGATGTGCATGTAACGTCCCTTTTAATTTTTTGATGGCAGTCCAAAAGTTCATTACATAAATAATAAAATAAAACTAGAAAGGAAAAGCAGCTTACCAAAAAGTGTCATGTAAAATTCATTTTGAATATATTTAAATTTTAATGGAAATTAAATAAACTGTCAAACGGGCTTCCCATTAAAAAAAATGGTAATCAAGAATTGTAAGTGTTGCTTACTTAAAGTGTTGTTTATTTATCAAACCAATAAGTCACAACTTTGCTGAATTTGAATTGTGTTTCAGAGGTTTTGTAACTTGCTATTGAAGTATTTATTAGTATTGTTGAACAGGAATAAATTTGTGTGCAACACAGTTCATCAGTGAATAGGCTTATTATTTGCATAGTTCCAAGAATTTTATTGCGACCTTTGCCAGGTCAAATTATTGCAATCGCCGCACAATTGCTATAATTCTTGTTGACACAGCTGACATGTTTTGGTCAATTTGCCATGGCAAAGACCCCATGCACGGTAATTTGCATACAAAAAATTACGAAACTTTGTCTAGTCCCATGGGGAGTCGGGACCCCTCTGGGTCGGAATATATATAAACATGTATATATGCGGCACGTGTTGCCTTTAAATTATTATTTGTTGATTTTGCGGGTTTGCAGTTTATGACAGGATGAAAGCCAAAGCGATTCAAGTATGAAAAGGGAACCTCTTTGGTGTCATTAGCTTTAAGTACTGACTTAAAAAGTATAAGCTCTTAAAGAAAAAATATTTATATTCTATACTAATAAAATAAAAGATATTTATATACAACTAAAACTGTAATGGCTAAATAAATACAATATTCAAGAAAGGAATAGTAATATAGTAGGGGAGAGTGGGGCATTGTCGTCACTTTTTTTTCAATTGCGAAATTTGTTGATAAAATAACTTATTTTTATCATGTAATATACATGGTTGGATTCGGAAAAGATCTGGCTATAAAATGCAGTAAGTATTTCGGACATCCTCTCATTTGTTTATTAATACGAAACTGTTATCTGAAAGAAGACAAAATTGGAAAATTGAAAAATCGTGGGGCAAAGTCGTCACCCCCCTGGGGCAAAGTCGTCATATAGAATAATGAATGCAAATATAGGTACCCATGTGCACAAAACTATTTCAACTTGTCAAACACACATTTATTGATATTCATACATATAAAAAAGTGGAACACTATACCTATTTTTTGCAAAAATTTGACACATTCAGATCTAAGTGAAGGATAGAAAGCAAAAATCAGAATTTCTTAAAGATTTTTCTTTGGGCGACCTCTTTTTTAGAATTTTATTTTTTTTTAAGAACATTTTGGAGAAATTATATTTTATATTTAATACTTTACATAAACAATCACAAAACAATAATAAATTGATACGAGTTTGTATTTCAGTCTGAGATAATACAGTGACGACTTTGCCCCACCCGTTGAGTGACGACAATGCCCAACGCGACATTTTTTGATAAAAACATGAATAACAAATCGAAACTCGAATCAGGTGTTACACAACCTACCATCTCGTGTTCGCCAAACATTTCTCAACAATAATAACTCACCTTTATACTTCTTTGATCAAAAATGTACTTGGAAGAAAAAAAGTTCTGCGCCGGAGAAAAATTACTTTTAAGGCTCCGAAACACTTTCTGATGAATAAATAATTACACATAACCTATAATTCTACCAAACTCCGTCGGTAATGTAGGAATAGTGCAATACACTTACGCTAAAAAAATTGGGTTGGTAGCCCTTATATTTTTTAAGATAATAGCGAGTGACGACTTTGCCCCACTGACGACATTACCCCACTCTCCCCTACAATAAATAACTTCCTCAAAACAAATAAGTTGAATGGCCCAATTCAAGCTACTTATTCTCTGGCTTATTCCTCCTGAAATCCTTTATTTTCAGCTTCCACTAAAATGTTCCCGAACAAGAAAATGCCACAAGTTAACAGATTCCTCTGTGTTTGCCCACAAAATCCCTTCCATAACTCTCACTTAGCCTTCCCCCTATCAAACAGACATCCCATAACTGTGTTCATCTCCTGGGCAATCATTTCCTTCGACGTCGGACGCTAATTTCTGTTTGCTTATAGGCCACATTTTGCCAATCCCAACGGACAGCCAGCCAGCCAGCCCCACTGGCCCACAAATAAAATGTTGCCCGTGGCTGGCCATGTGGAAACGGAAGTGTTTCCAATTGTTATGTCAATGATGCTGATGGCTGAGCTCTCATCAAGTCGCCTGAATGTCAGGACAACACGAAATTTTCGCAAGAGGAAAAAGAGGAAAAGCGAAAGCGATGAACCTGATAGCTGGATGCGGAAAAAGAGCAATAAACCATTTCGGACAGTGTACACATATGCTGTCATGTGCTGGGGATTATTAAGGACTAGCTCTCGTATCTGATGTTTATTCATTACTTTCAGCTTATTAAGCCCGCCATTGTGATTAGAATAACGAAATCATTCTCAAGCCGGATCTGTGCTGCCAACTTTGAATTACTGACATCTACATTAATCATTTGTCTTTCTAAAACATATGTATGATTTATTTTAACCAAAACTTGTTTATGTGTTTAAAGTTTATACTTATTAAATAACAAAGTTCTAAATACCAAACAAGATATAAAATATATAGAGATATTTTTCTGTACATTTTCTGTTTGTGTTCTGCAAATCTTGTTACTTATAATTATAAATGCAAATCTTTTTACTTATATTTATAAATGTTAACAAAAGAACTTGCTTCTTGTTAAATATCTCTGAACTTAACTTAGCAATAGCTTCATATTTAATCAACATTGACCAAGTCCTGTTCTTGAACCATATCTAGACTATATCTAGAGGATACTTGTAGTTCAACTTTTGACATTTACATGTCTAATTGATGCAATTAAGCGAAACTGCACAAGAAATAGTCCCTTCATTCAGCGCGAACTTTCATGGGCATTAATTCATTTGCATAGCCCAAAGCTCTTGGTGTGAAAGCGCTCATGAGCAAAAAGGGGGCGGGGCATTTAGGGGATATATCTAGGGAGCCGGAGGAGGGAGTGGTCCGTCCGCTGGCGCCAGAACCTAAGTCCCGGCCAAAACCCTAAAAATAAACACGGAGCGAATGGGACGTCACTGCCATCCCAACACTCCCACTTTTCCAGCGAGCATAGAAAGTCCCTCAATATGCTCCGATTACATAGCCAAAAAACAACAAAAACAACAACAACAAGAAAGGAGAATTTTTGTACACAAACAAGTTGAGAGGAAAAATAACAATAAACTCCTGTTTTTATGTATTTTCCCATCGGTCCCGCCATTTAATGAATCAACAAGTGTGAAAAGGAGTTTTTTTGAAATCCATCTCGCGCGCGCGTTTTGTAAATTTACATAAAAACCCATTAAATTTCGATTGAAAATTTCACCTGAAGTGTTCGATCCTTGGGATCCAAGGATCCGTTCAAACAATGCCTGGCCCTGAACGAAAAATAGGTCCTTTGATTTTCATCTCTCTCTCTCCCTTCGTCGCTCTTCTTCTATCCTCGAATTAACATTTTGATTGGATATTTCAATATTGCGCCATATGGAAGGCCGTTTGCCGGCTGGTTTTGACTGGGTTTGGGCCTGGTCAGAGAACTGGTTGTCCATTCTGTCGGATTTTTCACCTTTAATGCCCCAATGAGCCCTCTGTTTGCATTCTACTCGATGCCCACAACCAAGGTATATAATATAAAATAAACCGTGATAAGATAGCCGGGCACTCGTTCTGGTTTTAGGGCCTAAAGTGGCCATAAATAAACACTCAACATTGGCACAAGTCCCAAATCACAGGGGAGAACTTTATAACAATATAATTTTGATTTTGTTAAGCCCTATGGAAACCTAACAGTTTGCTTGAAAACTTATTGGTTAATTTTGAAAGCAAAGGTTTATTTGTTTGTTTACATAAAGTAAAAAAATGAAATATATTATAGCGCTCTAATTTTATCTCTTTTATAGTCAATTTTAATGTAAGGTACTTGTTCTTGCTTTGGAATCAAAGTGGTCATAAAGCACTGAAATTGAACAGAAATCCTAAAATTTTTGAAAGTCGTTATATAATTTTTTAAAAATAAATTGTTTCCGATCATTTAAATAGAGATTTAAATTTTTTAAAATTTTTTTTTGTTTTAAATATTATATTTTACTAAGGCCAACCAAACGTTCCATTTAAAAATTCCATTAAATGCTCATTATATACACAGTTTTATTTAACTTTTTCCAGTTTGCTGCTTAGATCACCTGGGTGGTGAACACAGGCTCGACGGGATCGGCAACGACTTCAGCGTCAACATTGGGAACGACATCGGGAGTAACCTCAGGAGCAACCTCAGGGGCAACCTCAGGGGCAACCTCAGGAGCAACCTCAGCATTCGCATTGGACGAGGAACCATCGGATTGGGAGTCATCTCCAGAACTTGTGGAAGTGGTGGAGGTGGTGGTGGTGGAGGAGGAGGACGTGGAGGCGGGAGCGGATCTAGTTGCACGGACGACGGGCTTCACAAATCGTCGCCTAGGAAAGTAGGGAGCTCCGTAACCGAAGTAGTTGTTGTTCCAGTAGCCAGGACCGCCCCAACCGCCGGGATACCAGCCACCAGAGGATGCTCCATAATCGGGCCAATAGCGGGGATAGTAGGGAAGGATATTGCCAGTGGGCACTTGTGGCAGGATGCTGGGTGTTTGCACATCGGCAGCCACATCGACTGCGGGAATAATTCCGGGGGCACTGTTAACCAGCACGGACGGAACAATTCCGGCGTTCTTAACCAGCAAAGATGGGACAATTCCGGCGTTCTTAACCAAAACGGAGGGGACAACGGCGGCCTCGTTCACAATTCCGGCATTGCTGGCCAACAGGGAGGATGGCTCCACAGCCAGTTTCAAGGGAGCCGAGCGAGCCAATCTTCCGCGAAGGGACAATTGTCCGGAGGACACGGCCACCAAACTCACACAAAGCAGAGCAACAAACAGACGCATTTTTCCCAAGCGAACAACCACTTTCAACTGACTTCGCATTTCCAAAGATCCCTCTTTTATAGAGCTCCTAATTATTTTTGGGGTATTTTTCGTTTTCATTTTTAATCGGTTCAAATATTGATTCAACTAAATTTCGTCTCCGAACATCCATGCAAATTATTTGGGGAACGCGTGCGTAGTTTCATATTTGTTTAGTTGTTGGGTTCACTGCGGTCGGGGATTTGAAAACAGATTTTCGTTGAATAGTTGTCATTAGCGGTTTGCCACCACCTCGGTTGTTTGGCGTTCCCATCTGTTCTATTGTCTCGCACAATTTGGCAATTAAAAAGTCTTGCATGTGAGTACCGATTCCGGGCATAAATTTCCATAGAAATTGAGAAACAATTTAGAATCTACTAGAATTTGTGGAAAGAAAGAGTTGATAAAAACTCAAATGTCTTCTAGAGTTTCAAGGTTACCGAATTTGTTTACTTAGGTTTTTAATTAATATACATTTTTGTTTGAATAAAGTATGTTTTGTTTAAACTTAATTTGATAAGTGTAAAATAATTTTTTTTTGTACATGCTTTTAGAGAATTTATAACTACATACTTTATGAGAAATTATAATTATGAAACTGGTAAGCTGACATAAAAAATCTGACACACCAACTTCCAAGTTCTTTTCAAATTGTAATAGTCTTTAATATATTAAATATAAAACTGCTTTCTTTTATTAAGTTGTTGCTTGTAGTTCAACAACATTGTGTTGCTTTCGTGAAGCTTAAAAGTGTGCTACACTCTTACAAAGAAGCTATATACCATTATTTTGGGAACTCGACTGTAGGTGACAGTGTGAAAGTTTCTCCATCTAAAGAACACTGTCGGTGAACTTGCACATCGCAAAAAATGCATTTTAGCAAAAAAAAAAAAGGAGTCCTTCAGAAATTACAATTTTAAAGAAATGTTTTATTTATTTTATTAAATTTTGACAACGTCAAATTTTACTTTTAAATTATTAATATATAAAATTTTTAAGGGAAATCCAAAACAGAAGGGTCTCCATAAGTGTCAAAAACGTCCATCTCAAGCGATATTTCGTTTCTGGGAATATAATCTGCTTTACTTTCCGCAAATTGAGCAAGCCAGAAAAGCACAGCAAGAATTGCTAACCTCATCTTGTCCGAAATAAAAACTAAACTGAACAGAAACTCAGTTACAAAGCTCTCTTATATATGGAATTAGTACAATAAATTATGCCAGCTTCAAATCAACTTTAGTTCATAAGCAGCTGGTCATAAAGTGAGTTGCCATTAAATAGTAAATTAAAAATAAATGGAAACTGATGGCAAGGCGGATTAATAGTGGTCGAAAGTCGAACATTTCCATATGCCCGTTTTCCAAGCAGAGTTCCAGGTAAAGTTCCAATTAGACTAATTGCAGGTGCTGCACAGTGCCTTTGAAAAGTGGAGATACCAAGAAATGGAGACCACAAAGTTGTATTTGGTCAGGTTAAAATGTAAATCCCAAAAACACAGTAAACAAAATTGTAGACTTTACAATTCAGATATTAAATATCTTTGAATCATTTAATTTTAACAAAATATTACTATTAATCATAATATTTATAATCTTAATATTAACAGCAAAATCTCATCTTTCCTCAACAATCATACGCAGTGTATGCACGTCTGCAAATAAAACCCTTTTTTATGACCAGCAGCACATTTAAAAGACTGGCATAAAAACCATTTTGAATAATGTAATAACTTCGCCGCGTATTTCATCCTTCTCTTCGCCAGAAAACCAAATAAATCACAACTTTCCACGTCGCGTATACGCCATGCATGCCCGTCTTAAAAACGGATTAAACCGGGGGACTTAACCAGGCAACGTAATTAAAAAACTTAAAGCGAGTGCACATGTTAAGGGGAGTGGGGAAATAACAATAACGAACTTGTGGGTGCTTCTGGGAGCAGGGAAGCTCGAAGGATGAAATTTAAGCCTTGGACATGCCAGTGACAAGCTGTCTCGCCATCGACTGGCTGTCTTCGCTTCAGCTCCTCCTGCTCCATTCCATTTGGAGCTTCTTCTCTTTTTTTATTTCACTTTCTTGGCCTGGTGACAGTGAAGCCATTCAAGCATGCCACCCCATCCTTGCCACGGGGCTTCGGTAAAAGTTTTTTGCTTGGCATCAACTTTTTGGCCACCTAGATGGACACAAATTAACAACTTCTAAATTCGAAAATTGTCAAAGCAACTTTAACCAATTTGCAGATATCCACAACCTGTTGACCAGATACATAACTTATTCTAGGTGTGTGTACTCCCGAGCTTGACGTCATTGGACAGACAGCAAAAAAACAAAATAGGCATAACAACAATTAGGTCTACAATCCCATGTAACGCCTACTAACTGGCCAGGAGGCAAAAAACAACAAAAAAAATGAAAGCTGCAGAGGCGTAACGAATATGGAGAAAAATTATACATTGAATACCCGTATATTGTTAGCAGATAAGCAGCCACTATCTTATCAACAAATGCCAGATACAGATAGATATAAATGTTCTACAGGGAAGCGAAACGAAAGGCAAACTTTCACTCTCAGGAAATGCAGAAAAAAAAACCGAAATAGGACCCAAATCAAAGAGCTCTTAAACTACTTTGGCCTTTGACCTGCGCAACTTTTTTTTTTGGTGCTTTCCACCCACCAGGCAAACAATCACAGATTTAATAAGGGAACACCAAGACCATTACCAAAAAAAAAAATGGAAGAAAAAATATCAACTTGAATGGTAAATATTCAACAGGCAGACTGGGCGGGGCAGAAAATGCCTTTTGCCAGCCGTAAAAAAATTGTGTCTTTTGCTGCTTTAGTGTTTAAATGGCCGGGATTAGGGGCTCGAAGACGCTTTAACTGCGAATTTCAAGGCTTTTGCCTGATGCGATTACTTATCAAATTGGATTTCTTCATCGCCTGCCCCATTCTTCCGTTCATACTTGTTTCGAGTTTGTCGATGGCTTAAAGTGGCAAACACAACACAAAACATTTTCGATTGGAGAATTAAAGTTAAGATCTGAATCGATGGGAATTTGTCTTAACTTTTTAATTGGTAATTGAGCAAGCATTTCGTGGGTTTTAAAACTTTGGAAAGGCAATTATCAGATATTCTGTGCTTATTTGCTCGTAGAGAAAATCTATGGAAATCTTTATGTTATTTGTATATTTTTTTTGTCGTAGGATAATATAAAGACATTCATTGATTTCTGAGTTAGTCACTACTGGACCCTTAAACAATAGTTTTTTATTTATAGTTTTTTTGTTTCTACCTTGTTTTATTTTAGTTTGTTACTTAGTTTGTTATTAAACAGGAAAAAAGAATTTAAAGATTTTCAGGCCCAAAAAAATTTAATAATCCCTAAAATTTGAATAATTAATTATTACATACCTTTTCCCCTTGATTCTTCTTACTGTCGACACCTTTTTTTCACAAAAATTAATTGTTTTGAAATGATTTGCCTTGTTTGTTTTACCCAAAATCTGGATAATTAATCATCTCCTTTGGGGCAGCCCATTAATATTCAAGAGAAACTTTATAAAAACACTCGTGGCAAATGCAAATAAGCGAAAAACTTAACACCGAAACCCGCAATAATCGAGTTCACTGAGTTTCTTTTCCAAATATTTTTGATATTTATGCGAAGAGCAATCTATTCAAATCGCAGACGACTGAATCTCATTTTGTCCTGGCACACGCACCTTTTGAGAAGGGAAAACAAAAACAGAACCCGGATCCGAAAACCGAAAACCGAAATCGAATCGAATGGTAACCGCTCGCAACCGCCGTGGCAAAGTGACAGGATAAGAGTGGCAGGATGGTAGAAGAAGGACTGCTTGCCACAACGACAGGATAGCCAATGCTAGACGATGCGCCATTCAACGCTACCATATGTTAGCGATTTCTCTGCCTGTCCACCGCCGATTTCCACGGTCGCTGCAGGAAAAGCTCTGCTTTTCCGGCCGTAAACCTTCGGCCGACTTCGGCTCCGGCCGACGGAAAGCTCCGCGACTCCTTATCAGTGGGCGGTGTGTTGCTGCGGCTGATAACGAGCTGCCCAGTAATTATCAAGGGTATGCGAAAAGGATTCGTTGACTATTTCAGCGGGTTCGAGAGCACTATGGCAGATGAAATTAATTAATTAACTTGTGATTTTAAATTTTAAAAACCAATTAATATTTTCACTTTCTGAAAACAAATTAAAACTTAACAAACTACAATTGTAGCAAAAGATAAAAAGGATAGGGATCATTTTTAAAGAGGTAATAGATTTTAAAATTCTTTTTTTTTTTTTTTTTTTAATGGTTATAGTATGTACCATATAAAAAGTTGTAATACAATTTTTTATGATTTTTATTTCATATCAAAATCTAATTGTAGCAAACTGATTTTTAAATTGTATACTAATGGTATATAACAAATTTATAAAGGAACATTTACTAAAATATATGATAAGATCTGATTATCTTACTGACTGCAACAATGGAGTTACACAACCTACTTTAAATTAAAAGAGAAGAGTATTTTCAATTTCGCAGCTTAAGTTTTCCCACTCCTTTTGAAGGTTAAAGGGGGGGATGGGCGGTTTTGGGGGAAACGAATCCCTGCTGGACGTGCAAAAACATTGCTGCTTTTGCGTTCATTTGACGGAGAGCCGCCCCGAGGCGAGGTACTTTACTTTATGTCCGGCTTAGGTGTCCTTGCACCACTTGACATTTGTCCGGTATCAACCCCTCAACCTCAACCTGTTGAGCTTAACCGGCACTTCGAAATTGGAACAGCTGCATCCACTTTTGGCCCCTGGCATATTGGCCGAAGCACACTTCTGTTTATTGTATGTTGTTATGCTGGAAGTGCTTATTTACCTTCATCGAGATTTCGGCATATCAAGTATACGCAGTGGGTTACTACCTCGTTTTGGTAACTGATTTATGATTACTGCTTTCTATCTTGAATCCTATTTTTGGAGTTGTATCTAAAAATAAAGGTCTCCTTTTTCATCGTTTTCTTGACTTTTTTATGACCCGCTTACCTAAGGTTCTATTTTTGTGGTCGTGTCCAAAAATAAACGTTTCCTTATTCTCTGTGTCCTCTTCGTTCGTTTTTATTTTGTCTTTATTGTAATTAAGTGCCGTTTCGGACCTTTTTTCCTGGTTTGGGCCAAGTTAACAACGCAATTCACGAAGGCTTGACCTTACTTACTTTAATACAAACCAAAGTAAAAGCCTTGAGAAAAAGTCTTGATACTCACTTTAATTTTATTTCTGCTTATCAAGTACGCAAAATTAATTTTTACTCATTAACATGTTAACTTTTATTTGAATGATGTGATGAATTGAATTCATAATTGTCCAGTGAATCCTCACCCATAAGGCACATTCCATATATGTACAATCAACTTTCGAGTAAAGTGAAAATAAATAATAAACAGAAACGGTTTTCAATATGAAATCAATTTTGGTTTAATCAAACTTATCAGGAAACTTATGCAGTCCAAACTGAAATAAAAGTAAACTAAATATAAGTGACTCTGGGGTTTGTCAGCCAATCAAAATACTGGGACATGGATTAGGTTTATGCTTAATGGCTACATTTGGGCGGTAAATACAAATAACACTTACAGACGATTACATGCCTAAGTTTTGTGTGGTTTGTGGCTTAAAGTAGGTTACAACAGCTTAAGACTTAGTTTTTGGGGGAAATGGTACAGTTAATTAACACTAAAATGGATCGCTTCCTCTACATTCATGATGCTAGCATTCTATAATGTGTCTTCTTCGATATGGCTTCACTTAAAGTTATGGCCTTCCGTTGAGCTTTCCTTTGATGGGAGGTTGAATTTATTCCCTAATGATGCCGCGCATGCGCTCTTTTCGGCTTCTGCATTGTTGGCCAGTCCAATCTTGCCAGCGAAGGCAGGCTGTTTTCACTATTATTGTTGGCGATGGTGCTCTGCAGCGAAGATGTTGGCGCTTGGAGGGTAAAATCCGATGGCAGCATTATCGGTTGCACGGTGCTGTATTTAACCATCGGCGGTGATAAAGGAGCATAACTGAGACGCCCCATGAGGTTGTTGTTATTGGTGGGTTGATTCGAGTTGGATGCAGGCAGTGGGGATTGGGGAGGCGCCACATTCAAATTAAGTCCAGGACTCCTAAAATGATTAATTCGATTAGTCTTCATTCATTTAACAACATTATTTTAAGGTGTATGTGTGGGATTTATTCAGTTTTTAGTGAGTTTTAATTTGATTATTAAAAGAGTGATTGAAAAATAAGCATTAATTTTGTAACAACCCTTTAAACCTCGATTAAAAAGCTATAATAAAAATCTATCTACTCCGGTGACTTTATCAAGTTCTTAAAACGAATTTCTACTCTCTAAATAAAGTGAACTGAAAAGTAAAGTGCTTTTACTTCGAGAACGCAGACCTTCTGGAAACTATTTCTTGGCTGATTCGCCTTTTTTAAGCTTTACTTTCATATTGACGGTCACAAGGGGCATCTTAGAGCTTAGGGAAACGAGAGAATGACGGTTATGACAAGGCTTCTATGTACAGCAAATTGTTTCAGTAAATCCTCGACGATTCTTACCTCTGCTGGGTAATTGTAAAGACTGATTTGCTCACAATCCGCTTGCCCGTGTGCCAGATGCGTCCAATGTATTTAATCCGCTGGATGGCAATGATGGCCAAAGCCACAGTCCTAAAATGGGGAGGAAAAATAAGAATGAGGTTTGTTTGTAAGTGCAAAATCAATAAGAAACCTACTTGAACTTCTTCTTAATATTTCTCTGAATGGGCGGGGCAGCACCACCTCTCAGATTCTGCAGTGCCAGCTGCTCACTGGCTTGATAGCCCTCCAAAGTGAGCTTGAGATACCGCTTTTGGTAGACCAGTGCCTTGCGATGGGACTCCACGCGCAGATAGCGGCCAATCAACTGACGGCATCGCTCCTCCAGTTCCGTGACATTGGTGTTGCCAGCGCCACCCAATTCCTCGCACTTCTTCTGCAACGCAATCCGCTCGCCCACCAAAAACTGCACGGTTTCGACCATCTGCCGGTTCTCCTGGGTATTCTCCGCCAGCAGCGTGTTGATCTCCTTCATCTTCTGCAGAAATTGCGCCGGCACATTGTCATCGGTGCTGTGGGCCAATCGATCGTTGGCTTGGGCCAAAGCCTCGGCCAATTTGGCTTCCCTTTGACCGGAACGACTCACATCAAAACGGAGTTGCGTCACCTTTTGATCCAGGCAATCCCTGCCAGCTTCGGCAGCCAGTAGTTTTGACTTCAGTTCATGGATCTCCGCCTGGAGTTTCACGTTCTCTTGGTGCTGACGGGTGCGAGTGTTGGCGCGACGAGTCTCCGATTCCTGGAGCGTAACTAGTCTGGCCTCCAAGCTCTGGATTTCGCTGGCCTGCAGGGTCAACCGCTCGTTGAAGTGCTCCAACTCGGATTCAGCGGACTCCTTATCCCGGGACAGCTTCTCCATCTCCTGCTTGAGCCTTTCGCAGTAGGCCACTCGCTCTTGAAGCTCCTTTTCGTACCGCTGACGTTCCCGTTCGCTGCTTCGCTGGGCATCCGCTGATCTCTCCCGTTCCCTTTCATTCTGGGCAGCCAGGAGTTTTATTTCACTCCTCAAACGATCTCCCAGTTCGGATTCGAAATCAGCTCGCGGTGATTTCCTCGGTGAGTCGCCAGGTGACTTGAGAAGCAGAGAACTATTCCTTCTACTTTCCGCTCGTTGGAGGGAAGTCAACTGCGTTTGGAGACGCTCGCAACGTTCCCGCTCCTGATCCAACTGCTTGTGGAGCTCATCCTCCGCATCCAAGGCGGTTTCCAGACGCTTTCTCATAGCCTCTATGATGACCACATCCTGCTCTTGGATATCCTGCGAGTGCTGTTTCTCGCCCAGAAGCTCCTTGCTCAACGCCTCGCATTGTTCACGTTCCACGGCTAATTGAGCGCGCAGAGCTTCCAATTGATTGAGGAGCTCCCTTTCGCCAAGGAAGTTCTCGTCATCGGTTCCATTGCCAGTTCCCGGTAGAGTTTCCTCCTCCGTTTGCACTCCCTTTTGCTTCTTCTTGTCCAGATTGTTCTCCTCTTCGCTTTCGATGGCTTTGAGGATATTGGAGTCCAGTTGCGCAGAGTAGTTTAATTCCTTTTCCACTTGCTGGGCAATTTCATCCACCGAATACTGCTTCGAACTGTTTTCGCTGTTCTTCAGGCGTTCCAAATCCCTTTCCAGAGTTAAAACTTGGAGTTCCAGATCTCCGCATCGCCGAAGTGCAGCTTGCAGCTGATCTGCTTTAACCTTGACTTCGCTGTTGAGGATTTCCAGTTCTCGTTTGCGAGCTGCGGCTGCATCTTCACATTGCTGATGGGCGGCACTAACGCAGATTAGTTCCTTGCGAAGATTTTCCCGATCGGAGGCCTCCTGGGCAGCTGTCTCCAGGATCTTGGACTCCAGGGATTCAATGCGTAGTCTGTATTTTCTCTCACTCTCCTCGAGACTTTGTAGATTTTGCGTCTGACGACTAAGTTCTTCCTTTTCCTGCTCAAGTTGTTTTTGCAAATCCTTCAATTTACTTTCCAATTCACTCGTCTGTTTTTCCTTCTCCTTCTCCAAATTGGTCAACTTCAATCGCAATTGATGAACTTCCGGTGGAGTCATTGGCCTGGGCATTTCTGGTGTTTGCATCAGCAGACTGGGTGTCTTGAGCTTGGAGTCCTCTGCTGTCAGGTTGGAGAAGTTGATCTGCCTTGGCACCAAACCAGGTGTGAGACCATCGGTGCTCTGGGCAGTTACTCCCATCGCCTGGAAGTAGTGGGGATGCTCAAAAGTGTTCATCGGATAGGGAGCTATAAAGCCACTCAAGTCGTCGGTGCGCTTGTGTGTTAAATTGGCCACCGCCTCCTTGGAGGTTTCCTGTAAGAAAATAGTGATTATAAGAAGGGTTTCCATAAAAGATACAATAATAATCAGCTACTTCTACAAGTAGTAAATCCAACAAACCACTTGGAAGTACTAAACTCTTACCATTGTCTGGTGTAAGAAGCCTCCTGCTCCTTCGCTCATCTGGAGAGGATTATTGATACTCCTCATGGCCGCTCGTCGCTCCACATCCGGCTCGGGATACTCGGTAATTGATCCGATATCGCTTAATGTGCGGGCACTCAACTTTCCCCCACTTCCTTCTTGTTTTCCTCCTGCAACTCCTGCCGGGGATGAAATCAGGCTGCCATCCTGATGAGCGGACAGAAGCTCCTTCTCTTTGGCTTCCAACTGGTCGCGCAGGTGATCGATCTCATCGTTCTTGTCCGCCAGCATCGTCTCCATGAGATCCGGCAATGCCAGCCGATTGATCATCTCCGTGCGAATCTTCTCCTTCAGCTTGGCGATCTCCGCTCCCTTTTGCTGCACTTCGGCTTCCAGTTTGTCCACCAGACTGCGATCTGGTTGGGTTCGCACAGTGACCTCCGCCTCCAGTCGCATTATCTCCTCCTTGCTGCGCTGCAGCTGCTGGCGCATCGTGGCCATCTGTTTGTCCCGCGCAGTCAGCAGCTCGTTGAGATTCTGCACCTCGCCCTGGAGTTCGTGCACCCGGGTATTCAGATCGGAGGTGCCAGCCCGGTGCAGTTGCTCCGCCCGCTGGCGCTGCTCCTCCAGGCGGCTCTGCAGCGTGGATATCCGCTGCGTCTGCTCGTCCATGCGACCCTGCAGGGAGTCCCGCTCATGTTGGAGTTCCTATAAGAGAAAAAAGATGCAATTTTTAATTTAAATCAAACATTACTATTGGTTGTTCTTAAAATTTATTCAGTAACTTGTAAATATTTTTATTTGCGTAAATAATTCAATAGGGAAAAATATAACGAAATATAAGCAATATTAATATTAATGTTATGAAATTCAATATTAGCTCTTTACTAATTATTTTCGCAACCACAAATTACTTGAATTACTACAAGTTATCATTATTATTGTTTTAATGTGAACTGATCGGAGAGTAATATCATATATTTCTTCTATAATTGTAGGATTCATCCTAGTCAAGTGGTTGGATCTGTTTGTCAGTTTTTTTTTCTCCGGCTTCAGTGGGTGAGTCAATGGCCGACCATTTGACCGTTGGCTTCATCTGCATTTAACCCTTTCCAACTTCAATTAAAGTGGATATATGTATCGTATCTCTGCACCGTGGTTTTTGGGTTATATAAAGTTGAAACTGTAATAGTGTTGACTTCATATAGAGCTACTATGACTATATGAATTGTTTTTTATCTATCCCAAACAAATTCTGGTTTTTCATGAATGAATTTATCTCTTTGTTTTAATGATTCATGATGAGACTTTCACTTCCACTACTAAACAAAATAAGAGGTGATTTTTTCTTTTAAAATGTTTAACTCCTGTAGTTATCTTAATTTTATAATAAACCCTTAAACTTGTTTAAATTCAAATTCCACTGTTAGTTTAAGATAAAAACGCATTAAAAATTGCATCTTGCAAATTGCAAATTCCCGCACTTGTCTCTGTATCTTTGCCTTTGTACTCTTGGAACACTTTGCTCGTGCTGCGGTTGTTTACTTGGTTTTGATCCATTTATATTTATGCGGGTATGAACGCAGCTACCCCGGCAAATCTCCCCCACCCCTCCTCCCCCTCTCCCCTTTTTTCCAACCATTCAGTCTCCCCTTTTTCCAAACAACTCAGCGGGATGCGTGCCGTCGCATAAGGAAATTGATGGAGGCATTACCGCATAATAGTGTTTCAATTGGGATTCAGTGCGAGAATGCATATTGTAAACAGCCTGTGAACCAGGCTCCATTTTTTTTTTATTTTTGGAGTCGTATTTCAAGGGACAAAAGGTACATCACTCAGTGGAAAATGGAAATGTGGCAGGTGCCAGAGGCGCCAAATGATTGGTTCAAGTGGTATGAAAATAGGCGTTGAAGAAAGACATCCAAATCCGAAATGGATCTATTTTTGAAGTGGAACAAACCGGGCATGTGGAAAGTGAAAAGGGAACAAGGAGCGATTTATTTATGAAACAGCGTGTGCCAAATTACAAAAAAACTTTCTGCCATAAATCACAATATCTCAACCAGAACAATCGCACACTGTCCGCAACGAATGCATAAAGAAAAATAATAAACAACATTGTGACATCTGGCGGCACAACAAATTAAATTATGTATATATTTATTTATATTGTGATTGCCTTCAGCGGAATTCATCAAAATAAATAACCATTCTCTGCCGCTCATCAATTGTCGCACTGAGAAACCTTGATCGGACATTAGAAGCTTAATTTGAAAACTCACTCGCAACGGAATCTTTGCACCCAGAAACATTTCTTAAGCTTCCGTAACTTGCAACCGAATTATCAGATTATTTTAACAAAATTATATATATATTTATGTGGCGTATATTCAAGTATTCAAAAATATGTATAGAAACGAGAACATTTCTCCCGATTCAACCGTTCACAGTTTCATTCTGAAGGCAACTGAGAGATGCTTTCGATCGAGAAAACTAATGGGGTTTTATCACAAATAAAAAGGGACTCTTCTTGCTGCTCGGATGCGTGAGTATGGAAAATCGAGAGAGGCAGCATCCAAATATACACAGAGACCAACGGTCCAAATTTTAAATAAACGGTTTAGCCAAGACACTAGCATAACCGTTTCGAGTTCGAATGTAGAAAGATGGGCAGACCTTAGCAGGGACAGAAACCGTTTGGTTCGGAGTTATAGATTTGACAAAAAAAAAAGTTTGAAATATTCCTTGAAGTACTACAGGTATACCGGATTTTTTTAAATTATGATCCTAAATTTAAAGTTGTATTTAAATACCCTTATATCTAAAGCAAATGAGTATCTTTTAAATCAACTTACCAAACAGCCAGCGCGCATTTGATGAACCTGCATCTCCAGATCGCGAACCCGCTTGATGGCTGCTTCTTCGACGCGGGTGTGCCGGTCCAGCTTCTCGGTGACCCGCTGAACTCCCTCCACGGTGAGCGAGGGATGCGAGGGTGAACCCACCGCGGTGGGATCCTTACTGCCATGAATGGAAACATCTTCGGTGACACTCAAACTGGCGGAATTCGAGGCTGTGTTGGAGTTGTGCAGGGATTCCAGGACCTTGGTCTTCTGGTCCAGTGTGGTTTCAATATCACGCAGCTTTTCCGCCACCTGACTCAGAACAACTCCCTGTTCCGCGGATGGTCTTCCCTGCTGCAGTTTCTCCTCCAGCAATCTGATGCGGGATTGATAGCCCTCTCCAATGTCCGTTTTTAAACTATGAACCTCCTGCTGCAGTGCATCATTGTCCCTCATCTGCAAGTTCACATATTCCTCCAGTTGTTTGGCCTTCTCGGCCAGAACTTGTTCATTGAGTGCCTTGGTTTGAACCTGAGTCTCCAGTTCCGTGATGATTTCCCGCAGCACAAAGATCTTGTCTATCGAAGCCTTCAGTTCCACCTCGAATTTATCCCGCTTGGCATTCGATTCATTCAGCTGAAGATTAACCTCTCGTAACTGCGCCTCCAATTGTGCATACTATATAAATACAAAAAATTAATTAGTATTGTTTATTTGGAAACTTAATAATAATTTATGGAGGAATGTGATGAAAAGTGTGCGGGTGCGGATTTCCAGATTAGTGACAAACTTACATGCTTTCGCTTCGTTAACTTCAACTATTTTTTGAGGTGCACGCAGTGGGAAAAGGATTCAGGTGCATTAAATATTAATTTTAGTTGCGATTTGGTTTATTGGGTGCATGCAAAGAGTTAAAAATATATTTACTTGTTTGATTAGAACAAATAACATTTAGGGAGTTTTAAAACATTTTCAGGACTACAAGAAACAGACTTAAATATTAAAAAAACTTAAACGAATTAAGAATAGTATTGTACCATATGACCAAAAACCAAATACAATTAACAAGACATAATTATATACCTACTTGCAGGCCTAACAATTTTGCATAGTGTTTCATGATAAGGAAATATGGATTAAAAAAAGTAGGTAGGAAACTATTGAAAACTTATTTTCATACTTATATATCAAATTCAAGCAAATAAATCAAATTAAACTTTACACTTATAAATCAGCAGCACAGTTTGGTAACATCTCATAGATCATTTGCCAACAAAATGCATATATAGTATCAAGGCGACATTGAAAATTTTCCCAACCCCCAGAGATCTTCAACTTGAGGTAGCTGGCTAAATGGAAACTGATTGAAAGGCTCCGAACTCAAAACACTTGAGTGCCTATATCCACGGGTCTATAAATATGTCGGCACATGCTTACAAAAGCTCTGGCATTATATATACATCGGAATATCGGTGGTTCTGTGGATCGGTGGTGCCCTTGACTTCGTTGAATAGCCCCAATGGGGGATTTACAATTGAATTATACCCAACAGGTGCCCATGCGATTTGGTAAGTTCTTTGTGAAAATGGTTTTAATAGCTTCCAGAATTCAATTCATTGCAAGCAATTTCTGTGTTAATATTTGGAAAATGTGCGGAATTGTGTCAGTTAATAAAAATGAAGGCCACATGCTGGGGAAACTTAAATAATTCTATGCCTATAACCAAACTTATAACCAAAACTAAAGCTATGGAGTAATAATAACCAAAAGATAAAAGAAATACAAATATAGATACATAAAAAAGACAGAGGAAAAGAATTTTGGAACCCAGGCAAAAGAACGCAAACGAAAGTCAACAAACCAAGCCCAAAAATCAAGAGCAAGATCAAGATCAAGTTCAAGATCCCAGAGATTCAAAGACGAGAACCGTGGACAGGACTCACCTCCTCGGAGGCATTGGCATAGGAGCTGTGCTCCTTCTCCTTGTCGCGCAACTGAGCCTTCAGCTGTTCGATTTCGCGCTGGAATTCATCGCGTTCTTGTTCGCGTTCGGCGGCCTGATCCTCCAGGAATCGCCGTGTATCCTTCAGCTGCTTGTCAGCGGTATCGATCTGTGTTTTTGTGTGTTATAGGTTGATTGGGCAAAAGGAGAGGGTTTTGGAAAGGGTGATAAGTTCTTAAAAATCCTGGCTTACAAACTACACGAATTTATCATTTGGATCATGCGTTTAGCACTCAAAGTAAAAGGTGGGGGAAAAAAACTCAAAAGGGGAAAATGATCTTGGGGAAGATCGTTTCTTAACTCACCTGGGATTGCAGATCCTCGCGATCCTTTTTGCCACACTCCACCACTTTATCGCCCTCGCGACAAAAGTCTTCGATCATCTGAAGCAAAGTTACAGTGGAATTGCCAAGATCCCTTGAAGGTTGCTCTTTAACAGGAGATGATGAAAGTAAATGACGTGCTCGCTCTTGGAGAGCTAGAAAACTGGCCGATGATTGATCCAATCCCTGATCCTGAAGGCTCTTCAGTGGCCCCAAACCATAACCCTCATTGTAATCCGTGTGGTTAAGAGAATTCAATTGGGAAAGCTGATCTCTCAGAGCCTGCAATTCCTGTCCCAATTCCGCATTGCGATCAATGGTGTGACTCAGTTGCTGTTGCAAGTTCTGACGATCTGCCTCCGATTTAATGAGACGATTTTTCAGCTGAACCAGTTGGAAGGACAACTCCGAGGCATTTCCCGCATGCTGCTGCAGATCTGGCGGCAATGAGGTGTGTGTTTTTCCCGCCTCCGGATTGCTGTTCTTCCTCTGATTAGCCACGCCCATTTGCTGATCATTCAGGGAGTTTGTGCGCAGGAATTTCGACAGGACTTGCTGGGCAGCAGCTGTGGTTTTGAGACCATCCTCCGCCTCGCAGCAGAGTTCGTGCTCCTGTTTCTCCTGCTCGTCCAAATGCTCCGTGGAATCATCGTGTGGTCGCTGCTTTTGCAAATCCTCCGACAAATGCAAAAGGTAGGAAGCCTCCGACTTCAAGCGCTCCAGGCAATCGTTCAAATCGAAATCCTCACTGGGCTCCTCGTTGCTCTTGCTGTCGATGAACTGCACCAAACTGGGATCCTCGACCACTTCCAGCAGACTGTGCACATCCGGCACTCGGAGCATTTGCTTGGTGTTATTTAGAGAGCTACTCAGAGTAACCTCCAGGTCATCGCCCGCATCTTGACTGCGACTGTGGATTAGAAGGCGTTGCACCTCCTCGGAGAGCGTGGCATTCAGATCCTCCTCGCAGTTGGCCACACACTTGGCCAGGCGGCACAGCACGCTGCGGAAACTCTTGGACAGCTCCCGCAGACCATCTCGTTCGGTGATCACCTGCTCCAGATCCCGGGCAGCATCGAAGGTCAGGTGGCGCTTGTTCTTCCGGTTCAGCTGCTTCTCGTATTCCAGTTTTATGCGCGACATCTGGGGAGGATTGAAACAAATGGTTATTTTATATTTTAAATGCATTTATCAAGGAGAGTAAGTAGGTAAACCAATATCTAATTTATAACCCTGATTATTTTTTACTTTAAACAAGTTCTCTAGTAATTTTTGAACGGTTTTAACATTATTTTTTTGGCTATCAAAACTTGCAAACATACGAATTTATCATATATGTATATTTCTGACTAAATGGTTTATTGATTGCAGTTGTTGAATCCTTCATTTTCAGTGCCATATTAAAATCAAGAACAAAGGGCTTTTAAATTTCAATATTTTTTTTATATTATTTTCTTGTTTTGTCCCTTCAATGTAAATCCTTTATTTATAGTTTTACTCACCTCGTCGGCATGTTTAATATTCAGCTGAGTGATCTCCAGTTGACTCTTGGCCGTAAACTTCTCGCGTAGTAAAATCAGCTCCTTGGGCCAATGCTGATCGTCCACGGTGTTTTCCGACAACAAATTCTGAAAATGCAAATTGTTTACATGGATTAAAATCCCATTGTTTATGGACAATGTGTGAAAAGCTGTTGCAACAATCGGCTGCATATTGCACGAAAGAATTCTCGGAGACAGATCAAGCTTTCGAAGGGAACTTTTCCCGCCTTTCACCAGAGCATAAATATTTATGGTTTCAACTCAAAATATTTACATGATATAGATGGGAAATGATCTGTGTATTTTCTTTTTATTTTTAATCTTCATTCTGGCTTATCTAAAGTCAGAGAAACATTCGAGTGTGTCGAATCCACAGAGGGTGGCAAAGACGGAAACAGTCAGATACATAAATCTTAATAAAAATCTTCCCCACCCAAAAAAAAAGTCGAAGAAGAAAAAAAGGGAGTGGATGGATTTGTGGTTTATTTTTGGATAAAGCCACACACCCTCTCTGATGAATTAAACATTAAATCGTATTAAATACAATTAAATAAAGCTCAAAGATGACGATTTTAAGAAGCAATTCAATGAATTATCATCACCAAGTTGTCTTATCTCTGTGAGTTTATACTCAACCTCTCTCGTTATTTCTCTCAATTATACAGTAAGGGGTCGCGATCCCGGCAGATTGTGAGTTTTCTTTGTTTTCAATATTTTCCAATATTTACTTAAGGCTTTTACGTAGGCAAACCGTGCCAAACAGATATGTATAATCGAAATTATATTAAAATATAAACATTTTGCTATACAATTGGGGAATTCTTTGAAGATATAGCTTAAATACTTTGTGTAAATTAATAAAGATTAATGAAATATTATAAAACAGTTCTTAACTCCTGAAACACACCATAGTAAACCCCTTTGTTTATTTGGAAAAACCCTGTTTTGCTAGAAATAAAGCTTTTCAAATCACTGAGTAAGTAAAATTTGAAATTTTATTTTCGTCACTTGCAATTCTACATTTCATGTGCACTCAGCATATAGTATATATAGTATAGGAATACGTGTTTCTCGTGCAATGCTACAATATATTTTTAGATCTTTGCATAACAAGACGCGCGGCAATAAATCTCCAAACGAGCTGCGAAATCTTTCGGCTAATCCAAAATAGAAACGAGACACTTTTATAGAGTAGAACTCCTTTTCCTATTTGTTCATGTTGAGCAGCAATGCCAGCAAACTATAGGCTTGATTAATGACCTGAAATAGAAACGCTTTATAGAAGAACTCTTTTTTATTCCAAAGCCAAATCAACAACCTTGGTAAATAAAGGCAAACCGATTTGAAAGAAACCATTGGCCCATAAGGACATCGGACGATTTAAGTAGACCATAAACATAAGGATAAGACGACGCATTTGAGGCGACATATCGGGCCAATCGGAATTGTACATCGAATTGGTCAACATATTTGCCGAATCGATAACTGCATTTCCATAAATGCTGGGCAACATGATTTGCATGACCATGGACAGCAAATACTGCATCATGGCTGCGAATCCTGGCAGATCCTGCATTATAGGACTCTATAGAGATTAAAAGAGTTATAATCTATCAAAAATCAAAAAGTATCCTTTGACTCACCATTTGAATGCTGTAAATGGTAAAGCAAATGGTCAAGGAACTGACTAAAATCTGGGTGAAAATGCTCTTTGAAATGAAGTTCTCAATGTCCAAAGCCTGTCGTTTGAGTTTCTGATGCAAAAGCACCAATTCCAGGAACCTATCTTTTAACTTTATATCATCATGATGAAGCTTACTCAATCGTTTGCCCAACATTCGCAAACAGAGCGATAGATGCAACATCATATACCAGTTAACACCATCCATGGTTATATTGCAGGCACAGAGAATCGGAATAGCTATAGCTTCATAGATAAATGGATACCAAAAAAGACTCTTCTGATGCCAATTAAAGGGTGTCCAAATGGCAAATGGCAATTCATTGGGAACATCGAACAGAGGTTGGATCAAAATAAATGGTATGACACCCGCACTACACATTACATAGAAAACGAAAACGCGGCTATAACGTCGATGTTCGAACTTCCACATGTCCACTTCCTGTTTGGTTTTCAGTTTAAAGAGATCCAATGTGCTCCATTCATTTAAAAGATTCTGAGCCACATGGGCGTTCTTCCAATTATTTAAAATCTTAGCCACCAAAGCGGTTGTGGTTAAACAAAACAGCAGGATTTCGGCGGTGTGCTCGAGATCCTTGCTCAGAATGGCCTCCACCCACAGCAGGATCACAAAAATCAAGGTGACGATGACGTGCAGAAGGTATCCTTGCCAGTTAATCCAATCCGGTCTTAAAACTGATCCTTTCTCTGGCCAAAGGCGGCAATACTCCAGCACTCTTGTTGGGTATCGCACCGGTCGAATTGGGTCGTAATCCATGGCAAAAGTTCAAACTCTGATTAATAATATCCCTTTTCGGATCGACTTTATATAGTCCTGCCTTAATTGATTTGCCTAATTGCTTAATTTCGGGGGCGGGGTCCTAATTCATCAACATATTCAATTAAAATTCACTTAGTCAAGACAGTTGGCGGATTTTACAGGGATTATTTTTAAAGGCTCAATTGAGAACCATTTTAGCTTTTAAAGCAATCGTGAAAAGGTTTAAAGATATATATTCTTAAACGCCAAAATATATATTACTTTTTAAAGACTCAGTAAAACTTTTTAATCAAAATTTTTTTTACTTAAAATTTCGATTAATAGGATTAAAGTTGTACCACTAATTCCGTTATTTCTAATTCTTTGTTCCATTAAAAAAAACGTTGTGATTGATAGCCATTGAATCTTTGACTGTGTGAATAGAACTCCAAGTGAAAATCGATATTACCGCTCTCAACGAGCTCTTCCTTAGTCCCGGGAAGTTGACTAAATATAACCCAAATACAGATTCCAAGAGAAACCGAAAATTTTGCGCCTTGAACAAAAATAAACTCCTCATGGACCGATTGCGACTGGAAATGGGAATTCTTCGGTTTTAATTTCTTTTTTGGGGAGAAAGAGCAATGACTTTTAAAGTCAATTGGGAGGAAGACAAATCTTTGACAAAGTGCAGACTGTTTGTTTATTTAGTCTGTGTTTTTTGGGCGTTTTTTGAGTGATGGACTCTTAACAAATTTAGTTTGTTTAGTCATTTCCTTTTGCTTACTTTTGAAGTTCCTTTTTTAGATCCGTAGTTTCCTTTAATGCGCATCAATATCCAGGCACACAAAAACCGTTAAATTTGGATTGGAGCACCCGCACAAAATTTCCAATTAATGGACACAATAAATATTCTTAATTAAGTTGTTTGCATGTATAACTTTTTCCGCGTTTTGGCAATGATTTGCCTATTTTGCTTTTTCACGAGAACCACTTGAAGATCGCGAAGATCTATAGAATTTATAGCTCAAAATCTCTTTCACTCTCACAAAAAGTCTTTTTGCATTTCATTCGGATGAATGAATAATCTGATCTAGACGTACGCACGCATTGAAGTAACGGTAAAGACTGAGTGCTTCCCAAAGAAAGCAGCCCCTTATAATGAAAATCGGAACAGATCGAGAGGGAGAGAGAGCTTGTTTAAAGCAGTGCACTGCTTGCTGTTGCTCTCTCTCTCTCTTTCCCTGTGCGTGTTGGAATTAATTCAAAATTGTGAGCGTTAGTTTTGAAAAAGTTAGGTAGACACAATAGCCCACTCTTTTCTTCTCCTCTTGTGGGGTTGATTCTGCTCCACTATTCCCCCCTTTCATTAATCCCCATTTGAGCCACACTTCCGCTTTGACTTTATTAGCTCCATTTCATGACTTGATTAGATTGGTGTGAAGTAAATAAAATATTATGCTGTGACAAAAGGACAACCACATGTTTGTCTTTCAACGAGAATTTGGCGCGCTCTTTTTGCGTTTTAAAAATATGTATCTTTGTCATATATTCCCCAGAATGTCTGCGAAAATTGCTGTTGGCAAACAAAACGATCGGCAGACAGCCCCCATATGATACATATAAAAAGACTATTTTCTGACAGCATAAGTGGGTCGGAAAGTATTTGAGGTAGGGTTTTGTACCAAAGCAATGTGAGTTTCTCTTATTTGAAAAGTGAGTGGTTATATTACTTATATTATACAAATTATGTTATAAAAATTCAATAAATAAAACACTTAGATAGTAAACTACATCGTTAAAAAAAACATCTACATATCTAATATGATCCGCAATGTAAGTTAATTCCTATATCTTTGTATTTTTAACTCTGTTTGTAATAGCAAGTTCTCCTTTAAAAAAATTATTAGGACTGATCAAACCTATTCCGATATCCCATATTGAGCTTTTTCTTACTTTCTTTTAATCTTTTTATTTAATACCTATTATATACTGTAAACACACTACCATATCCATCAGTCTTTGACCTTCGATGGATTTATTTTGGTGTCGAACAAAAGAACAACAAATATTGTCGCTGAGAAGCGCCATCGAAAGGGAGGTCTACTCAATTTTATACGTATCCCCCTGAATGACACGTGGCCACCATATTAGGTGAGACAACGAGGATTGATGTGGCTGCTGGAAGGGATTGGGGCATCTGTCAACGAATCTCGGGGATCATTGACTGCCGGGTATAAATAGAGGCATGCCCAGGTATCAAAGGGCAGCCTGATTTAATGCTACATAATTCGCAGCGAGTTGAAAGTTCTTTTGGCACACGCTTGATGGCAGCATGATTTTTTGATGTTGCTCTGTTTTTAGCCCTCTTTATTTTTCCACTCGCTTTCATTTGCTTCTTGGCCGCTTGACAAATTTCGCACGTTTTTTTCATGTGAGCTGCGTGCAGCGAGTTTAAAAATAATTTATGCTCGGGGAGAAATTTTTGCAAGGGAGATTCTATTAGATTAGACTAATTCAAATGAATCACGCGTACTACGTTTATTTAATGCTTAATGCTTATTTCGGTTAAATCTTATTTAAAACTGTTTAAGAAATTTTTAGAAATTCATTTTTTGAATGTTATAAAAATGGTTACTTTGTGATTAAAAAAATGCTCATAAAAAAAAAAAAACATAAAAACTGACAATGATTTGTTTCTTCAAATAAACTTCAAATACAGGTTAAATTAATTCAATTTTGATATTATTTGGTACATGAAAATTAGGGAAAGTATCTCAAATTATATCCAACAAACAACGAGAATTAAGATGTGAGAGTCATGCCACATGCCACATGATGCACCTTTCCGCCTGTTTCGCTCACCTGAATCTGCTGCTCCAACTCGGTTGCGATGTCCTGCCGAGCCAAAGCCAATTGCTCCTGCAGCCTCTTCTCATACTCCTCGATGATCCGCTGGATCACTTGCGATTCGTTGTTAAAATTCAGCTCATCCTCATCGATGATGATCAGGGAGGTATTGGCGGGTCCATCTCCGGAACCCTTTTCCGGGCAGGTACGAGCAGGAGATTCGGTTTCAGGCTGGGTTAGTTTTGCATTTGGGTGTCGATTGCAGGTAGTTACAATTGGTTTAGTTCGTTTTATTGGGTTATAAAGTTGGTAGAGAAAAACAAGAATGGACATGCAGTTAGCTCAGTTAGTCAAAACAAGCTTGAATGTTTAACATTGTATGGGATGTTGTGATAATATTTACCTTGTAGTCATCGTCACCCTGGCGGCGCTCGTAGAACTTGATGCGATCACTCAGCTTGCGCACCTGATCCTCGTGAGCACGTCTAAGCTCCTTGATGTGAGTTTGGTAGAAGATCTTTAGGTCGGTTGCATCCAGTGAGTTCTAGAAGGAAGAATACAATATAGTTGAGTATAGGTACTTTACTAAATAAAACCAAGTAAAACTAAATAAAACGAAATAAAACAAATGTAATAAAAATCATTCGCAGATTGCATACGTAAAATTACTTGCCAGAAGCAAAATAAAAAAAATTAATATAACGTAATGTTAAAGAAATTAAAAGAAATTAACACATTAAATCATTTTGTATTAATTAGTTGTATAAACATCTACATATTTATTGAAATTGGTTAAGTAAATTATCATAAAAAAAACTAAAAAACAACAAACATGAAGAACAGGCATTAAATTTGTTTTTCATAAATTCTAGTTGGATATTTAATTGTTGCAATTGATTGATTGCATTATATTATTAAACCCAAAAACTTTATAAAACAAAACCTTTTTAATTTAATGACAACTTTAACAAACTGATTCTGAGTAAGTAAAACCATAGTTTAACCTATTTAATCCAAGCAAACTCACATCTTTTGCTGCTTGTCCAACGGGATCTCCCAGGGAGTCCACGCCACAAGGAGTCATCTGCCTGTGACTGGGACTGAGTAGCAGTTCAGCTCTCTTTCGTTTGCGGGGAGAAGGTTCCTTGGAGGAGGCAGCCACTGCCGATTCCTCGGGCAGCTGATCCACCTCGGAGCATTCAGAAGAGCTGTCCCCAGCCAGGTGTTGCGATTTGTGCGAGAATACGTCATCCGAGAACTGCTTCTCCAGATCGGCAAACTTGTGCTCGAAGTACTTCCGCACAACCTCCATTTCCTTTTCATGAGCTGCCTGCTGATTTTGTTCGCTATTTTGCTTCTCACTCTCCCATTGATCGCGGGCTATCTTCAGTTCCTGGGCACTCAGTTCCCTACACAAGGTCAATTGTTGATTCAAATAGTCGTCGAACTTGCGTTGGACCATCATGAAGATCCTCTGTTCGTTTGGCAGCAGGTAAGTGTGGAACTGTTCGATCTGTTTGCTAAATGCCGGTGTCCATTCGGGATTCGTGGTCTGCAGACCCAGATCTTCATTAGTTTGAAACTGAGGCAATTGCCTTTCCTTGGAGCTGCGCGATCCACGCTCTTCGTTGTCCGTGAGAAAATGGCGGTCCAAATCATCGTCGCTTTCGCTGATCAAATCCATGGAGATTTCCGAGATGCGCTGGCCGGGATTGGATTCCTGATCCTGCCACACGGAACTCGAACGTTTCACCGTGTCGATGGCTTCCTGAAGTTGCCGTCGCAAAGTTTGCACTTCGCCTCCAAGTCGCTCCGAATCCGTCTGAAGTTTTTCACGCACATTCAGAGATTGTTGCAGTGATTCAGTGAGTTGGACAATCTTTTCATCCCTTCGCGATAACTCCATATAAATGTCTAGAGTCTGTGGGGTAAATAATATTGTTTAGAGATGTTTTTCGCATTTGAATATAATGATTATACTTACTGGACCACCCAGTTCATCCTGAAGAGTCCTGTACTCCGTTGAGTTGGTCATCAAGGAGCTGGAATCCCTGGCCGAAGCTGGACCCGCACTGGATTCCCTTCTTGCCGCCTCAAGTTGCAGATTCAAGGATGCCAGGCAGTTGTCCTTCGTCTCTAGTTGGGTGTGCAGCTCCTGCACTTTGGCCTCCAGTTGCTTCAGCATATTTAAGCTAACCAAACTAGAACTGCTGCCCACAGCTTTACTTTCCCCGGCATGAAGCAAAGTTTTTGATTCATCCAGGGACAAAGAAGGCGGATCCTGCTCCTCTTCAATTGTGGTGCTCATCGAAAGCATTCTCTCGCTCTCTTCGGTGATGTCCTCTAAAACATCCTTTGAGAATTCTGTGAGTGGCACTCGTTCCATTTGTTTGAGCTCCATGTTGTTTGTGCTGCTCGAAACTTGTGATTGTTCCGCTTCCGTGGGCGAGAGTTTGGGTGCATTATCAATACTCTGCTGATTCATGACCATTAACCTTAGTTTCATCAATTGCAAGGAACTCTCCTCATCATCATCGTCGTCATCCTCATCTTCATCCATTTCCAGAATGGTTAGATCCAAGGGTTCCATTGCCTCTGGCTGCAATTGTAAAGTGGTCAAGGCTCTGGCTGCTTTTCTTTCAATGATCTTGGGTTCTTGAAGAGGAGGCAGTTTCAGGGTCTCCACTGTCGAAGTGGGTCTGATAACCTCTTGATCATGATCCTTCTGATTCTCCTGATCCTCCTGATCTTCATCTAGATCCGTAATTAGTTCTTTGTTCTGTGAAGTATGGACTGTTTCCTCAGCTTCGTAGGTCACTTCGATTGATTCATTGGTGGCCACAATCTCTTCCATCGAATGATCCTGCTCTTCGGTTACTTGGCTTTCATCCACCTGAGTTTCCTGTGGAGCTTCACTTCCCTCCGTTTCCTCCACCTGAGTTTCCTGCGGAGCACTGGCACTAATTGCCTCACTGTCCTCCGTTTTATCTTCCCGTTCCTGAAGTGGTTCCTCGACCAACTCGGAAACATCATCCGTTGTGCTTTGGTTGCTCAAACTCTGATCCACAGACTCATCATCTTCGTGCCGAGAATGCACAGGTTTTCTCTGCTCCAAAGGCAAACTAATGTCGAAGTCGTCGTCATCGTTTGAGGAGAGACTAACTCCCACTTTGGAGCCAACTGGCAGATGAGAACCTTCCTCGCTTTCGTCCTCATCGTCGACGAGAAAGTGCTGAGCCAACTGACCACCAGATAGTTGGGCATCATCAATGCGAAACTCAATCGCATCTTCATCTTCATCCGGATTGCTGCTCAAACTTTTGGCACTTGATTGTGGTTCCTTTGGCCGGGCAAAGGCAGCTGCCTCCGATAGAGATTCCAGTGGAGAGTTTAACTGCTCCTCCACCTCGCTGATCTCGATGGCCTCTTCGATCTCCTCCTCAATGCTGCTGCTTGTTGTGGTTGTTGTTGTTGTTGTTGTTGTTGCAGTTGTTGCCACAACATTGGCACTGCTCGTCGTTGTAGTCTTTGTTGTCTGCTGCTCAGCCATGTCGATGGTCATGGAACTGGTGGGCGGTTCAATGCTAAACGACGACACCGTTTGATCCTCCTCCGTTAGGCTGAGATTATTCTGTCGCCTCAGTAGTTCAGAGGTATCCGTGGAAGTAACCGCATACGGAGTGCTACTCGATTCGACTTCCGTCCAACTGCTCTTGGAGATTATGTAAGTGCGCGTGGAATCATTGTCGGAGTCGCAATCATCCGCAGGTTCCTCCTTATCGGAAACGCCACTCTCCACATGTTCTAAACTCGCGGGAGATCGTTGCTCACTTGATAAAGTCGGCTTCTCGAATATGAAATTTAGCGTGGGTATGAATTCAACTTCCACACAAGTTGCTGTTGCTGTTGCTGTTGCTCCAGTGCCGCAAGATGTTGCTGCTGCCGGAGATGTTGCTGCTGCTGCCGGAGATGTTGCTGCTGCTGCTGGAGATGTTGCTGCTGCTGCTGACGATGTTGCCGGCAGTTCTTCGATTGCCGACGCTTCGATCGCCTTGTAGCTGACACTGGCGCTGTGCGGCCGAAGCAATGATGTGATCTGGAATGTAAATAATGGAATATTAATGACCATCGTATTTTATGTTTCCACGAACTGTATTGCAAAGGTATTTCTTTGATGAATTACACTCAAAAATGTAGCTACAAAATCATTTCGTTTAATAGATTCTTCCATCTAAAATTAACTTACAAAACTTAGAAATAAATAAACCTAACAATATATATGTTACTGAGAAAACAGAACTTTTTTCTTAGTTTAATTTATTATATTCAATAATTGTTTTTTAAGCAATTGTTTTTTCTAAAACAATTTTATAATTTCTTTTTTTTTTTTTTGAATCTGTCTCTGTAGTTATAAGCTGATTTTTCTAAGCTATGAAAAATCTATCTTTAATTGTTCATTGATTAATAGATAGTATATTTCTTCGCTTGAGAAATTCTAACATTACAAGTCGGACATTTGTTGTATCGCATTTTACACATTTACAACACAGAACTTTCGGATTTGTTTGAACAACAAATGAAAACAAGAGCAAGTTTTAATTTTTCATTGGCCCACTTGTTGTGCCACCAGGCTGACTGTGCCACTTGAATTTGAGGCAACACGCGTCTGCCGCCATAAATTTATTTTCTAGATTTTGATTCGATTTAATGATGTCACCCAGTTGTCAACGTCCGAAACGCATTGTGAGGATTCTTTTTGGTTTCCCCAGTCCCCAGTCTTTGTGCCCCACTAAACTTGGGCAAAAGGTATTAAACGAAGCGACTTTATTACGTAAACAAAAGTGATTGGAATTTTAGAAACGATATGGATATCTGTTTGGCAACATCCAATTTCAAATTGACCTGCATCTCAAGTGTTTATCGGTGGCTATCTTTTGGAAAAGCGGAAGGGGACTGCTGCCCACATCCATTCCTTGATGGATTGCAGCTGTGTCGGTTGTTGGTTTCCCTTTAAATTATAATTAGAAACATTTGAGGCATCTTTATGTTTGGTAATAAAGTTTCCACCGCGGAGGAGTTGCATACGCTTGAGTTATTTATATTTCGACTTGCCCACATTAATTAAGAAAGACGACTCTGTCCACTCGAGGGATCTATATGTTCTATAATTATGGAAGGTGTTCGAAACGTGTGCCACACATGCATCCGTTCCCGAATTGCCGAACTGAGTGGGGAAATATTAAGGCATTTTCCAATTACGTTTTTCACAGCTGGAGATCTAATTAGATCGTGTGCATTCTATTATATGTAAGCCATATGCCAAGGCAATGCATTTGTCGGTTGGATAATAAACATCTTTATATGTATTGCGTTGAGACATATATGTCTATTAGAAGCATAATTAATTTTTGATACAAAATTAAAATAGTTTGCATTCTTATTGAATGGTATGTACAATAGTAAAAATATTTTTATCCTCAAAATGTTCTTTTCCCAATAAGTGTAACCAATAACAATCCACATAAAACCATAATTAGGAATAAGTAATAGTTATGTGAAAAAGGTTCAATTTAATTCCTTTTTTTTGTAATTAAATGCTCAATAAAACTATAGAAGAAGGTTTATAATGTATTAAAATATTTGAATAAAATCCTATAACCCACTGTAACTGAACATCTGCAAAAGACAACAATTTCCATATTACACATACGCCATGTGGGTCAGGTCGTAACGCTTGACAAAGTTCTCAAAATATTAGCGGATATTATTTGTGCAAAAGTTGTTAATTCCCGGCCACAGGAGTGTTATTTGAACGTCCTTGAACTTGTCAGGGCAAAGACAACCCAATCAGGAAGTCCCAGCCCAGCGATATCCTTAAACGCGTATCGGGATAACAAGTTTGCAATCATAACCATGACAACGGATTTTCTTCAAGTGTGCGTGTTCCTCATTGGACGGGGAAAAGCGAAAACGAAAGTTTTTCCCACCTTCTTGCAAAAATTTCAATTTGTTGCTATAGTTTGCCTCTGATTTGGGGCCGTTGTTTGGGTGTGACACACATTTCAGGTGGATCGGCTGAGGTTTTTGCACTTCGGCGACTAATAACAACAATGCCACTCCCCCGAAAAAAAAGGGAAAAGGGGCGCAGGACCTAGCCCAATGTCTCAGTTAATGGCGCTGCTGTCTTTCCTTTGATTTTCCATAAGAGATACTGTCGATAAACCTTCAATAATGGCACGCATATTGGCGAAAATGATTAAATTAATGACTTTGACTGGGGAAAAGTTGACAATGAAATATGCTGAACAAAAATAAACTAAGATTACGAAAGGGAGTCGTTTTTTTTGCGTTTTAAAAAAGGCTTATACAAGACTGATTTAGTTGTTATTCGATAGAAATCTTTAGAAAAGACTTAAAAATGCTATTAAGACAAAGTTTATTGGCATCATGTTTACTCTAAAATCCATTCAAAAGGTGATTTAAGCATAATACTTTAAACAAACTTGAACTGTAAGTTTAGGTTAGCTTAACCTTGAGAAGATTTAAATCTTTTTGAATAAATTTTTACAAATTAATTTAGCAAATATAAACTAGTTTTTTAGATTTCTTTAATATTTAATTGTTTCTGGTTATCCCTAAAACTTTTTTTTACTTGGTTCTTAGATACTAGATACAAAGTACTATTCAAACATTTGTCAATTTCCACTGCGCCACAATAACGAGCTCTAATGTGGCTCATTACCGAGCGGTTTCGAATGATATTAACACACTTTGGGCGTCGAATGATGCAAATGTCACTGGCAGATGTTAAAGATCGCATTGCCGACAGAAACTCACATGCAATTTCCCCATTTCACTGCTGGCCTCTCATTCGAATCAATTCAGCGATGAAGTTATCTCAATTAAATGCAATTTACAGTCACTTAAAACGTCCATATATCGACAATGGCTATTTATGAGTTACATTGTGCGAAAGTTTTCATATATGCACATAAATCGTAGATTTGATGAAACAACTTTATGGGCGAAGGCACTGCACTTTTATCTTTTTAGAGCTATAAATGTGCGGGGAACCGAAAGACGAGCGACGCGACCGCCTGCAGTGCAAGTTCTTTTATAAATAAAACGCCAGAAGAGACATTCAATTGAAATCAGTCACTCAATCCGAGGAAAATCAAAAGAAAAGCGTTGGAAAAGAGCAGTCCCCGGAGAGCCGAAAGCGAATGAATGAGCGAGAGCGATTGCCGCGGAAATTTGCAACGCGGTTCCAAGCGGTTCCGTGCACCGAATGTTCGCTCCCATTTTTTATTTATAAACAAAATTTATATGTGGAACATAAACGCCACCGTGCGTCAGTGTGTGTGTGTGTGTGCAACATTTGTTGCTACAATGTTGATGGAGCTATGTTGATAAGACCAGGAATATTCCCTCACAGTAGATAAAGCTTAAAAGGTAAGAGGAAAAATGTGTTCTATTTTTGGGAGATCTACTGACTACTATTTAAAATGTTTATTTCGAGTTTTAAAATAAATACAAAATTATATAATTATATACTTTTATATTTATTTTAAAATATAAATTATAAACTGGAGACAGTAAGCTGGCACAACACCAAACAGCATTCACAGCAACCGAAATAATGTTCTCCCAAAATTTACTACTTTTTAAAGTTCACCCTTTTTTGATTTCCACTGTAGATTGTTTATAAAGTTTTGAAGGGCCTTGTGGCCGCCTAATCGAAAGTTCAAAGGCGCATTCAATTTCGATTTCATTTGTAAACACACTTGAACACCAACACATACTCTTTGTGGATTGTATATTTTCGAAAAATACATTTCATTGCCCACTATTCCCCATTTTTGTGGATCCCATTAAGTGAATTCTGCGAGCAAAAATGATGGATGCTCTGAGTTCTCCAATGGGTTAATACTTTAATGGATTCCCGAGCTTGCTTGGCTTACCCAATCGTATAGAGTGTACAGATTCATGGTGACTGCACTTGAACCAAATAATTTATGGCCTATTCCCTGGCTTCCTAGCCGCCTTTTGTTGCCACTTGCGCCTGTCAGTCGTGCATATTTTTATACGTTCTAGATGCAAACCGAAAGCGATCCATTTTCTTGTTGATGTTTATGTTAGGATTTTGATGACACGATATTTCTTAATTTTTTCTGCCTGATTTGCTTTTGAACACCGACGCACACACAACACCAAAGAATTTTGTAGGTTAAGTTGGATAATTTACGTAAATTTTCAAAAGTTTTCCGATTTGAATGTTCTAAACTAGGACAACACAATAAGGGGAAAACTAGCTACGAAAACCCGAAATCCTTAATCGAGCATTATATGATTTTGTATTGCTCCGCGAAGGAGAAAATCCACAGAAAATAAAGATAAACCGAAAACAATAGTGCAACCGATCTGAAACAGTTGCACGTAATCGCGAGCGCGTTGCAACTGAGAACAAAATCCATTGCGAAGAGTCTTTTATTTTTGGGCCTCGGGGGATAGATAAACCCTCTCGTTTTCTCCCCTCCCAAATATACTGTAACGCTCAGTGAAGCACAACACGAGATTGTTTAAAAATAATCAATCGTAAACAAAATCTGTTGCAGTGGAATTGAATTGGGGAGAGTCAAGCAGAGAAACCAAGAACTCAATGGTTCAAAATTTGGGAGAGAAATAAAGAGAAATCCTAGAGCAGAAACAGAAAAAAACAATTACTTTTTATCGCAGTTCTATAAATAAGTTCTAAGCAGAGATTCGGGATTTAAAAAAACTATTAGATAAGAATGGATCTAAGGGATCTAGGGGAATGGATCTAATAGGTAAAAGTGACACTAATAAAACTTTAAAATGTAAGGTCCATAAAATCCCGAAACGCTAACTAAAAGAATATTTAAAGTGTTATAAACACTATATAAAATACTGGAACATTTTTATCGGATTTCCTCTACCGAGATCTACTTCATTAAAAACGCATTTAGGTAGGTAAATTTTAATACAAAATATTTATTGTTATTGCTTGTCAATAGTTAGTCTTAAAGAGCTTTGTGAATATACTTATTCCAATCTGTATATACACTCAAAAATATTATTCGATTAGTGTAAAAATATATTTTTCATACACTATTTAACAATTGCTAGTCAGTTATTCTTTTGTAAATGCTTTCAGTTTTGTAAAATATTTCTATATTTTCTAGGCATCTAGTCGTAAGGCGATTTATTGTCCTGTTTTCTTTTTTTTTGTATTTATAAAATGTAATACAAATGATAAATGTCACTCGGTAAATTGCTTTTCATAAGTCAGTGCAAAATTTGGCAGATTTTTTGAGCATTTTTGAATAAAAATAATATTCAGTTAGTCCTTGGTCCTAAAAAATTTGGCTAACGAACTTTAAATTCGATAGGTGGTCAACAATTTGTGCTGCTTTTTGCTTTGTAGTTACTCTGCGCTACAAAATTAATTTAGTTAATCACATAATTAAGATTAAATTGATGTAAATCCCGTGAAACCTTAAAGGTCAGTTGGGATTGCCGCCCTCTTTTTGTTTAAACTTGGTGGAGTATTTGTAGAAGTCGGACATCTCAAAGGGTTTGGTAACTTCTTTGTACGGCTGGAAGGTGGCCTGCTGCACAACGGTCATGTTCTTTGGCGACTCGATGCGAATTTCTGGCGATAAGCTGGCCGTGGCCACGGTTAAAGGCGGCGATACCAAAGCCGTTTGAACAGCATTGCCGTGACCAAGTTGTCCGGTTGGAATACCACTCCCACTATTATTCAAATTCTGGTTATGACCCTGATTCGCAGGTGGCGGTCTGGGCGGCGGCGTAGGCTGTTGCATTTGACTTGGCTTAGGTGGCAAATTTCGCAGTGCTGGTATGTCCAAAGGTTCCAGGGGATACGACACCGAAATCCCCAACGTTTGCTCCATGGCATTGAGGTACGAGGTCGATTGACTTAACAAGGCTTTTGAGCTGGTGTTCACCGCATAGCTGGCACTTGGATAGTTCTGCGTGGGTCGCTGGTTGGACATGGAATAGTGGCGTCCCGACACCGACATGGACTGCGAAGAGAGCTTGGCGCGGGGTTTACTAGATACCATGGCAGCTGCTCCGGGATTACTACTTCCATTGCTACTGCCAGCTGGACTGTGCGGTTGTGAATCCATCTGCCTGATAACAGCAGGTCCATCTAGCGATGATTCTAGCCACTGTTTCGGCTTCGGTTTCTTTTCAATCGTCGTCGAGGAGGATGACAAAGAGATCTCGTCGTGCGGCTGATAGCGACTGGGCGGCAAGGGCACTGCCAGCATATCGCTGGAGTGCGATTTACCCTCTATTATTCCCAATTGAGGCGGTGTTAAGGGGGCTATGTGTGATTGAGAGCGCCAGCGATATTGCTGCTGATGTTGGGCGGCATCCATGTCCACGGAAACATAACTGGGCGCCAGGGATATAGCATCTAGCTGTCGATGATGATGCATTGCATTACGCTGTTGCTGCTGCTGCTGCTCGTAGCTGAGATTGCTGGGCGACGCCAGTGGAGAAACATACTTCTTGATGTTCTGACTTGACTTGATGAAGCCACCCTCATTGTAGTTTTGATGCGTGGGGGATAGGTAGTATTTATCGCACTGTACTATAATTGGCTGCTGCTGGGGTGCCACTTGTGGCGGTTGCCTCAAAGTTGCCACATTCGAGGAGTTCGCCGAGTACATGGATATGACATCCGGCTGTGATCTCTGGTAGTTCATGTTCATCACCAAATGCGCTTGCTGCTGATGCTGCTGGCGCATATATTGCATTTGACTGGGCGTGGGTGTGGGTCGCTTTTTCAGGGCGCTCTTCACCAGCGGCGGTTGCTGTTGCGCTTGCTGCTGAGCCACGCCTATTACCAGCATATCACCGGCTCCCGCCGAAGAGGAAGGCTGGTAATTGTCATACTCTGAACTTCGATTCGATAGCGTTTCCGATTGACGATTGTTGTTATTGTTGGTCATCTGGCTCTCTCGACTTTCACGGCTCGTTGTGCTTTGCTTCCGCCGCAATATTGAATGGTTTTCCCTGGCCAAAGCCTGCAGTTGCTGTTCATGCTTGTACTGCTGGGCCAATTGGACGAAAAATTCATTGACTGTCATGTGCTCGTAATTGCCATTTATAATGGCCGTCTCCTGTTTCTGAATTTGCTGCAGCAGCCAGCTCTTTTCGCTTAGACGCTGCTCCAAAGCCTGTTTCCTGGCCTCCAAATTCTCCTTCCTGACCTTTGGGTCATCCTCGTTTTTGTTGTTGTTATTGTTGTTGTTGCTACTACTGCTATGATTGTTGTTTATGTTATTCGTATTGTTGTTATTGTTGTTGATGTTGTTCGTGGAGTTGCTTGTGGTTGCCGCCTGTTCTTCATCTTTAAGACTGGCCATATTTCTGCTCTTGGGCGCTTTCAATTGCATCGCCAGTGGTTGCTTGGGTTTCGTCGGCTTCGTTGGTGGGTTGTTGGTGCGGATTTCGGTTAATCGGGGGATCCTAGAAAAGACAAGCAGTCTTTGATAAGTCGACTCCTAAGCTGGTTTAATTTTAACCTAATTTATAGTTTTGTTTTAGGGTGTACACTAGCTCTGATTAATGAGAAAAGTAAAAACCTGGTACTTTTAATACCATTTCGGAAATTAAATATTTAATTTTAGTAGCCCCAAAACCAGTTATACTTTGAATATTTAAGAACTGTTTCAGGTTCTTCATGCTTTGTTATCACTTTGTCAGAGCTGGTGAATTTTAGTTAAGAGTTAGGTTTTTTTATTGAAGACGTGCACTAGTTAATAAGAATTCTTATGCTTTTTCTTGTATGTACAGACTTAGTTTTTGTTTGTTTCCGATTTCCACCCGTTTTATCACGCACCACAACCACTGTAAACCTTGAAGCGAACCCTCTCCAAAAAATGGCCAGAACATTAAACCCAAACATACAGAAGCTCGATGAGGTGTTATTTGTATGTTGTTTATAACTTTTTTTTGTTGGCTTGTACAGTCTTGAGTTTGGCCTTCGTAGCCGGCGATGACTTAATATCAAACGTGCAAAAGTCGTTGAATTAAGTGCGCCTACAGTGGATGCTCGTTGAGGGGAACCAAACTGGTTTCCCTCCACATTTCCAATAGTTTCCCATGTGGGGGTTGGTTTCTAATTAAAGAACCTCCACTGTGCATGTTTTAATGGTTTTATGGTGCACACACACATACACGAACAAAACAACTACGCTTATGACTAACAAATAAATTATAATGCATAATTTAAACAGATCGATCGATTAAAAATATGTCCCACACACAATAAGTAAAACAACAAAAACAGGTCAAGAACGGAAAACGGTAAAACAAAAACAACTTTTAACTTACCAGCGGAGATCTTTGTTGTTGTTGTTACTTCTGCTTTTATGTATGGCGTCGTAAAAACAAACAAGAACCGTTATGTGCGGCCGCGCCTGTGAATGAGTTAATTTTTAATTGTTTGCAATCAAGATTTCGGCAAATTGGCAGTAAGTTAGCAATAGTATTAGTAACTCAGGTGAGAGAATTTCCAGAGAGAAGCACACCTTTCCTTTTTATCGCTCAAAATGCGGTCGCATAGCGTCGCTGTTGTTGCAACGCCGCGTCCTCTCACATAAAATCAACAAAACTGTGTTATTTTTTCACTTTAAGTGCGTGCTTTTCAATTTATTCGCTGCGCGTTTGAGCAATTGGGTTGTGCAGCACTCGAACTCGACTTAAATAAATCAAAAATTGAGCAAATTATACGAAAAACTCGCAAGAAAACAGACTGCAATGCTGCGCCTACATAATTAAACAAAAAACTGGCACGCACACAATTGCATGAGCTAGTGCTGGAAAACGTTAGATACCAGGTGGGACGGTGACCAACTCCCTGTAAGCACGATAGTGACATTAACAGTCAGAAGTTAAACAGTTCATATAATTAAAGACTATACTTTTTGTTAGAAACTTATATATATAGAAATTTTATTTATAAATAATTTGACATTATATTATAAAAATGATAACGACCAAAATATTTCAGTTTATCGCCGAAGTTACAAAAACTGTTTCAAGATATAGTTAAGAGAACGTTAGGTAGAAGATTGTTAATAGGTTTATTTTATTAAATTAATTAAAATTATTGCCTAATAATTACTTTTAGTCACCTTTTATTTTCCTCGTCACGAGTCACAACATTCTCATCCCTGGACCGCGCTGTTAACCGAAAACAGTGTTGAGTACCTTCTGCGAATGCAGTGTTGCACGCCGGCCGCTGAACACTCATCCATCCAACGAAATTGCAGCCGCAAGTAAAGGTATTTCAACAGTAGCCAATTGGACGGTTTATTACATAAAATCGCGTTTCCCAGCTGTAAAAAATAAAACCGCCTTTATGTCATTGCAGTTGTTGAAAGCGCTACCCCATTTGCGCAGTGCCACTTCAGCCGTGAGAAATCCAATAGCAAGAACAACGTGGAGCGAGCACATTGCCACGAAAGTGTTTTTCGGCACCACTACCACAAAAGATACTCCCGCAGCAGCACCACCACCCACTCAACCGCAGCCATCACCGCCTACTTGGGGTGCCAAGAAACAGAATAGAAAGGTCAAGCTAAGATCTGCAGCTGCCGAGTTCATTATGTCGAATCCGGAGATCGAGGCCCAACTTGCTCCCCTGCGAGAGCGGGTTCAGGAGCAGGGAAACCTGGTGAGGGACCTTAAGGCAAAGGGAGCCCCCGAACTGGATGTCAAGAAGGCGGTGGCTGAGCTGAAGGCCCGCAAGAAGCTGCTGGAGGACAAGGAGCTTGCCCTCACCCCCAGTGTCGTTAGCTTCGATCGCGCCAAGATGGAAGATCTCCTAAAGCGTCGGTTCTTTTACGACCAGAGTTTTGCCATTTATGGCGGCATTACTGGACAATACGATTTCGGACCAATGGGCTGTGCCCTCAAGTCCAATATCCTGGCCCTATGGCGTCAGTACTTTGCTCTCGAGGAGCAAATGCTGGAGGTAGATTGTTCCATTTTGACCCCAGAACCTGTGCTGAAAGCCTCTGGTCACGTTGAGCGCTTCGCGGACCTGATGGTCAAGGATGTCAAGACGGGCGAGTGCTTCCGGCTGGATCATCTCATCAAGCAGGCCCTGGAGAAGCTGTCGAAGGCCAAGGAGGCTACGCCTGCATTGCAGGCAGAGTGCGAGGACATCATCATTAAGCTGGATGGCTTGAACAAACAGGAACTGGCCGATGTCCTAGCCAAGTACAACATCAAGTCTCCTTTAACCGGCAATGATTTGACCGAACCCATCGAGTTCAACCTGATGTTTGCCACCCAAATTGGACCCACTGGCCTGGTCAAGGGCTTCCTGCGTCCGGAAACTGCCCAAGGTATCTTTGTGAACTTCAAGCGGCTACTGGAATTCAACCAGGGCAAGCTACCCTTTGCTGTGGCCCAAATTGGCAACTCGTTCCGCAACGAAATCTCTCCTCGATCGGGCTTGATTCGAGTGCGTGAATTCACGATGGCGGAGATTGAACACTTCTGCGATCCCGTGCTCAAGGATCATCCCAAATTTGGTAACATCAAATCGGAGAAGATGACCCTTTACTCTGCCTGCAACCAGATGGACGGAAAGTCGGCTTCTCAAGTGGAAATCGGTGAGGCAGTTGCCACCAAGCTGGTGGCCAATGAAACTCTTGGCTATTACATGGCCCGCATCCAACAATTCCTCTTGGCCATTGGCATTAAGCCGGAGTGCTTGCGATTCCGTCAACATATGTCGAACGAGATGGCTCACTATGCCTGCGATTGCTGGGATGCCGAGATCCTCACTTCCTACGGATGGGTGGAGTGCGTCGGATGCGCAGACCGCAGTGCCTACGATTTGGGACAGCATACGGCGGCCACGGGTGTGCGTTTGGTGGCAGAGAAACGTCTACCGGCTCCCAAAACTGTGGAGGTCAGCGAAATTGTGCCCAACAAACAGACCTTGGGCAAGACATTCAAAAAGGAGGCCAAGAATATCACAGATGCATTGGCGAAGCTTTCGCTGGAGGAGATTACCAAGGTCGAGGAGCAGTTGGCCAGCGATGGCCAGTACAAGCTAACGACGGCCGACGGTCAAAGCCATGAGCTTGGCAAGGACACCATTAGTGTGAAGCACTCGACCAAAACGGTTCACGTGGAGGAGTTCATACCTAGTGTGGTGGAACCATCGTTCGGCATTGGACGCATCATGTACTCCCTGCTGGAGCACAGTTTCCAGTGTCGCGATGGCGACGAGCAGCGATGCTACTTCACCCTGCCTCCACTGGTGGCTCCCATCAAGTGCTCCATCCTGCCGCTGTCGAACAACGCCGACTTCCAACCTTATACTCAGAAACTCTCATCGGCGTTGACCAAGGCAGAACTTTCGCACAAGGTGGACGATTCCAGCGGCTCCATTGGCAGGCGGTATGCTCGTACGGATGAGATCGCCATTCCCTACGGCATCACCGTCGACTTTGACACTCTGAAGGAACCGCATACGGTGACCCTGAGGGATCGGAATACTATGAAGCAGGTGCGCGTCGGACTGGAGGAGGTTGTGGGCGTGGTCAAGGACCTGTCAACTGCGAGAACTTCCTGGGAGAAGGTCACCGAGAAGTATCCTCTGTTCGAGCAGCAGGAGGCCAGCAAGTAACCGGATGATCAACCAATTTCTCACGCTTGACACGCATTTACAGAGCTACAGAGTTTTCTAATTCTTTTATATCTACGCTTAAAGTTTAATAAAATTGCAACATTTAATGCTTTGCACTCAGAAATTACATTGTTTACTTTTTTCTTATTTTTTTATCGATTGGTTTTTTCTTTAGCATTACAATGAAAATATGTACATGTTTATAAAAAAGATTACTGAAAATGTGAATGGATACGAAATGATTGTTTGTTGCACAAAGTTAATTGCTTAGAATGTACACTTGACACCATTGACGCTTTATATTTTTTGTTTGAATTCCAATACAAGGCAACGGAATGTATGGTCTTTGTATTGGTCGTTTTCCAACACGCGATGAATCACTGGTATTTAGGGACTAACTATACGCGGTCATACCGCCGGCGCCTCGTTCGCAGAAACGATACGTATTAAATAAACCAATACCGAATTTGAGGCACCACGTGCAGCAAAAGACAAATAAACGGCGCAATTGTCTCGCGAGTGTCTCAGATAACGGTAGATTGAGCGCCCTTCGCGAATCAGATCCGGAGGAATTCGTGATCCCAATATTCCAAGAGATTCCAGACGTTAAAAGATGAAATACATCCTGGTCACTGGCGGCGTCATCAGCGGCGTGGGAAAAGGCGTGATTGCCTCCTCGTTCGGGACCCTGCTGAAGTCCTGTGGTCTCGATGTTACCTCGATAAAGATTGACCCCTACATCAATATTGATGCTGGAACCTTTTCGCCGTACGAGCATGGTGAGTTTTCAAGTTCTTTCATATTATATAGTGTATATGTATATTATGTACATGTGTGCCCGCGACATTAGGGAAATGTCTGTCTTTTATTTTGGCAAATTTTCAATATTTCGAGCATCTGTGTGAGCGTGAGTGTGTGAGTGAATGTTTTAGTGAGTGTCTGCAAGTCTGTGCAGTTATTGTTGTAAGGTGCAAGCTGTTGTTGTTGTCAAAGGTCACGCGGCTTGTTGTAACCACATGGCGTGAGCAAGAGAGAAAGAGTCTTGAAGTGACAGTGTTACCAAGCAAGTGAAAAGCGCTCTCCCGCCAAAAAGTTCAAGCAACAATAACATGAAGAAAATATCAACAATTACAATCGCTCCGTATACAGTGCTTTTATTAAACGCTGTAGAATGTTGTAGAGCGGGCAAAGATAAATAAAATGCGCATAAAATGTTTGCTTGCATTACTTATATACATATATCATATTAATATGTGAATTAACTTTTATCTGATTTAAATTTGCATAAACATTTTTTTATTCACTTTGGGGCACGGAATTTTCCTTTCCGTGCATAAAAATTAAGACAATGTGGCGTGTTTACTGTTTTGTGGGTGGGAGTGTGAAAGAGATAACCAGACAGCACGGCCGCCTGTCAGCTGTTTCTTAGACCCACTCCTCTCTCTTTTTTTCTCTTAATAAACTAACAACAAGTTCTCGCACGTGTTTTGGAATGTTAAATTTTACCCATTAAGTTTTATGAACATATGAACAAATATTTGGCTCCAAATCAAATGAAGCGCTTAATATTAAAAGGCAACACCAATTCGCATATACAATTTATTTTGAAAAAAGAGAAAAATATATAATAACTCTCTTAATTTTTTTGCTGTCTGTTTCTTGCTCTCTTCTTGTAAAAAAGGCTCCCTTAACCGGCAAACATTGTTTTTGTTGCTTGACATTGAAAACGAAAGTTTTTTTTCCTTCGTTTCACTAGCTTTGCTTTGCTCGATTCATTCTTATTTTTGTTTGGGTTTTCTTTTGTCTGTTTGTTTAGTGTTTTTTGAGGAAAAGGGAAACGGTTCACTCACGTGCGCACTAAAACAAGTTGTAATTGATCCGAAGCCAGCTGCGTTTTAAGCGAAACTGACCCACAAAAAGCATTTGCTATGATAAGCAAACACCATAAAAACGTCTTTATCGGCGATAATACATTTTTATTTGATTAAATTTTGATTTAATAGGAGTAAAAATGATTTATTACTTTGAAAAAATAGTGTAGTCGATTAAAATTTGTATTGTACTTTTTAGCAATTCACTTGCCGTTATGTGTTTCTCACTCACTTTTTCGCACTCCCCCTTTATACTCTCCTGTTTTCCGCGCTCCCCTTTCAAAAAGAACTTCTCCACCAAAATGGCGCCAGCAATAACAACAAGAACAACGTTGAATGAATAAAATGCAGCAGCGACACACACAAATTTATTTATGCAACGTGCCAATGCAATTACGAAGCGTTTGTTTGTGCTGTGTGTTTGGGAGTGTGTTTTTGGAAGGTGGGAGCCAATTTGTGCATGAGTGTGCTTGTGTGTGTGACATGTGACGCAGCTTTGACCTGAACGATTCGAGGGGCCTCTGCACGTGTGGTTAAATAAATGTGCATGTGTGAAGCAAAATGAAAGTTAAAAACGTGTTTAGGTCAAAAAATCGCTTACTTGTTTAGTACGATCAACCTATTTGCCGTCAAACTCGGTGTTATCTTGTACGTAATACTTTAAAAGAACAAATTTACTTTCGGTAATGTAAATAGACGCATGAAACTTCGATGAGTTGAAAGAGCCAGCAAGCCTATAGCCCATCTTTCTTCCACAACGCACAACCACCGTCCCTCCGCTGCTCTCCTTCGCAGGGGATTACTGTCTGCCGCCTGTCATTTGCATTTTTGCGCCCAGCTTCACTTTTTGGGGGTCGAATTGCACAAAATGCAATTCTGCTCATTTGTTATTGTGCTTGTTGTTGCTGCCCATCGTTGTTGTTGTTTTTGTGAGTTGCTGGCGTCGACGTCGATGCCAGCGTCGACTGCGGCACATGCGTGTGCTTCATTTGTTTTGCGTTAATTTTCATGGTGTGAGTGGGTGTGTGGAGGAGGGCAGAAAGAGAGGGGGAAAGTGGAGTGGGAAATGGCAAGGGTCGCCATATTGGCCGCTGCGGCGTTCCATCTTTTGAGGGTGTCTTCTTCTAGCTGCCGAGTGCTTCTTTGTTGTTGCTTGGGCTTTTTGCGCTCCGTCATGTTGCCCCCCACCCCCGCGCTTCCTTGGCCACATTAGCGTTTTTAGCCATAAAAGAGCCAAGCTCCTCTGCTCTCCGCACTTTACGTCCTCCTCCACCGCTCGCTTCTCTCTTTTGCTCTTCTGTCTGCTCGTTTGGTTGTGTGGCCGTCATCGGCGCGTCAACATCGTTAGCAGCTGTTGCTCTTTGCCTGTGCGCCATTAACTGCCGCCCCCTCTCCCCCTATCGTCCGGCCTCCCCTCTTTTCCACCTCCTTTTGGCCTGCATTTGCTTTGTTGCTGCCTTTCTGCTTGCGCATTCGTTACGCTCACGTTTCGCGACGACAATAATGCTTGGGCCTCTGCTACTGCTGTGTTGTAGTTGTTACTGCTGCCACCTCTGGCTGCTCCTCTTCTTCTTTTTTTTCACTCACGCTCCTGCTCCGCCTTGTGCGTGTGCCGCCACATACAGTAGTATCATACTAAAGAGAAATATTCGCACTAAAACAAAAAAAACAAAATTGTAAAATTAATTTTAATGTAACCAAAAAGTTAGCATACGTTGAGGAGCCCGTCCAATTATTTGACAGAAAATCTGCGAAATGAAAACAGATTTGGAATTCCCCAAAAAGTAAAGTAAAGTTTTTGATTGGATTTACTAATTTCGAAGCTTCACTGTACTCATATACATATGGTCTGCGTGTGCGAGCTTTTGTGTGTGTGTGAGTGTGCAAAAATTAAATGGAAAATACCATTTGGCTGTGGCGGCAGCTCTCGAACTCTCCAGCTCGCCAGCAGGATGTGACCGTTGCTACGCGTTGCTGGCGTCTGAGGTTGAGTGGCTGCCACCCAACCCCGCCTCCTCGGTCACCTTCTCGCCTCCCACCGTTCCGCCCCCTCATTTGCTGCTACACGCACACAATACGGCTCACTGATGGGGCCGCACGTGTCTGTGTGCGTGTGTGTGTGTCCATTCTATGGCTTCATAAGCTTCAATCTTCCGTCTGGTCAAAAGTTTGCCCACTTGCCATAACTTTAAGCATAGCTTACGGATCGCTTTAAGTAATTACATTGGGCAGTAAGAAAGTTACGAAATACAGTAGCCGTTTGATAAATTAGCCTCCCTCTTTTATGGTTTGGGAAATCTTTGGTCGAAAGTCTTAGTAAAAATATGTATGAAAATGTTATTTTTTTTGGAAAAGGTGCTTGTGTCTTTTTCTGACATGAATGGTTTTAATTAAGATAATCTTAGATTTTTTAAGTTTTAACGCCATTAAGAAGTCTAAGAGATGCTTTTATCTGGAAACCATATACGGTTGATATAAAACTGAGCGTAAATGTATCTTATGTGGTTTAATATGGTTCTTTAAATCAATTTTGCAAGATCGTAAAGAGCGTGAAGCTAGACTTAAGATTAGGCCTTGAAAAAACTAAAATTGCTAACGGTGATTGTGTAACTGCCGGCAAAAGTCTGTTGCTTAATTGTAAGAAATTAAGTTCGAAGCGGCTACCCAATCGCACTTGCCCCTTATTATATAGCGTTATATTACAACCACGCCAACCGCCTCCCCCATTTCCACCCGCCCACCACCCACCTCACACTTACGGTGTCTGAGCGACAGGCGCCAGAAGAAGAGGAAGAGCTGGGGAGAGGAGCGGCGGGAAGTGAGAACAGAAGAGGAGAGTGAAGAGCGAAGAAGAAGAGCGGTAGCCGTGGAGCCACAGCCAAATTCACATCGATTCGCTTTGCCCGGCGTTTGTTGCACCGCCCCCGTTGGTTCTGCTTCCTCTTCTGCTTCTGCTGCTGCCTCCTGTCGCGTGATTTTAACGAGCCTCCTCTCTTCGACCCCGGCCCCCTCTTCTCTCTTACCCCCACCCTCCCCCGCTCTTCATGGTTTATGCTTTTCGCTCGCTAGCTCGCTCGCTTCCGCGCGTTGATTGTTGTTGGCTGCGCATGCAGTAGGCAGGAAGAGAAGAAGAAGAAGAACGAGGAGGAGGAGGAAGAGGAGCCGGAGGAGAGCAGGCCACCGGCTCCACCTCACACAGACAGCACGGCTGGCTCTCTCCCGCATGTGTTTGTGTGGACTATGGGTGAGTGTTTGAATAAGTGTGTGTGTGTAAGTGTGCGTGTGCTGGATAGCCGGCAATAATATGCCCAAAAGCAGCAACAACAAATGCAAAGGCAACAACACAGGGAGCAGCGAGCAGAGCCAAGCAAATGGCGGCGGCCGTTTTTAGCGTTTGTGCGCGCTTCTCCACCTCCTCCTCCTTCGGCCCCCCGCACATTATATATGTATGTATGTATGTATGTATGTGTCGCGCCGGCAAAAGCAAAAGCTTGTGGCGTGGCTTTGGCTCTCGCCTGAAACTGAACTGAACTGCCAGCCTGCTGACTGCTCTGCTCTGCTCCCCTCCTCTCCTCTTCCGTTCCCCTCGTTTCCCGATGCCCCCCTCTTCGCTCCTCATTGGATCGCCTGCGCCTCCTCGCTGGCGTTTTTTGCGTTTCAGTGTGCGCTTCTCATGCTCTCTCCTTTTCCCGGGGTATTGGGATTTAGGGACGAATTTTTATATTTACCGTAAAAAATTTACTTAAAACATCGATTTTGAAACATTGTTAAATCTTTGGGTAACTTAACATCTTGAAGAATACTACTATTCTTTCAAAATCTGAAACTTTTTGTTCTAGGGCAGTGATATGACATAATTTGTCTGGTAAATAACCCAAGAATCCTAGGCAAGTACGGTACGAGACTAGTAGGACTTTTAGATATTTATTCAACTGCAAAGGTACTAATGCTGAAAATCACTTTTGAAAACTGAACCTATAGATAACCATTAAGATGCCCATAAGAAGTGTATAACCATTTTCGTTCTCCCCTAGCCGGCCTTTGGTACTTTTTTTTTTTTTTTTTTTTTATACATATTATTTTGCCTGCCTGCCTGCTGCTGCTGCTGGTGGCTGTTTGGCTGGCTGGCTGGCTGGCGTCGTTTCAGCTGCCGCCGCTAGTTGGCACGTTTTGTTGGCTGGCTGGCTGGCTCGCTTGGCTTTTTGGGGGGCTTGTGGACCTGGCCGGGGATTGGGACTTGGAGTGGGAATGCGAATGGGAATGGGACTACGACTGGGCCTGGCTCTGAACACGGCCTGCTGGCTGGCTGGCTGGCTCATGGCTCATGGCTTTCGGCTGATGGCGGATGGCTGCAGCCTGTCGCAGTGGCAGGCAGCATTGGTGGGGAGGTGGGACTTCGAGGGGGGGGCGGCAGAGCGGTCTGTGTGCGGCAGCGGTGGCGGCGCGTCAACGGGCAGCAGCAGCAACAACGACAACAACGCCGCCGCGACAGCAGCAGCGGCGCTTCGCACTTTGCTCTGCTGAATTTTCAATTTCAGTTGTAAGCTGACTGCAATCAGCAGTGGTTCGCATTTTGGTTCGGGAATTCGCAATTCCGCATTTCGGCTTTTCCATCGCTCGTGCGAAAACGCTCTCGGGACATAACGGAATATACGGGCCGGCGCTGTCCGAGCGCACAAAACAAAAAAAAAACAAAAAAACTTTACGATTATTATAAACTTTGCGGCGGTAACACACACACACACGAAGCGACCACCCACTGGGCCACTAAGCCACCCCAACCACCCACTTAAAAACCACCCACATATATCCCGTTAGTTGCGACTCCTGGCGCGCTAATTTTGCATATGTGTGTGTTTGTGTCAGCGAGTGGAACACGCACATGTGTGTGCGTGCGTATGTGTTTTATTGATTTTATAGAGCAAACTATATAGTTTATTTCCTCAACCCTGGGTTTTTTGAGCCTATCGGCACTCTTCTTCTGCTCTTCATTTCTGAGCTAATTTCAATGACAGTTGAAACGGGAGGGGGATATCATAAAAATTTAAGTTTGAAGGGGCAAAGGTAGAAAAAAAGTTTAAAACAGCGAATCGAACGGTTTGGAATTCGGTGAAAAGTTTAAGAAACAATAGCATTCATGTTGGGTTGATAAGGAGTTTAAACCTAAGAAAAGGAAAAAGATGGAACATTTAAAGCCCAAGAAAAGAAAAGAGTTTGTCGGATAGTAAGGAAGACTACAGTTAAAGGTGCGTAAGAGGATATTATCAGAGAATTTAACCCATTATGAATCATTGGTGAAAAAACAGGATACATTTAACTTTTACAAATTTAAAGAAAGATGTATCGTTTATACCAAAAAATTTAGATAACAAATTCAGTTTTCTGGGTATGCTTTACTTACATCTATAATTTATACATCTATAACACATTAATGACATTATTTTTTAAATTGACTAAACCACCAGTTTAAATTACATATTTTAATTTTTATGTTAGTTACCACTTGATTCCGGTTAAAGACTCTAATGGGTTAAGTACAAAAAGAGAGGGAGTATTAAAAAGATTTGCAGTGCTCTCTATTCCCACTCGATCAATACATTGACTTTATGCAAGATCTGACCTATAAATAGTTGAACGGACCTGAAGTCTTATCTCGTTGCGCTCAACACGACTGATAAGCGGGAAAATCAAAGTTAAGGAAATGATTTCCAAATCCCCAAGTGTTAGTCCACTTAGCTGCCAATTTCCTAGCCACACAGCTTCCAGTTGGCATTTGTCTGTGTGTGTGTGTATGTAATGTGTGTGCAATTTGTGTGTGTTTGAGGCCTCATAACTTTCCACGGCGGGTCGAAACTTGTGAAATTCTTGGCTACCAGCAGAGGAGCAGTTTTACCCACAGCTCCCAAGCACCTCGATAGCAGCTGGGCCAGCTTTTCAGCCCGCTTTTCGCCCCCTGTTTCAGGCCCCCCTCTACTCTCCCCTCTCTTGGCCCTCTACCCTCACCTAACAACAACAACAACAACAACTAAAACAACACCATACACTGTGTCGCCGGCAGTTTTTGCCCATAAAAACGGCAACGACGAAAACGAAAATTTAACGACTGCGCAACGTGACGCATTATTTGTCTGGCTTGGCTTGGTTGGTCTTCTGGTCTCTTGTCTGCCGACTTTGCTGCCTTGCCTGCAGCAAAGCTATAGCTGCCGCCAGAAATTGCTTTTGCTCGCTGGAATATACATATATATATGGATGAGTGTATATGTATGTTTGTATGTATGTGCTTGCGGCCTGTGCCTCCGCATCCGCTCCCCGTGTGCCCCAAGCTCCTCTCCGCCCCCTTCGCCAATCTGAATCTCCACACTCCACGCTGCCGTTTTTAGTATTTCGCACTCGGTGCACGGCAAACATTTTTGCATGACTGACTGAATGCCGCCGCCTGCGCCTGACTAACTCACACCAGCACACAAACACACATCCACTCTGATGCACTGGGGCCAGACCATGCACTCGGAGGAAATAGGGAGTAGAAAGGATTTCAAAATCGTAATTCGAGGTGATATAATTATTTTGGAGTGATGATTATTTTTATGTTAATCATTTAATCCTTTGAAGAGAATTTTATAAAAAAATTTCCTTTTAATGCTTTAAAAACAAAGTTGTTAACAATGTGATTACGCGCCTGTTCCCCCAGTGTATCCAGCGCAGTGCTGTCGGAAGGGGGAAGGGGTGAGCCATAGCCAGCGGAACCGGGAGCGTGAGCGGGAGAGCGGCAGCGGGAGCCGGCAGGCTCGTGGAGTAACTGTTGGCTGGTCTCTTGGTCGTCGGCCGGCCGTCTGTCTCTGTCTTTCCGTCCGTCTCTGTCTCGCTGGCCTGGCGTGTTTATAATTTGATTTCGCTGCTTCTTTCCTGCCTCGTCTGCTGCGTCTTCTTCTTGTTGGGGGGAGCAGAATGGGAGATGGACGATTGGGGAGCAGAACGGAGCAAAGCGAGCAACGCAGAACAGCATTTCCTGTCGCCCCAGCTCGTTTTGGGCCTATTTTGCTATAGCAGGAATCTTAATGAAGTTATTGTGTTAACAGTTTTAAGGGCACTGGCTGCTCATTGATGGTCATGGATCGCAACTAAGTTTTGGGTGTGAGTGGGAGAGGGATGGCCAGTGACCAAGGCCTAATGCTCTTCGTTCCTCTTATTCTCCTCTCAGTGAGTCAGTGGTATTAGTGTCCTTGTGTGTGTGCGCTATTTGAGCATGCATTTGGCATTCACCGTTAGCTAGCGGACAAGTGAAACAGCAGGAGCTGCCTATTAAAAAAAAGTGAACCCGCGAAACAAAGAAAAGACAAAAAAAAAAAAAAAAAAAGACTCACTCGGTTTGAGTGCTAACATGGCGCCAAAAAAGTCCACTATTGTGCTCAATGTGGAGCAGTTTATTCACGATATCGAGGAGCGTCCGGCCATCTGGAACCGCAACTTCCACTGCAACAAGGCCTTCCTCGAGCAGATGTGGGACGAGCTGAGCGGAGCGCACAAGCTGCCGAGTAAGTAGAGCATATGGCCAAAAAGAAGTCTTAGTGTTGCCCACCTTTGTGCTTAAGCTGGGATTAAAATTGTAATTGTTAAGGTACATACATAGCTAAAAAAATTTAACAGTTTGTCAAATTCAGTACAACCAGCCAATCTAAGCCCTGAAAACTAACTAAATTGAAAACAAATTTTAACAAAGGCAAAATAAAAATAAATTCTTATAAAATTGGGCGATATAATAGCTAAGTTGGCAACACTAAGAATGACTTAGGGCTTGAGATAGAAAGTTGTTCTATTGTTCTTCCACTCGCTCTCGCAGAGATCGTGCTCAAGGCCAAATGGAAGGGACTTCGAGATAACTTTCGGGTAGAGTACAAACGGATACCTCGAGCGGATAACGGTGATTTTATGGTGGATCCGGCAACGTTTGAGTCCAAGTGGCTGCACTATTACGCCTTGTTGTTTCTAAGTAAGTTATAATACACATTTTTAAATTAATATGATACATTTGTTAATAAAATAACCTTCTTTAGCTGATCACATGCGCCATCGTTTGCCGAAAAACGAGCAGGATCAGTCTTTCTACTTTAACCAGCAGAGCGAGGATTGCGAAAAGACAGTTGTGGAACCGGATTTAACAAATGGTTTAATCCGTCGCCTGCAGGACAGCGACGAAGATTACGACGAGGAGGACATGGAGGCGGAGGCAGACGGTGAGGCTAGCGAAGCCACGATGGAGGAGGCAATGCCCACGCCACCGGCTGCTCATCAAATGAACCAAGTGAGCACTACACCACTGGCCACAGGAGCTTTGCGAGCTCAAGAGGAGGCCCATCAGCATGCTCTGATCAAGGCGGGATTACTTCGCGCCCAGTTGATGGAATTGGAAAAGGAGGCAGAGGATCTGAGTAAGAAACCACCACCACCGCAAGCACAACAACAGCCATCACCCGCGGCGCCTTTACTCCAAATGCTGGTGGAGCCACCTGCTGCTCATTGTTCTCCACCACCGGTGGTTACTACGACATCTGCCCAAGTACAACAACCAGGATCGGCGGCTGTTTTGGCCCCGGCAACAACCACATCCGCATCATCTGCCTCCTCGAATGGTGCGTCAATGGGAGGAAAGAGATCGGTGTCGCCACCGCCACTCTATAACAAGGCCCACCATCCGCTCGCCACTCTGGCAGCAGCTCATCATGCGGCCAAAGAACGAAACGAGGAGTTCGGAGCATCCACAGCGGTGGGAGGTACTGGGGAACATCTCAGCTTCACGCAACACTCGTATGCCAATGGACTTATACCCGCCCTCAAGCTAAAGCGACCACGTCTCTCGGAGGACAGCAACTTCAATGGCTCCTCGACGATGGATGCTCCTTTGGTGCCCGAGGACGATGACTACCACTACTTGCTCAGCCTGCATCCGTACATGAAACAGCTGACGGCCGCTCAAAAGCTACGCATACGCACCAAGATACAAAAGCTCATCTTCAAGGAGCTGTACAAGGAGGATCTCGAGGAGTCCAAGTAGTCGAACAGCTCAGAAAGCCTAGATTAAGCACAAGACTGTAAATACGCCTAGACTTTAAGCATTACATTTAGTTTTGTGTCCATGCCATGCTACTTGATTGATTTCTAGTTGAGCGACACTCCAAGGAAAGCTGGGAGTGCGCCATTTACGCCTAAGCACAAATACATTGCAAATAAAAATGTAACATTTAACGGTTTGCAGTTCTTTTATTTTTAATGGAGGGGTTGAAAACAATAAAACATTTATTAATTGCTTAACATTTTTTTTATTCGCAGGCGAGGTTTATGTTTTGGATGATGGCGCCGAGGTTGATTTGGATCTGGGAAACTACGAACGCTTTCTGGATGTCACTTTGCATCGGGACAACAATATAACCACGGGCAAGATCTACAAGTTGGTCATTGAAAAGGAGCGCACTGGCGAGTATTTGGGCAAAACAGTTCAAGGTGAGTACAAAGAATTGTAGTTAATATAAATGAAATTATACTTATTTGGTAAATTCTGTTTTCAGTTGTTCCACACATTACGGATGCCATTCAGGAATGGGTGGAGCGTGTGGGCCCAGACACCTGTACAGGGCTCCTCGAAGCCACAGGTGTGCATTGTGGAATTGGGAGGAACGATCGGCGATATCGAGGGCATGCCTTTTGTGGAGGCCTTCCGTCAGTTCCAGTTCCGCGTGAAACGTGAGAACTTCTGTTTGGCTCACGTGTCGCTGGTTCCGTTGCCGAAGGCCACCGGTGAACCCAAGACAAAGCCCACTCAAAGTTCGGTTAGGGAACTTAGAGGTTGCGGCCTGAGTCCCGATTTGATTGTCTGTCGATCTGAGAAACCCATTGGCCTGGAGGTCAAGGAGAAGATCAGCAACTTTTGTCACGTGGGTCCGGATCAGGTGATCTGCATACACGATTTGAACTCCATTTATCATGTGCCGCTGCTAATGGAGCAGAACGGAGTGATCGAATACCTTAACGAGCGACTGCAGCTTAATATTGACATGAGCAAGAGGACCAAGTAAGTAATAATGGGCTTTTAAATCTTAAGTATATGTATTAATTCTATATCCTTTGCTAACTCTAGATGTCTGCAGCAGTGGCGCGATTTGGCACGTCGCACAGAGACTGTTCGCCGTGAAGTTTGCATTGCCGTCGTGGGCAAGTACACCAAGTTTACGGACTCGTACGCCTCGGTGGTGAAGGCTCTGCAACATGCCGCCCTGGCTGTAAATCGCAAACTGGAGCTGGTATTCATCGAATCGTGCCAGCTGGAAGAGGAGACTCTGCAAACGGAGCCAAGCAAATACCACAAGGAGTGGCAGAAGCTGTGCGAAAGCGATGGCATCCTGGTGCCCGGTGGTTTTGGTTCCCGCGGCATGGAGGGCAAGATCCGAGCATGCCAATGGGCACGAGAGAATCGCAAGCCGTTGCTTGGCATCTGTTTGGGTCTGCAAGCGGCGGTTATTGAATTCGCTCGCAGTAAATTGGGTCTTAAGGATGCCAACACCACGGAAATCGATCCGAATACCGGAAATGCTTTGGTTATTGATATGCCGGAGCATCATACTGGACAATTGGGAGGGACTATGCGTTTGGGCAAACGAACTACGGTTTTCGCAGATGGACCCAGTGTCATTCGTCAGTTGTATGGAAATCCGAAAACAGTTGAGGAGCGTCATCGACATCGTTACGAGGTCAATCCCAAATATGTACCTCGACTGGAAGAGCAGGGAATGCGCTTCGTGGGCACCGACGAGGACAAAACCAGGATGGAAATCATTGAGCTAAGCGGTCATCCGTATTTCGTGGCCACGCAATATCATCCGGAGTACTTGTCGCGACCACTGAAGCCATCGCCACCGTTTCTTGGACTGATTCTCGCCTCCGTGGATCGGTTGTCGCAATATATCCAGCGCGGATGCCGCCTGTCGCCCCGTCAACTGTCCGACGCCTCTTCGGATGAGGAGGAAAGTGTCGTAAAAGGATTGGCGGGCGCTACGAAATCGCTGAGGTCACTGAAGATCCCCAGCACACCCAAGAACGGAATTTCGAATGGCTGCAATGGTAGCTCCAGCACGTCCGATGGCGAAGGTGCCTGTGGAGGTGTTGATCTGACCAATGGCCACCAGTGAAGTTGTAAACGGATATGGGATCAATCATGCTTCTTTAATTTTAAATCCATACCGTTTGCGATATGACTAAGTGTGTAAAATAGGCTGGTGTCGATTAAAACATTTTAATGTTTTATTGAAGTGGCATAAAGTAATCCACAAACAATTACAACTTTTCTTTAGTTAGCATAAGTAAAAAATAATTTAAATCTCTTTTTAGAAGGATAACATATGTACTTCAGGGTTTGATTTTGATGTATATTTTATAATATATAATATATTGTTTGAAAACAAACTGTTTCTTCATGTGCGAGTAAAGAGAATTCATATTTATAAACTGTTTTTTTTTTGCTTTACAATGAAACATTAAAACCCAAATGATGGGTTTTATATGAACAGTAGTTTTTATTATCTCTTGGTTACTTTATGCCCAATTGACTTTGTAGTAACATTTTGAATCCTTAAAAATCACGCATCCTTGTGTGAAAAGCCTCGCGTGTGTCTTCTTGATCGGAAACAAAAATAGTCTATAACCTTCTTAAATTACATTAAAATTACCTTATCTGACTTGCTTAAATTCTGAATAGTTAAGTTCTTATTGTCTTTTATTTAAAAAAATATTTTAAATAAACTTTGAAAAACTGTAAGCAATTACCTTCCTTATATATATTTTTAGATAAGCAATGAAATAATTGAATATACATACCTTGCGTGTTTTTATTTGGAATTGAATGGGCAGGTGAAAATAGTGTTGGAAACCTGTGCAAGAATTTCTGACAGAAAATAGTTGTATTTTACGCGCGTTTTTCAAATTTTAATTCAAAGCCAATCTGTTTTTTGTTGGTTGTGGTGATTACGGAATTGTTATTGCATTGAGAAAAATTTGTTACGTAGTTGGTAGACAATTATTTTAAAAATACTTTTAAGCATTTGTCGTCACCCAAAGTGTCAACTGAATTTTGGATTTTTCAAGGCGTATAACAAGTGTTTTCTATTTTTAATAACTAGTACGTCAATACAGGAATGTTGTTAACTAATTATTAGCCACAATGCGGACATCGTTACTTATGTGGCAATTAATTTCTCGCAAACTTTTCAGACACACATTTTTTAACAAATTCAGTTGTTTAGTTAATGTGCAAATTTTATAAAATTAATTTTTTTTTTGTTTTTAAATTAAATGTAAAACTAAACTTTAAAACACCCTTGCTGTAAAATATATATTTTTTGGTTCTGCAATTAAAAAACATTTTTTTATTTAATTCACTTATCCTTAACATGTAGTTAATGTTTTATTATTTTAGTCCACATTGACAACTTAATTTCGGAAAAGCACCAAAAATGAAGCTAAGTGTAATTTTGTGATTGTTGACGCAATTAGTAGGCAGAGAATTAATCAAACGCTGGTACTCGAGAATAATAATGGACGCCAACCAACAACCCATACGGATTCAGATTCGGATGCGAATTCAGATACCGTCTGGCGATGTCAGAGACATCGGCCCGTGCTCAACAAAAATAGAAAGGGGCATACATTTGGGCTTGTGTCCGCCGCGATGAGAAGCGATGGCTGGTGGCCAATTGAATCGAGGCGGATCGCAGATCTCAGACCAAGAACAATGCGCATTCTTTATTGTTCGTTCAATTGGGTAACGTGCTCTGTCTAATTTTGCATTCGACATAACATAAAACCCAAAAAATATGAATCAGTCGGGGATGCATAAAAAGAAGCCAAGGATACGGAATCGCCAGCGGAACAAGATAAACCAGTTGCATTCGGAACAAGAGGAAAACCTTAATCTATCTGCTCCCAAAAGTGATGAAGTTAATAGGAGAGTTTCTCCCATTAAAAATGACATCCCAGTTGAAAGATCTCCTAAAAGTGCTTCGCCAAAAAGTGACAAAAGTGACTTCCAGGTGGAAACTCCACCGAAAAGTGATCATTCTCAGTTGGAAAACTCGAAAGAGAACGAAACCATCAGGCTAATTCAGCAACTATTACGTAGAAAATTATTGGCCAATAATAATACAGCCCCAATAAACGAACCTGTGCCAGTTAATATTCAACCTAAAGTAGTTAGCCAATCAAAAGAATCAAAAACGGAAGAAAAGAAACCAAAGGTGGCTTCTGCCCCAGAAACTCACAAAATTCCAGTAGAATCCAAGGTAACCGGAAATCCTTTTAAGGATGTAAAACCTGAGGAAATGGATGACCTTCTAAAATGTTTGGGTACCAAATTGCAAAAGGGTTAGTGGAGTTTATTTTATTTTAAATTGTTAAAGTAATAATAGGACTTTAAAATAGGAACTGGAGACTTGCCAGCTGCGGCGTTAATCAGCAACCTGGGCAAACTTTTCAGCCAAGCTCCTCCAAGCGATGTGGAATCATCCGATGACGAGGCGGAGGAGTACGTGGAGTACATCTACAAGCCAAGGCAATATTTTATGGCCTCATTATGCAATGTGGGTAGTACAATTCCTTAAAGCGTTTGGACTACAATTTTATTCTAAAGTTGTATCCAATTTCTATCCAATAAAATAGATTTCTTCGCTTAGTTTTTAAATAAAAATTTTTTTTTAAATATCTATAGTATTTGAGATAAGATTTATGCCATTATTAATATTCTTTAATGAATTTCTCTGTCAAAATAGCTGTGCAAGGCGGACCTGTGTGCTCAAAAGCGGATACCCTGCTCTCGTTGTGGACTGAGCTACTACTGCAGCGGTGGCCACATGAAAGACGACCAGGAGCACCGGCAGTTGTGCTACGCCCTGCGCCAAACGGTGGACCGCAACGGTGAGATGAGAGGAGCCTGTCAGCAAACCATAAATCACACTAATGGCCAATTATCGGCGGGACACTCGTTATGCAGGTCACGAAATGTTCTACAAGTGCGGCGACTTCAGTGGCGAGCAGTTCCGTTCCTACCGGATCGTGTGCATCCGCCAGGTGGAAAAGGAGATGAATCGCCAACTCACGGCCACGGAACAGGAGCTGCTCCTCTTTCCAATGATCTGTGGCGAACCCAAGTGCCGGGAGAACCGCTTCCAGCGACTCGCCATCTGCGGAGGATGCGGCGAGGTGGCCTTCTGCAAGGATAAGCCCGGTCATCGGAGCAAGGAGCACGCCAAGTGGTGTGGTTCTTATCAACTGTTCAAGGCTTTCATCATGTTCCAGGCGAAGTTCGGCCGGATGGAGCCATCGCTGCCCAACAAGATACTTCGGGAATTACCTATGGCTTGCTCCAACACCAAACACATGATGAAGAAACTTAATTTCAGTAAGGAATAAGATATTTATTTAAATTACCTGTGGGCTTTAGAATAGATTTTAATTGATATTTCTTGAATTCCAACAGATGTTACCAATGAGTGCGAATATGCCGCTTTGACTCAGGTTTCCACAGGACCCTTAACTGCCTGGTTTGCCCTAAAACTCTGCGAACGTTTAAGAAACTGTGAGGTATTAACCCTCCACTTAATTGGAGCCGAGATAGAATTCGAAGTGGATATGCTACAGAAATGGGAACTATTCCTCCTCCACATAATGCCATCGGTGAAAACCCTAAATGTGGTTTTTATTGGACCAGAACTTAATCCCAATAAT